TCTTAGGAGACGTGCACAGAACAGTCCCAGTAAGTATTTTACAAGACAGTGTACATTAATATTATAGGGTTGGAAAGAGTTTGACGTTAAGTGTATTTATCTCTTTAAATTTTTTTTTTATCTTCATAAAAACAAACTGAGGTACAATTAAAATGGTTTCAACAATTAACCCTTAGATGTTGATTTAAGTGTAGTGTATGGGTAGTTGAAATAGTTTCCTTCCATTCACTGACCCCTAAGCCAACCCTTAAACTCCTTACTTAGTAAAAAAAAAAAAAAATAGTGCTAGTTCCCTATCAATCATTCTTTTGGTTTAATTTTAGAGTCTGCAGACCTTGTATGAATGTTTTTTTTTTAAATTTGATATGTTGTAAGTGAATCTTACATCTCTATGTTGTTGACACATTTTTTAAATTAATTTGCCTCTATGAAATTAAGTATTGAAAAAAAATCCCTGATTTCATTTGCATAAAAAAAAAATGTTTAAATCCTCTAACAGTCCAGCAAACAACATTTGAGTCAGGCTTAGGGGAGGCTGACAACTCATCACTGAACATGCCACCACCAACATATGATGAAGTGATTAACACAAATCTCTACCCACCCACTCCAATATTTCAAAGAAATGTAAGCTAAGTTAATTTGTATTGTGAATAAAGAAAAAAATTATATGCTCAATAAGTCAGTATATTAAGCTCTAAAAAGTCATTAAAATCTATTCACGTAGGCCATGCACAGAAGTCAAGAAACTTTTTTAGCCGATAAAGGCATTGATTTTTAAACAATCGAATTGAACTCATTTTAATTAGTTTGTTTTTGGTTAGCTTTATTGGTTAATTTTTTTAATAGATACACATTGAAGATGACTAGAAATAAATTGATCGTGGGCCCTTAATATATAGAAGAAATGTTGATTTTGGGGATGTATCATGAAAATGTAGTTGCAGGCACATAAATAAAAAGCGAACTTATATATTTTTTCTCTCCATCTTCAATATTTAAATTTAATTTTCTTATATTTCCAGACCAGAACATCATATGGAGAAGAACCGAGGACTCCTCCTCCAAATTATGATGCAGCATTAGATATTCTAGCACACAGCCAAGAACTAGTTTTCCCTACCAAATCTCAACCACTGACTCCAGTTGTGCGTAGATCTGTCTCCACAGAATTCAGCACCACCACCAGGTCATCTAGATCGTCTGATTCAGATTACAGGAGAATCTTTTCCAACCCTGACCAAAGATAACTACAAACAGGGAATAGATCCAGTTGGCCTTGTGTTTCTTATGACCATGTTGTTAAATTGTTGTGCCAACGCTTTTTTATTATTTTTTTTTTTTGAAAGTTTTTGTCATGATTGCTTAATCTGGCAACCTGTGACTGCAAATACTACAATGAAAAGCCAAACCGAAGGTTTTTTTTCCTTGGCTCAGTCGTTCTTGCAAAAAATGATTGTTTTCTGACTCTTTTTAACTAATTTTGTATAAATAATAAAGAGTACTATAGTAATTTTTGTAACTTAACCAGATATGCGCCTCATCATTCTCTTCAAATCCATTCCTGTCTTTGGATCGCTTTTTCACCCCTTTGCATCCTTTTCTGAGTCACTGAAATTATATTGAATCCTGGTCCCTGTGTTTATGAAATTTATCCTTTTATTCAGTGTAGTTCACTGACCTTCTGTCAAATCTCTTAAGCTTTATTAGGTTTATAACTTCAAGTTTTATATACTCTTGAATATGCTTAGTACTTAAATACAGAGTAACATTAAAAAAATTACATACTGTCATAGCCAAAGAGTAAATAATATGTAATACTTTCTGCTGTCACAGCATTGCTTTATGATATTTTTTATATTTAAAAAAATTTGAACTGTTGATACATCCCCCAGTTAACTGAGGTCAAGCCTCATGTAAACGTATAAATGTTCTCTGGTGTTGATTATTCTGCTGTGAATATAATTGAGATATTTTTTGCTTATACTTATGATTACACATTACTCAGCCATGTTGAACTATGTTTGTTGTCCCATATACATAATCAATATAAAATAATTGAAAGTGAATTGCAAACTAATTAATTGGTAGACTATGATGTCTCATTTTAAAAATGATCATTAGCACTAAGAAATATTACCATAAAATGCTTCTTACAAATCAATAGCTCTTTATCTTGTTGTAATATTTTAAGATTATTTTAGAAATATAAAAATGATTTTTATGCAAGACAGTTACTAATTGCAGCATCATTTTAAAGATATATGTAATTTTTACTGTTCAGTGTTAAATTTTCTGGAGAAAAAAAAATTGATTTAAAATAATGCGACATTTTATCTTTCATAAGACTTATCATGAAGTTGTGAGCAGGAGCTAAGCATGCCATCATTTTGTTTAAATTATTGAATTCACAGTACTTGATTATTTATAGCTACTTTTTTTTTATACCACACGTGATCTGTTTTTCATTTCAGTTTTTCTGATATGGTTCATTAACACCTGTATTGTAAAATCAGGTTGTAAACATTTGTAGTTATCTATCTCAGAATCTGTTTTGTGTTTCGTAGATTTTTAACTGTTGTAATTTTTCTGAAATTGACCACTCTAAGATTTCTGTTATTTTGTATTAGAAAGTTCTTATTTCAGGCAGTACTTGTCAAGGTAATTGAGGCCAATTTCAGTTGAACTGAATAGAATAGTAAGGGAGAGTCTAATCAGGCAGTACTTGTCAAGGTCATTAAGGCCAATTTTAGTTGAACCGAATAGAATAGTAAGGGAGAGACTGTGATCAGACAGTACTTGTCAAGGTTGTGGAGGCCAATTTCAGTTGAACTGAATAGAGTAGTAAGGGAGAGACTGTGATCAGGTGCAATAGGAAACAAGAAATATAGGGTGGGGGCACTTTCGTTGTTTTGTCTTTTCTTCAGGTTTTGCCCTTCTCTGTGTTTCTTGTTTCTTATTTACTTCAGTCAAATGACATTTGTTTCTAGTCAATTAATATTACATTAGTATTGTACAAGATGAGCATTAATTTGAAATAGAATTATTTACAAGACATAATGCAGTGTTTCCAAATGGGTGATGATTCCATTCTTGATATAATTTTGGTGCATCTGAATAAAATTATTACGGCCTAAATTGCTGTCAATACATATAGGACTGGATTAAAGATTTTTTAGATTTAAGATTTTCATAATTTCATTAGATGCACTTTCAGATCATATTTTGAATACTACATTTAATTTTTTAGAACCTTTTTGTTTCATAATAAAATAGAAATGATTTATTTCACTAGTGTTCTAGGGCACATAGTTTGAGAAACATTTATTCAAATCATTAGTACATTTATATTTGTATAAATATCTAACCAACATTCCTGTAGTTTTTGCCCACAGATCTGAGACATTCTATTTTTTTAAACCAGAGGTTATAACTTTATATCAAGATGTTTAATTTTTATACATACATTGTTTGCTCACTGTATCATTAGTCGTTCCGGTATTGGATGTTTTACATCAATACTAAACATTTCTTTTTTTCTCTCTTGAATTTGTCTCAATACATAACTCAGTTCCAGAATTTACTTATTGGCTCGACAATCTCAAAACAGTGTTGTGCTGGATGAAAAAATTAAATGCTTTGTCCAAACTGAAAAAAGGTAATGAATTGTGCAAATTGAAAAAAAGGGACAATAATGAATTGTGATACCGGGTATTTGAAAAAAGGTAAATGAATTGTGCAAATTAAAAAAAGGTAATGAATTGTGCAATTTGAAAAAGGTAAAGAAACCCCCATCATATTACTGTTCAATAAAATATGGGTTTTATATTACTATTGTCTGCATCCTTCCTTCTCCATGGGATGATGGTGTAGCATCTGTACCAGTATTATATTGCTTTTAGTAAGGGTTTAACAAATTTATTGCTTGTGGTTTTGTTGTTTTTCCTAGTTTAAATGCCAATGAAATAACCCACTGTTAACTTTCATGAAATAAGATCAGATATTAATTCATGTTCATTTTTGTTGATTTGCCCTTAGCGTTTGTATGTAAAGATTAAATTCCAGTCCAATGAGTCACCTGTAACTTTTATGGGATAAGATCAGATTTGGGTTCATATTTTTATTCAAAATTTAAAATATTTAGATCAATGTCATATTTTGATTGTGCTTGTTCTGCTGTATACTTATTTATTCACCAAGTTTACCAAAAATCTTAATCTTATGTAACAAATGCTTATGTTACACAAAAAAATTATGATATTGTCGGAATAAGGTTTTAATCTTTATTTCTGTGAATTTCAATGTTAATGTTAAGAACTATAATTTAAATACCTCTACAGATTTGTAAAAAAAAATCATGTTGTATACAAAGATTTTTTTATTAATGTTTATTAGATGGAGAATTATATTCCAAGTGAATACTTAGATTTTTGAATTTTTTCTGGCATCTGTACGTCACAATGTGATGATGATGATGTAGACTTTGCAGTGAGAAATCACAAGGTACAGGATTTTTCTTTAGGAGTATAAGCTGGTGTCCTAGACTGAAAGTAGCTTCTTTCTACAGACTAAAATATAATAATTAAAAGGACTGAATTCAAAGTAAGTAAATGAAATAGCAAAACGAGGTATGTGGAAGCTTGAATTTAAGGACAGGACAATAAGATTAGAATGTTTCGGCATAGAGCCTTCCTCAGCGCACAGGACAAATGAAAATATCACAAGGAACAGAGCACAGCAAACAACTCAAGAAATATCCATTTTTGTTGCCTTGTTATGCATTTATGATAATTAAAGTTTTATGTTCATGTCATTATAAGGAAAATACCGCACAACAAAAATCAGTGACACACAAGTAAGTGCAAGGAAAATAATTTTTAAAAATAAATTGAAATTGTAAAAATTATTTGGCTTTTTTAAGAATTTGTGTTTAAAAACTTAATTGCAACGCAGCAAGACAATTCCAAAAAGTATGGATTATTATCTATCTAATTGTGTTCACCTAGTCGCCATATTTTGCTTTCATTAATTCAATGCCTACACATATTTGTAATAATATCTCCTAAACTAGTATGTAATTGATTTAAAATATTTTACATTAAGATTTATAATTATGTTCTGTATTATAATTTTAATCACCAGTCATTATACCGTATCAATTTTATTGTGTTCATCTGGTGGCAGATTTTGATTACATTTGAAAACCTACTCATCTATATATGTAATGATGTTTCTTTAAATTAATGAGTCAGTCATTGATTCTTTTTAAATTGAGATTTGCAATAATGTTCTTATTTATAATGACAAGCACCAATCATGCATTCCTTTCAGTGTTCATGTGACGGCCATTTTGGATGGAGAGAAAACAATTTTGAGTGGATTAACTTTTTGATTTTTCTGTGTAACTTACATTTTAACAGATGTCAATAGTCAGACTGTGAAGAGACTATTTCGTAATATAATTATTTTTTTATAAAACTTCCACAATATACACATGATAAATAAAGGGAATTTGTTGATTGTTTTATTTTAGCTCAAGTTCATCAAGCTGTATATTTGTATCACTGTATTTCACACACTATGTTTTACAATTCCAGAGATATATTATTATAAAACTATGCATTGTAAAGGAAATTTTAAAATATATGGTAACAATAAAAAAAATACTTTTTTTAAACTAATCTATTTTGATTTTTTTGTTCATTATTATATTTTTTCTAAAAACTGCACACATATCACTCTATTTAAAATATAAAGTAGGTAATATGAAGTATACATTCAACACTCATTATCAATCTCAAATCAACTTTAGATCATTGATACAAGCAATCATTTTAAAATATCTGTGTATAGCTGGACAGAAAACAAGTATAAAAGAGTGTAATTAAATAAAATATTTATTCTTTCTAACGCCTCCCATGATAGCATGATATGTTTGAATAGAAGTTAATTTTCATATAAATTCTGGAAATTATCTACTTTTTCAAATATTAACCCTTATCATTTATAATCATTCAAAACCAAAGAAAAAATTAATTAAAACAGATGTTAAAAACTATTAAATTAAATCTTAACTTTTTTTGTTACCTTAATAATTCATATTCTTTTCAACATACCGGTAATATTATTTATCCAAACTACAGTACCAGTATCAAGACTTATTACTTTTTATTATTTTTATCCAAGTATTCACAACAATTTAACTCATAGCATTCAAACATCAACAAGTTCTATTTCTTCACAAAATAACACAGCATGTGAAAAAAATAATCTACTAGGAGAAAACAAGTATAAAAGAGTGTAATTAAATAAAATATTTATTCTTTCTAACGCCTCCCATGATAGCATGATATGTTTGAATAGAAGTTAATTTTCATATAAATTCTGGAAATTATCTACTTTTTCAAATATTAACCCTTATCATTTATAATCATTCAAAACCAAAGAAAAAATTAATTAAAACAGATGTTAAAAACTATTAAATTAAATCTTAACTTTTTTTGTTACCTTAATAATTCATATTCTTTTCAACATACCGGTAATATTATTTATCCAAACTACAGTACCAGTATCAAGACTTATTACTTTTTATTATTTTTATCCAAGTATTCACAACAATTTAACTCATAGCATTCAAACATCAACAAGTTCTATTTCTTCACAAAATAACACAGCATGTGAAAAAAATAATCTACTAGGAGAGTTGAAATCATTTAATTTTAACTTTTGCTTAAAATTATTAAAACAATTATTTAAATGTTATAATATTCTAACCTTTGTTGATAATAAACAGAAAATAAAAAGACTTTGCAGGGTTCTAAGCATTTTCTGATGTGCCATTTTAATTTTGATGTGCTAATGTACCCAGTTATTCAAGATGATGAACATCTTGCTCAGGGGGATCAAAATTAACTTTCTTTATCAGTTTGCATTAAAACGGTATGTTATAAGTACACTCTTTTTTTTTACATGGTACTTCTTGAGATCATAAAAATAAAGGAAAAAGTTTTAAAAATTGATTCGCATACTCATGTAGAATTATTGTAGTTGTAACGGTAAAGAGGAAAATTTGCTATAGACTTGTTCTCATCTATCTTTTTTTTCAAACTCTTTAAACATCTCCTTCACCTTCTCCCATAATGTTGTTGGACCTGGAATACGAGGTACCTGAAACCAAAAATATAATGCCAGATTACATAATTTACAAACAATCTACTTTTAGAAATTTTCTGATCACTGTTTCTAAGCATTGAGTTTTTTTGTTGTGTAAAATATAAAAAACTATCAGAATAAGGTTCCAAAATCACATTCCAGTGCGCGCTGTGGTAAAAAGCACAGTGTGTGAGGGTGCTTTTAAATTTGAATTAATAAAATTTATTTTTAATGTATTTTAATTTAATAATAATATTTTAAAGATTATCAACATGTCCCAAAACAACTTGTTTGTTATATAACAGGATTATAAGATTTTGAACCTATATACTTTTTTATTAGGTGTTTTTATTCAACTTTTAACTCTTCAATAAATCACATAGCTGAGTTATGATAACGATATAATAATTACCTCAAAATTCTGAGCAACATATAAGCCTCCATAAGCTCCTAATGCAAAAGCTATCTATTTAAAAACAATGCAAGAAATAATAAATATTGTGTTCTTCATGAAGTATAAATGATAACAAAAGCAATGAAATACAAAGAAATATAATTTATGAAATGTTTTCTGATATAAAATGCTAAGTTTTACATAACAAAATTCAGAGTGTTTTTAGATAGATCAATGTCATTGGTACACTTTTTAATGAAGTATAAAATGAGTAAACTTTTTACGAGACCATAATATAAAATCAGGACAGCCATCTTCATCACTGCTTTCTCTTTATATTTGTAAATAGCTTGTGGCGAACAGATAGAATGTAGCTCTTCTTCTGATTTACTTCACTGACATTGACTCATTTAAAAAAAAAAAAGCTTTGTTTTGGTTTTGTGTAATGATTGTAATGCTCTTAACATATCGATTTATATTAATTACAAGGCTATTTATGAAATGGATTGGGTTACCATACTTTATACAATAGAAGTTAGCATTTTGACAATACAGCATCTTTCATGCCAATCACCTACATTTTTACTGAGAAAAGGAGAAAGTTGTCAGTCCATCAGTTATTAACTTATTAGTCTCTGATCTTTTTTAAATCATGAGGACAGTGACTGATTAGGCCTAGCTGGAAATATTTCTAATATTAATTAAGAAAAAGAAAGGAATAAGTCCAGGATGAATGAAACTTCCTTACCAGACGTGACATATTTTGAAGATGAGAAACTGATATGATTAAACTTTCCTGTGAAAAAAAATTTAAAAAAAAAAAGGTATGAAATCATTATTTGAACAACCTAATCAATAATCTCAAAAATTAAAAAAAAAAAATCTTCAAGTGCAATTTTTGTTACTTGTAGAATGCATGATTTAGGTTCACATAAAAAGCCATCCATACACACTGACAGGAAGTTGATACAGATTTTGCTTCAAGGTGTATATGCATAGGAAAAAGGGTTTAAATGGGTCTCAAAAATGTGTTAATACATCTATGCACTAATTCTGCAATAATTATCCTGAAATTCTGAAAGTCTATTAAACCAACTGCCACCTAAAAATCTGTGAAATCTGTGATTTCTAATTATTTTTTAAGGCCTAATGCAATAAATTTTAAGGCCTAATGCGATAAAAATGTAAGCGTTTCATAATTATGACATGCAGGGTGTAATGTTTTCACAAATCAAATAGTTAGATATCACAACATTAGCAGTAATATTTAGCCTGGTCTGTCCACTGTCTGTTCTTGTAAATTTCGGTACATGTTTAAATGTTACATAATTTGTGATGTAATTACATTTTATTGGGCTTTGCTAATGGTTCCTAACTCTCAGCAGCCTTTCGGAAGTCACATTTTCATATGAGGAGGTAGGTTGGGGTAATGAAAAAATGAATTTTTTGCAAATGTATCATGTCATGTGTTATTTAGGATGACACCTGACTCTAGCAGTGTAGGCTGTAGCAGTCAACAAACTTTAAAAAGACACAAACGATGATGCCAGATTTTATAAAGCCAAAGCTCATAATTACTCATGACTCATGTTACTGTAAAGTCTTTTTGTCTTCTTTCTTTTTGATTAGTTGCTTTCCTTGTCGGTTTAGAAAGGTTTAACCCTAGTTTTTAAAATTAGTCTTAGATTAGGTCTAATAATTAATAACTTTTGTTAGTAATGTTAGTGTTAGCCTACTAATACTAATACTAATACTATGCTGTGCTATGACTATGAATAGTTTCGTATACTTATTAATAATTAATAAATCATGGGCCTAATATTATTAACATTTTAATTACTGGTAATTATAGTATGTATTACTTAGTATTAGACTTACTCTCACTCTTACTCTTAACTGTAACTCTTAGTACTGGTCTTACTGGTAGTTTTGGTACTAACAGTAACAGGTAGTAGCCACAGAAATAGGCCTAGTTAACTTAATTAACTAACACTACCTGAAATACTTTAAAAAAATAATTTATATTATTATAATATTAAATATAGGCATAATAATTATGTAATATAGTATAGGCCTGTAAAACTTATAGTCAATATAGTTTAGTAACTATTTAATTATGATCCAGAGGGTTCACAACTTCACAGTACAGTAGTACAGTCAAAGACTATCAAAGTGTAAGAGTCAGAGTCTTTTAGGAGTACTATTACTAGAATTGGATGATTTATCTAATATGGATAGGCTTATTTGTTTAAGTATTTGTAACTTACATAAAATGCTAATTATTAGGTAAGGTATGAGCCTAATAACTACGCAACAGACCACACCAGCACAATGACCCCACGACCGTTCAAAGAAAGGTTTATTTGGTACATGACAAAAATAAGGGTTAAGGGACTTCTTTGGAAGTGTTAGTTGACTTTTAGAATGAAGAACTGTTATTGTAGCTATAAATAATCTCCTATGAGAAAAGATTGCATTTTGCCAGTAACTTAAATTTTTAAAATCGCTTTTATTTTTATATTAAAAAAAAAAAAAAAAGTTTATATACAGTATATAGTTGTTAATTTATTTTTTGTACACCACACAGTGGCGTAACAATGGCTTGGCATTGGGGCAGTTGCCAAGGGCGCCAGCCTGCGCCAGTTTAAAAGGGCGCCGCTAAATCTCAAATAACCTCTAATCAAGGGCGCCAAAAATAAAGTAGCCAAGGGCGTCAAAAAACCAGTTATGCCTCTGACACCACAAGCCACAAGCACCTCTCCTAGGAAATCCCACCCATCTACTCTTCAATCAGAGGGGTTTCCTGACTCTGTGTGTATATTTCTTACTTATTGACTTATTGCTTTAACCTGAACTGCTAAAATTAAATTGAAGGAAATCAACCCCTAATCCCCAAAACAAAATATTTCCTATAAATCCGTTATATGCTTTTTAATATTTTTTTTTCAATAATCTAATGTCCCACGCGCCTTCACACCGCAGATTTATTACACCAACTATTTCAGAAAAACAAAAGAAATATTATGCACCAAAAACAGTTGCGACATGTTTCAGTAGCCTACTGAGTATCTCATTTAGCGCAGTTGTCGGGAATTTTATTTAGTGAAATCATTGGAATAATATTTCCTGCATCTTCCCATTGAAAAACAGGAAACACTGATTTTTTGGAGGTTGTGGCTAAAATTTGATAGAATGTGCTGTCATTGGCAACGAGTCTATAGGATCATCCATTAATTATGTCAACAAAATAGGGGGAGGGGTGGAGATGTTTGACAATTGTTGACAAGGGGAGGGGGGTTAGATTAGTTGAGGTCAACAATTATGTTTTCTATATTAAAATTTTAATCTTAAAAATTGACTGGTTATTATATTATTTTAACAAATTTAATTAGTGTTAATTAAAATAGTTATATTTTTATAATTTTTAGGATTTTAACAATTTAATTTATTCAAGGTATATCTGTCTTTGCCCTGTCGATGGCTGGTCAGAATGTTAGCACATTTTGTTAGCACAAGAGAAGTAAAAAGTTGGCCTCTCTTCGACTATAGATTCTGTCTGACGCAAATGACTAGGGCGGTATGTTTGCGATCGTGTTTCAGGGATGGAACAAGGTTCAAGTGTTATGTGCAATAAAGATAAATGATATTGATTGAGAATTAGGGGAAAGTAAAGTGAGTACAAATAATAACATCGCTGTTTGAGCGGATTTGCAAAATCTGTAACATTTATTTGGCATCACAAGTCATGTTGAAATTATAGCAAGTTCAGCAGCACCGAAAATAAGAAGTTACCACCTGGTCTTCAACAAAAAAAGTATTCGAATAATGCAAGTACCTGACAGGAGACAGAGCTTATTGCTCAAACTGGCAATGCTTTTATTTTGATTTTAAGTGGTGAATGGTTAGATGAGGATGGTATTGACTTGTCTGGTATATCATTCCGGAAGATGAAAATGATAAATCATCGACTATGCCCATTGCTACGATAGAGAAACACCTGGCTACTTCCTAGGAAGATGATAGCAGCTAGAAACTATGCTACAATTGTCAGCTTTACCGGCAATACTCATATTTCTACTTCCACAAACAATGATATTTAGTCTTAAACAACATTTTCATTAATTCTGCATTATAAAATTTAAGTGTAAAAACTTTTTAAATTGTTAATTAACAAGCTAAAGATGCAATTACCTGTTTTTCCAACAATTCTGTCTTATTAAAATAGATGAGCACACAGTAAAATCTATTTATATATTTATTTAAAGTATAATTCATTTTTTTTGGGGGGTGGGGGGGGGGGAGTATAGAAATGTTTACATATGGGTGGGTGGGGGGGGGGGGGGGGGGGGGGTTCAAAAATTGCTTAAACATTGTTGACGTAATTAATGGACACCCCCCTATGCGCCAAGTTTCAGCTTGATAGGTTGATGGGAAGTGGATCAATTAGCCCTCTGAAGATTTTGCCACATACCCAGAAAGAAACACAAACAAAAGCAAAGTTAATATACAGGATTTAAAAATAGACCTTAATAAATAGCTTTTTGTAAAAAGTTAATATTTAAAAAAATAACTTAATTTGATTTATTGAATTGGGCTATAATGTTCTTTTTCATTCACAAGGGAAGATAACAGAGGCGGTAAGTGGGCTTGTTTTTTGGGGGTCCAGTTATTTTAAATAAAATACTCTGATTTTCAGGCTATTCAGCTTTTTATTGCAGTGCACTTTCTTTGGGCATGAGCAGTACTTTTACTTTATGAAGAGTGAGTCTGCCTCTCCAGCTTGTGCAGTCCAAAGTTAGTGTTTCCCATGAGTGAAAGTCAATTTCCATGGCTTTGAGGGACACTTTTAGGCAATAGTTTTTTTTCTGCACTGCAGCCAGTGGCATCCCTAGGATTGGTGCCAGTCAATATAGTGAACTCATAATGTCACCCACCCATCCACACCTCCCCCAAACGTAACTAATGGAATTTTCCGGTACCTTTGTTACATAATCATCTGTAGCCTATCGCTGTGTTTGTCAGATGAAAGATTAAGATCCTTGTATTAATCCAAACAAATGAAAACATGTTTTGATTACACTGTGGGTATTCCCTTTCAGCATATTAAATAAATAAACAAACAGAAAAAAAACATTTTGATTAAATTAAAAATTTTAAGCAGGAGTATTTCAACCCATCCTGTAAATTCAAAGTGCATCCTGCTGTGGTGGCTCTTTGCTTTTTTTTGGGTTTAGTTTTTCAGTTATGAAATCAACTCAAGTCACCTCATGAAATTTGCATTTGTCCATTGTAAGACTTTACACCTCTGATATTTAATGAGGTAAATTGTTGATTTACATTCCCTATATCAATGATACTGATAGCAAAAAAAATGCTTAGTTGAACAATTTATTTACTTTTTAAAAATTAAAAAATGTAATTGAATAAGAGGCGTCTAACACTACCACTCCACAACCCCCACCCCCCCCTGTGTAGATGACATGTGTGGAATTAACTTAAGAATGTTTGATTAGACATAATAGAAAAAAATATTTTATAATGAAGATAAGAAGCAATCATATCAAAATTCCTTTAAATCTTAATAAATAAGGAAATGAGCTTTGAAAAAATGCTAGAATTAGGCAATTTTCAAAGTTGATTTTTAACATTTTGAAATAATCTGCAAGATTTCACCAAAATTGGCTACAGTTGAAAATGAGCATAAAACCCTATGTAACTTATTTAAAACTGTGAGAGTTCTGAACATAAATTCTTACTATTACACAAAAGAGACTTTCGATACAAATTTGACTCTTCAAGGAAACACCACTTTTTTTTATAAAGATTAAGGTTAATTCATTTAACAGATAAAGGAAGCATTTCACCTTAACACGAAACAAACAAACAACGGGGAAATCAACAAAACAATAGCACAAGAAGTTCAAGAACATTTATTTTCACCAAAAACAAAATTATTTTCCAGGCATCAACTTATCATATCACATCAAGATGGAACTGTAGCAGGTCTCTAGATTTCAATATCCATGTGTCATACACTTTCTCCCTCAGTGTTGACCATGCATTTTGATAGTTCTTAGCAAGGCATTTGGTTTCACAGTAACTTAATTCCCTCATCTTCACATTACTTGGAATTAAAACAAAAAGTTTAGTTAAGTCACATGGATCAATGTTATGTTAGAAATGAAATAATAAAATCTCACTGTGAGTGAAGACAGTCTTTAAACTTAATATCCAATATTCCTATTTTGATTTAGGTTACAGTCTAAATATTTTCTTAATTCTTTGACTGCTTCTAATAAAAGTTTTAAAATCTTTATAAAAATTACAATTGCATTTTATTAATAATTCCCAATAATTATTATTTTTATTTGCAAACTAGAGTTGAGATAGTAATAAAAGAAGATAATTTATCATTTACAAGGGAAGTTTCACCAATGTTTATGTGTTCTAGAGCTATAGTTAAAAAAGTGCAGTACTGATATCTGTCGGAACTTTCATTTTTATCCTAAATCCATTATCATACTTCATAATATCCATTATCATACTTCATAATAACCATTTTCTTTCATTAATGAAGACACTTTACTTTGAGGCAGCACTTTATTGCAATTTATATGCACAGTGTCCTAGCTTTCTTGCAAACACCTTTGTAGCCAGTCAAAAATTAATAAATATAAAAGCATACCTAAGACAGTTAGGTAATCTGCTTCGGTCAATCTTTGAAACTAGGTCATTGAAGCAGTGAAACAGTGATACACTGCATACAGAACTTCTGCAATGGAAATTGATTGAATGAGTTCTGATTTCTGCTTTGCTAAGACCAAGGTGGGCAGGTAAACCCTGCATGCCTCTTACTGACGTTACAAATGTTATTTATGCTGTCTATGGTTTCAGGGTTGGATTAACTGGTGGAGGGAGAGATTATGTAAATGTATATTTATATTGGCTGTAGAGGTTTAGTGATGACTAGAGATTGGGTAAATACCTCTATTCAATAGATCACATGAAATATTGGGAGAGAAACAATAGTTTCATTAAAAAAATTATTTTCTTTTATTGTTACTAACTTTAATAATAGTAGCTATTTAATTTGGCATCCAACCTGGTTAAAAATTAATCTATTTGTGTCGGTGACATAGCTAGTGTCATTACCACCCAGTGGTGCAAAGATTTTTGCAGTTATCCTAAAGCTGAGTCCACTACATAAAAGAAAAAAGTGCCTCCTGTGTACTGATTATTGTGTCACTAAATTGAAATGTTATGCTATTTGTGTACACAATTTTGTTATTTTAGTGTCCAAAACAAATCTTAGACTTAAACTGCTTTTTAATTTAAAGTTAAAGCTAAAATTGTCACCTTGCTTTAGGTTTATGAATATCATTTTTAGTAATGCCTTGGCGTCTCCCATTCACAGTTACATCATGGCTGGAAGATTCAGACAGATACCAAATGATTGCTGAAAAGCATAAATGAATTTTTAGATAAAAACTAAGAAAGCTATTCCTTTATTTAACATTGGCTCTTATGTTTAATAATGTTTTAAGATATTTACTTGGGCTTTAGTTAACTTTTTTGATATATTTAAAATGTAAATAAAAATAAAGCGCAAGGCATGTGTGCTTTATTTTAATTTTTTGTAAGTAAAAATTAATCTATTAGTGTCAGTGACATAGCTAGGGTTAGTATCACCCAATGGTGCAAAGATTAGTTACATTAAAAACAAATAAAATAAATGAATGTTCTTTTTCCCTACTTTACACATTATACTTAACAGAAATAAACTATATTCAATCAATGCATGATAGTGTTGTGAAATTAAACATTAAACTATAAACAAGTAAAGAGAAAGCTAATTAACAGCTGTAAATGAAACAATTTAAATTGTGTGGATCATTTAAATGACCTGCTGCTGATGGAACAATCCTTGATGACTGACTGCAGGTTCTGGTCTTCTCATTCTGTTCTGTAGAAACCTTTAGTTTGCTAGCTTCAAATTCCTTATTGGTTGCTTGAAGAAATATAGGCTGATGACATTTGTAAGGGGAAGGCAAATACATTGAGAGGAGAGATATTCTTGAATACAGTGCTCTTCTCATGGCATCTTCATTGTAAGGACATCTACAGACAATTATAAGAAATTATAGTAAAATTATTTAAACAATGGCTGAAAAGAAAGTATCTTTAACACTTTGATAAAACAAATGTCCGTTGATTGGTTTCCTCTTTTAAAGTGTATCCAGCATCATTTGCCAACCCCCCTGCCATTCTCATCTTGAAAGTGACTATTATTGCCTCTAAATATCCATATCTTTTCATTTTAAAAGATTTGCATTTTAATTTATCACTCTCAGATATATTTTCTTTTGAAAAAGCCAGCTTAGCGTTTTATTTGTTTTTATTATTGCAATCACTGTTCTAATAATTTATTGCTTTGTTTTTAAGACAAGTACAAATTGAATTTGAAAGTACCTTTGGTATACTCTGCATGTCTGTTGATTTGCAAAAAGAGACAGACAGTGTACAGATACTGACTAACATCTATTGATGCACAAAACCAATTTAAATTAAACTTTTTATAAATTATTCATGAAATGGGGTGCCATGACTTCTGATGGTGACACCTAATGCTGTCCTCAACCCCACTGGGGAGGCCACTGTAAATAGGACTCACTTTCCAACAACAATTGATGTCAAATAGATGGGTTCATCTAGGAAAATGGACAATAATGCTCCTTGGCATCCCAGTACATTCCATTTTGAGATTTTATCACTGCATGACATACTCTCCGTTCTTTCACCACGACCAGGTTTTGTACGAAGAATTCCAACTGTATGGTAACCAGAAGCTGGGGCAAGAGGATCTTGTTCTCCACCAGGGACACACTTGGCACCAGTTCTGTAGATATCTTTGAGGGAGATTTGTAAATAAAATTTTAAAAATTTGGGTTTCCTAATCTGCTGATTAATTTCAAACTTACAATAGCTCTCTAGTGCAAAAAGTATAATATATTTTAATTTTATGCTATATTTTTATAGAAAAAGAAATTATTATATGGAAATTTTGTTTATGGTCTTCAACATCATCTTTAGATTACACTAATTAGAGCAGTTGTAACACAAAGATTATCAAGAATATCTGTCTAAGGCAAAAATTTCTACTTAGGTTAGTTTTTCTGGCAGCTTAGCAGAAATTTTAAGTATTTTTATCAATCAAAATTATGCTACTGCTAGTCAAATAAAATCAGATGGGTCTACTACTACATTTATAATTAATTTCAAAAAGAGAATGTTCTGTTCAGATCTAGCATCCACCATTTGCATATAGATATACAAGGCACAGATATATATACATAAAATTAAAATCTTAATATGTCATATTTTTATGGTTAAAAAAAGTAACTTACCATTAAGGTCATCAGAATTAGGTTCTGGGGCTAAACTCTGCAAACTTGTTTTGCTTTGTTTCTCACAAATCTGACCAAAGTCATCCTCATCCTCTGAATGTTTTCTTTTTCTCTTACTGGAAGAGTTAGAGCAAGGAGAGTTTTTATTTGCTGTCATACTAACACTTGTTTCAGGCCACTGTGAAGACTTTAGGGAAAGGCTGTTTGGAAGATTTTCATCCAGCATTGGTGCAGACTCATCTTGAATATTTTCTTTAGCAAATATTGAAGCATCACCACCTTTAAAAAAAAAATGTGTCGTTAACATTGAAAAGCCCAACATTTTTTATTATTGAAGGAAAAATTAAACTACAATTTAATATATTTTAAAAACAAAATAAATTGAAACCTAACAGCCATACTCGCTATTCACTGAATATGCAAGAGGTTTTTGAAATGGATATACATATTTAAATTTTATCCTTGAATAACTTGTACACTATAATTATAGCATTAGATTGTTTGGCATCCTTGGCATCTTTTATACAAGTTAAATTAAATAGTAATGGGATACTTTCACCCCATTATCCAATAAAGCTAACCACTCCTAAAAAGCTCATATCGTGAATAACCTATAAAAATAATTGCAGAGATTAAATGGACACTTACATGGTGTTTGACTGGCAAAAAGATGAAATGTAACGCCTGGCCTTAATGACCACTGATAATTCTTATCTGGTGGCAAAAAGACAAGGCTAGTGTTGTTATTAAATGCTTTGCTGAGCTCCTCATACAGAAACCTAATAGAAATATACATTACATTAATATTTCATCACATCAAACATTTATTGGTGATTAAGTAGCTATATCAATTTATAGAATGAACTTACCTGAAATACATAACAAAAGAAAAAAAAAATCTTACCTTAAAAAGGCTCTGCGAGCTAAAACTTCTGCATGGCTATCATTCAAAATATCACCTGCAAAAAAATTAACAAACATCTTTATATGAGATTTTCAACATTTCAATTATAATTAGATTTATATTCATGAATAAGTTGAAATTTTAAGTAAATAAAAAAATATACCGTTTGGGCTCATTTTTGATTTTCCAATACATTTGGAGCCTGTTGCAAGTGCAACTGTCTTTAGTGTTGTATCTGTTTGATCTGAAATAGAAGGGATACGTTTTTAACATTATAACCAATAGTCACAAAGGAAATGTGAGTTAAATTAATGCTTAATTTTTTATGGGAGAAGCTGTGTTCACCTGAGCCAAGAAACTTCTGATAATATATTTTGAAAACTTTCAGCTTGAAATGATTGTAAACTTTACTTTATGCTCATAAAACCACTTACTCTATTCACTTTAATAATATAAATGTCACTATCTTTAATTAAGTAAAATTAAAGGCAGTTGGGACAGAACATGTTTTAAATCAATTGCCCTTTTCTTACTTTCTATTTTCATGATGATTGCTGCAAGCAGAGTCCATTCTTTGTTATGCTGAGGTTTTCCCTTTTTTGGAAGCTCTTTGTATGAAATGAATGCACAATCAGCAATGTCATCTGCAAAGTCTGGACTGAAATCTTCTAATCTATTTGGCAACATTATGGCTTCAGAGTAAAACAAGCATCCTTCTGTAATTTAGTTTAAAGCTATTGTTAGAGATGAGATGAACATTTGACACTCACACAGTGGATGATCATCCTTAGCCCAAAGTAAGATGCGTTTCTATTTCTGTTTTAATCATTTCATTCGTCCCGGCATCCTTACTCATCAATCATTTCATGATGACATAAAAGTAACATTGGGAGTCAGGGGTATTGCTGTAAATGAAAATACTTCAAAAGTGCCAAAAGATGGCTTGAATTTAACTTTTTTTTTGGTTCTAGTTCAGAGGTACGAGTAGCCAAACTTTACGATTTGAAGAACCATTTATAAATCCTTTGTATTAACTTCACTTTTGTTCATGTGCCTTTCTTTCTTGGTGGCGGAAAAATCTTCAGAAGGCTGATTGACCCACTTCCTATCACCCCTTCGAGCCGACTCTTGGCACATAGATTCGTTGCCAATGACAACACATTCTTTCAAATTTTCACCCTCAACCCCCCCAATCACTTGTTTTTCAAGGGGGAAGAAATCTTAAACTTAAACATAGGCTCAATAGGTGTGGAGATTTTAATTGTGTAGCTGTTGCTATGTGCTTTGTGTGTGATGTATTAGTATTTGAGTTTGAGTTTAAATATATCTTTAGTCTATTAGGTTTTACATGCTCAATAAGTTTGATAAAAGTAAAAGCCATTCCCATGCCATACCGTACCAAAAATCAGTTTCTAAAAGTATATAAATTATAAATCACATGCAATTACATAAATGCAAGCAAAAATTTAAAGGATTTATATTTATATACAAAATTAACTACAGATTATTGATTGATTATAAAATTATATATATCAGAATCCGCAGACAGGGTCTGATTGCTAAGTTATAAGTTCAAATTTGTCAAATAATAAAAAAGAGGCTCAATTATTCATTCAAAAAGCCTCATGCAACTCCAAATCATGTCGTTCTTTGATCTCAGCGTGCTATAATAATTTATCTTTTATTTCTAATAATAAGGTAATAAGGTATCCCCACATCTTTGTCAAGCAATACAATTCAATGATAGTAATAGTAATAGAATCGAACTTATTTTAATTTTTTACTGTCACTCAGTCACATATTATTTACTTGATCACTGCACCTCCTGAGTAACTCCCCCTTAAAAATGGCAGCCTCCTTGACACAGCAGACGAAAGAATGTATTTTCAAAACATGTTTATTTTGCAACTTATTCCATAAAACGATTGCTACACGATCTATGAACATAAAGAGATCGCATATTAGTGCAACTGTCCAAAAGTATGTCGCATTCGGAAAGAAGTGGGGCTTATTTATACTACAAATTATCGTTTTTTTGTTGTTGCCATTGTTGATTGAATTGATTGATTCAGTATTTAGCCCAGCAAAAACATTTAATTTTTAGCATTTCAATTTCATAAAAAATTAATATTAAAATTGAATGAACCAAGCTACCAATAGCTTTTGTATGAATTTGAATCAATGATTAAATAAATTTAAGTTATTAATTAAGTTTAATCATTATTACAATAACTCAATTTAGTTTTTGAGTTTGACTTTGTGAGTTGGTCACTCAGTCAGTGTGACCCATCAGATCATCAGAGTTTGATTAACTTGGTGTTGGGCTTGTCAACACTTTATCATTGTCTCATTGCACACGCCAAATAGTAATTATCATTACCTCTCCAAAGTAGGATTTCTAATTCTTTCATGATAGTTATGACTAGAAATATTTTACGAGAACCAAGGCTCATGACCAATCTGTTTTTTTTTTAAATTTTAAATGTCTTATATTATAAATATATTTCACAGAGAGGTACAGCCTGAATGGCAAGGAGTAATAGGGCTGGAAATACATGCTCAGATTAAGACACTTTCAAAGCTTTTTTCTGGTGCTGCAACAATTTATGACGCAAATACCAACACTCAAGTTGCTTTTTTTGATGCTGCGTTGCCTGGAACCTTACCAGTACAGTAACTTTGAAAATATTTAGTTTGACTGTATCAAAACAGGTTATTAAAATGACCTGTAAAATACTACTGGTATATGAAATTGTTAAATATTTTTATTTATGCAATTTTTTCTGTAATATCTATCAATCTTACAACTTATGTGAATATTTTTTTTTTGGCTCTTGAAATTAAAAAGCCATTACAGAAATAATTTACATTCCCTCTCCTTTAGGTACTTAACCAAAAGTGTGTTCAAGCAGGAGTCATGACAGCACTGGCACTAGGATGCGACATCAACCTTGTTTCCAAGTTTGACAGGAAGCATTACTTTTATGCTGACATGCCAGTAGAGATTGCCTTTAGATTATTTTTATTCTTTATGCTCTTAGTCTTAGTAACACCATACCATTGCTCTTTACATATTCCCATGACATCAAAACAAATTAGCTTTGAACTATATTGTATTATTTTTAATTTTTTATCCTAAAAATCTTTGAAATGTGTTTAATATTTCAAGTGATAGAAAGAATATGTCCTAAACAAAGTTAGAAATAGCCAGTACCGGTACCGGTATATTAATAATATTTTTTCAAATGGAGGCAATCTAAAAACTATCACAATCTCATATTCTTCTAATGTTAACAATATTGATTAATGGGTGATCCTAGAACGAGTCATAATTGTGCTATGAGTTTAATATCATGATCATTCTGAGTGAATCTAAATAATCTTTTCGTTCTTTTATTTTTTAACATTTTTTACTTCTTTAATTTCATATGCTAATGAATTGTTTACTTTTTTCATTTCACAGGCTGGGTATCAGATTACTCAATACAGAAAGCCATTGGCAGTTAATGGCCGTATGACTTACATGTTCCAATGCTCACACAACAATAAAATCGAAAGAAGATCTGCTCAGATATTACAGATTCAGTTAGAACAAGACAGTGGCAAGAGTTTGCATGATCCTGCTGTAGGGTACAGTTTGATTGACTTAAACAGGGCAGGTGAGTTATGGCAGTTTTACTGGTTCAAGTTCAAGCAATATTGTGCATTAATATTTTTTTTTACTTGATCGGTAGAGACATTAGTCAGATTCATGAATCAATAAAAAATTATTGTAAACTTTTGCATTTACTTTACTTTAATTTCATTCCTTTGCCCTTTTTTCTTCTTTTTTTTTTTTCTAAATAAATTAATTTGTAAATTATACAGAGATAGTAAGAATAATTATAAAAAGTGTTGGACTGCAATAAAACTTTAAAATATATTAATAAGACACGAACAAATTTTTCAAGTTTAATTCTGTATAATGTACAATTATTATTAAAGCTAACTCATATTGTTCTATTGACACAATTTGTTCGTGTCTTATTAATATAGTAAGAATAAACATTTTAATAGTAGTAGTACCAGGTAAAATCATTTTAAAAATTACTGCAGTATTTCATTGGCTTACCTAGGCATTGGTCTGATGGAAATTGTTACTGCCCCTGATTTCACATCTGGAGATGATGCTGCCAGTTTTGTGAAGGATTTACGAGACATTTTGATTGATATTGGTGCGTGTGATGGCAAAATGGCAGGTAATTCAATTCTAATTCTACTATAACATTCAATTTTGATAAATCTTGTTTAATTTTAATAATGTAACCTTTTGAGTTAGGATATCTTTGACCATCAACCTCCTTTCAAACCCATTGTTTCAGATATTTAACCTTTTGAAATGCCAGCCAGAGAAATATATTTTTTTTCAGCATTGGATGCTTTTTGTGTTTTCATTGCAATGCAATCATTGTCCTATTTTACAATGCTTTCGTAATGTAAATTCTTAAATGTCTAAACTATGCCTAAATACTCAGCCATGCTTGATATTATTGATATCCATCATAAATTTTAATTTCTTTATCAATTGGTTTCATAATAAATATTTTGCAGTACTTTAATTACTTTATGGTACATATTCTTGCATTCGGTGGAATTTTTTTTTAATACTGAGTAGACGGTGTCATTTATTTGTAAAGCAATGTTAGCCTAACACTATGTTGGGCAGCTAGACTGAACCTGTTGCAGGGCTAAATTATTGTTTAGTAAAATATGGCTCCATGGCCTTCATTTTTGTGTGCTTCATTACCTGGTGCTGTATACAGCAGCGGTACCCATTATCTCACTCAGTCGCCATATGTATATTTCTTATTTCTAAATAGTGTATTGACTGCTGTTATTCCTTTAAAAATAAGGTTTTAGATTCAAGGTTCATGTAAAAGAGATTCTCTCTTGATGATTTATGCAAAATCTTGAAAAAAAATAATTGAAGGTCAATGTTGTTGAGTTTGTTATCAATACTGTGTGTTTCATATTTTGTTATTTACATCTTGATGCTAATCTTCCCTCTAATTACTCTTATGCTTGATGAAATATGTTTGAAAATTCTGTTTTAATTGTTGGTGTCTTATTGATATTCCTAGAGGGATCTCTACGAGTTGATGCCAACATTTCAGTTCATAGACCTGGTGAACCTTTAGGAATCAGATCAGAAGTTAAAAATATTAACTCATTTAGGAATATTCGTCTTGCAGTTGGTATGTTTCAAAATACTATATTTTAATAGTATTAATATTGAAAGCTAAATGCACTAAAAAATTAGAAAAATCAATTTCTTTTATAATGAAATAATAATTATTATCAGTATTTAATTGAGCCAATCATTTAAAACTTCTGTACCTGGTACTGGTAGACTTTGCAGAATGTTAAAAAAAAAAAAAATCTTTTTTAATAAGTTCCTGTTAGATAAAAAATAATAACATTATTTACTTCAGGATAGTTATTTTGTACGTTCAATGTGAGCCAAAGATGTTATTGGATCATCTGGTTAAATTAATAAATTCACTATTTCAGATTATGAAATTAGACGGCAAATTCAACTCTTAGAGTCAGGAGAGCAAGTTGTGAATGAAACAAGATCTTTTGATATACAGGATGGGTGGGTGTTTATATCAGTTATTAGTTAATAGACAAATGTTATCACGGCCCTATCTTTTAGTTTATACTAGGGTAAATTTTAATTATTATCTTAAACTATTTTTCAGAACTATTTTGATATTTAAAAAAAAATCTGAACTACTACTATTTTTTTTTCTGTTTGAAATTCACAGTGAGACAGTGACAATGAGAGAAAAAGAGAAAGTACTTGACTATCGCTTTTTGCCTGAACCTAACCTACCACCACTGGTCATTCATAAAGACAGGTCTTCAGTGAAATCATCTCAAAATGTTGTAGTGTTAGAGGAGGTGAAATCAGTATTGAAAGAGTTACCAGATGAGAAAAGAAAGCGTCTAGAGACAAAGTACAATATCAGTTTAAAGAATTCTGTTATATTGGTGGTAAGCTTTTTTGTGTGCTAAATTCTTAAAACATTTAAGTTTTAAAATCATTAAAAAAATACAGTGGTATGCTCATTTATGATAAGTTTTAAAATATCATATAAATATATATTGAAATATTGGAGAACAATTGGAAAATTGTATTTGAGATATAATGCAAATATGCACTTCCTCAATATTGATAGTTTTTCTCTGAAAACATGTTATTCTTTCTCAGCGAGCCAATCTAGCAGAGTTATTTGAAAAGTTGGTTGAACATCATTCGTGTGATCCTGCAGCTGCATCATCAGTACTTAGAAATAGTTATGCACCTTTCTTGGATAAAGCAAAACTGAATTCAACTGACAGGTAGAAAGATTGAATAATAACTCTGTAATTTAAGAGTTCAACTGAAAATAGTTCTGTAGTTTTTTTTTTATAAGATTTTTCATACGGTAAAGAAAACCAATATAGTTTGGATAATAATTTTTTTTTATGAGCTATAATGAGTTCTCAAAGTATGATTATGAAATATCACTCATTTACATTTTCTTCTCAGGCCAATTAGTGATGACGGTCTTGCTGAAATCATTAACATTTATGGAAGAGGAGAAATTAGTGAAACTTCTTTAGGAATAGTAAGATATGTTATGTTATACTTTTGTTTTATTCCGTGCTAAATCAGTTAGGAAAGTACCAAGTTAATTCTTTTATTAGAGTAGCGCTCGTAGTACGAAATCCTTTCTTACTCCCTCCCTATTTCTCACTATACACCTGCCTACCCTACTATTTACTGCTTTTCTATGTACTGGTATTATTATTATGTTTGATCAGAGTGCCTAGCAATTTAACACTGACATCCATTTAATGGGTGCTAAATCACTACCCGGTACTGCTAATCTTACTAGAACTTTGCTTTTCTTTATGAGGATATCCCAAAGTTTTTACACTCTGTTATTACTAAGTTACAAGAGTTCAAAGTTTAGCAAGGCTTGCAACATTCTTGAGTGTAATTATTATAATTATAATTAGGTAGTCCAAACTGAAGAAAAAATGCTTTTTAGGGTCATTTTTCAACATTCTTGAGTGTAATTATTATAATTATAATTAGGTAGTCCAAACTGAAGAAAAAATGCTTTTTAGGGTCATTTTTCATAATTTAAAAAAAAAAAATAATAAATACTTCTAGCAGTGTTACACCAATAAAATTTATATGTGAGTAAAGTTTAAGTCTTTATCTGTCAAAATATATTACTTCTGTGTCTTTAACTTGTATATGAAAGTGTTGTTTGTGTGTTTGAAAAGGATCAGTTTTGACAAATTTTACGGCGCTTTCGTGAGTGCCGATATACCCCATGGTATTTCAAACACTCGTGGCTTCGCATGTATTCAAGTTAGCGACATAATGCTACCACCACGTGAAAGAGCAGATCCTGGCCTTTTATTCGATCTATAGAAAGGTTATCTACCTCGGTTATTTTCTTTTAAAAATGCAATTTAAACACTTAAATTGAAGAAAAATAGTTGAAAATAATGGACTTTTAGTACACTTTTCACACTGATGGAAAGTTCATTTTTATAACATTTTTGTGTTTTAAAATCAAATGAGTGGTGACGATAAACGCGAAGCCGTGCCGTTTAGAAAGACCCATCCGTCATTCGCCCTGAAGTCCTTTTTAACAAAATCTCTCAGAGCGCTTGGTGCTGCGAGTCTACCGGTTTTGCGCAACGGATTAATCGAGCTAGAATCTTCAATCTACTCGTAAGTATTATAATTTAAGTTTCATATACATATTAACTCACGAATTTATTGTTTTGGGTTTGAGTTTTATTCAATTAATGAAAGATATTAGGGTATTTTGTAACGAAACTGAGCTCGTGGGTCTGCCCGTGTACAGGCTTATTCATGTGATGTGATTAGAGGCTCATGTATTTAATTTAGGGCAGCTCATCGATACATATTATGGTTCAACACCTTTCTGAAAGGATAATGTATAATTATTAGTTATAATTTATAAAAATGGAAATAAGATAAGGCCGTAATAATAATTTTTAAATGAGCTTTCTACCCAAAAAAGTGAATCGACAAACTCAAAATGGCTGCCCGCTAGTCTTGTGTACTGGGTTATGTTAAGTGGACGGTCTCATATTATTATCGGGAGAAGAGGTTTATACGTAATTTAAACATCGGTGAATCACAAAATAACTGTTTACAAATTATTGCGATTATTTTGATAGTTGTGTTTTAAATAATTTACTTAGCATAAGAAGTAATAAAAACCAAGGAATAATTGGTTATATTTTATTATATTGTTCTGAACTGTGCATATTATAATATCGACTAAACACTATGACATGGACTCGCCCAATCCACTCATTCTTGAGCCTTATCACTCTCAAATATAATCAGTTAAAATTCACTTAAGTTTAAGTTATTTGAATATATTATATGTCACAGGCTTATTTATAATTATAATAACAGTAGTACTAGTAGTATTATTGACAACCATTTCAACATAATTTCTTTCTTTTCAATGTTATATTTATATATTTAAGTAACAATGGATAACAACACAGATGACAGCACAGAATGTGGTGACTTGGCTGCTGGTACCCACAGTACAGGACCTGCAGTGAACTGTCCACGGATTACCATTAGGAATCTAATATGTAAGTATAATTTCAATACATTTTGAACAAATTAGGCTTATATGTTTTCTACCATTAGATATGATAGAGAATTATGTAATTCTAGTCCACATAGATGTTAATAGAAGTACTTTTTTTAAAATGAAATGTGTTATTACTTAATAATTGTTTAATATTCCATTGCTTATTCTACAGCTGGGGAAATTCTTGATGGCCTATGTGCTTCATTTTTAACTGAAGGGAAAGGGAGAAGACCAACGCCCCCTGCCGTCCCGAGAACTTACAGCCTACTGTTGATGCTGCACTCGATAAAACTACAGGGAAACAAGACCAGTAAGGATGTTATCAAATGGTTCCAGAAGCTGTTTCCTGACAGTCATTACCAACCACATAGATTTGTTATAAAAATGAAACGTGTGGCCTCTACTGCTGTTACACTTATTGGTACTGATTCTTTTATGGACTATGTGTCAACTCCACTAAATTTGGATTCTGTGTCTCCTGCTTTGGATGATTATGGTATTAATTTAAAAAATTATTTTTACACCTTTAAATTTCAATAACACTGTCAAAGTAATGTTATTGTTACAAATCAAATTGTTGTTGATTTTGAACTTTTCAGATCTAAGGAAAGACTGTTCAACTCATTTACTGTTCAGTGGTTGCTTAAATTATTAAGTTATGATGAAAATCCCCTAGAGTACCGGGTATAAGAAAGTGGGATTGCGATGTACAAAAACTGTTGAAAGCACTATGAAGTATTATAAATCATAGATGAAAAGGGGGAAAACTAGTGATGAGGTAAAACAGTTTCTTTGTAAAGAATTTGATTTAAATCTAGGTGATGGAAAAGTGTTACTTGGTGTCAGGGAAGAGGATTAGGGGGTTGAAGGTGTACCAGTTAATGTAGTGCCAGTTCATAAAATTAAATGTAATGAATGTAATGCTTTAAGAGATAAGCTAGCTTCATCGACACATCTTGTCACCACTATTCAAAATGAAAAGCTAGAAATAAAAACTAGATTAAGTGTATTTGAAACAGACAAGTTATAATTATTTAATGAGAAATTAGATTCAGAAAAAAAGTTAAAAGCAAATTGCATGCTTAAATGTAAAAAACTTTCAGAGAGACACAAAAACATAATTCAACACAAGAAAGAAGAGTTTATAATGATGAAATCAAGTTTAGAAAAAAACATAGATGTTGTAAAAAAGGAAAATGATGATTTAAAAGTTAAACTCTCAAAGAGATATGTAATAATAAAACAGCTTAAAGAAGAACTAGCATCTTTGAAACATGATATTTCAAAAGTATCATCAGAAATTAAAGAATTAGATTCAGGTTGTGTTTATTTGAAAGGTGGTAGGTGGAATGTCTATTCTGATAATGTTAGGCAAGTAGTTATAGGTCTTCAGGCAGAGGCAGGAGTAGTTCCCGGAAATGTATCAAATAGTTAGTGAAGGATTATTTAATAATCATATTTCTGGCTCAGATTTACCTTCTAAGCAGGCAGCCATCAATATGTTAAGTGAAGGTTATGTTATTAGTTATTTACAAGCTGTAGAGAGCATTGCTCAGAGTTCAAATTTTATTTTACATAGTGATGGTACTTCAAGAGATCAAAGAAAGATAGTTAACCACCAAGTAACCATTGACAATGGAGACACACTTTATTTAGGATTTAAACCTGTTGCATCAGAAGATGCTAACACTTTATTAGATGTCACTATTGATTTATTTAAAAAATTATCACAGAGTTATGCAGATTTGTCTCAATCAGATTTTCATGAAATATTTAAGTCACTTTTGTCAAAACTGACTAGTACAATGACTGATAGAGCAGCTACAATGAAACTTTTTGATTCAAAATTGGAATCTTTTTTACAATCTGAACTTGGTTTTAATGTAAAATTACATTTTCTTCATTGTAATGCCCATTTTTTATTAGGATTAGGAAGTGCTATTGAGAAGGCAGTATTAGAAGCTGAGAAAGATTTAATAGAATTTATAGAAAGAAGTCTGGGGAGGGATCAAGATGCATACCTTAAGAAGTTTTGTAGAGAATCTGAGAGTGCTACTAAGAGGGTTATCAGATTATGTTGTGATATTCTTGGTCCAACGGGTGATAAAAAAAATGGATGTAGATCTGAATGGATTATTTTTTGTGAAACTTCTTCTGTTCCTAGTTTTAAGAATAATAGATTTAATTGTTTTTTTGAAGCTGCATTTGCAATTATGCATCACAGGCAAAAAATAAAGCAATTGTTTTCATCTGGCATTCTAGGGGGAGATAGAAATTCTAAAATTCAAAGTGTTGCTCTTGATATTGATGACGATATGTTAATGACTATTGTCTGTGCTGTTGCACTTTTTTATATTAAGGTTTCTGGACCTTACTGGAAAATTGTCACCAGTGACAAATGTAATTATTCTCAATTTCATTTCCATGTAAAATCTATGTCTGATTGTTTTAAGACATGGATTGATGATCCTGTTAGTATTTTGCATGAAATTTCTATACCTGTTTTTGGTGTTGAATGGTCTATTGATTTTAAATGTAAATCTGTTGACTTCATTATTGAATTTATTAAAGTTTGTGATAACAAAATTCTCCTGAAAGTAGTATCTGGTATGGCAAGAGGAGCCATGACAGTCCTTAACAGACAGCTGTCTGATTTTCTGAATGGGGGCAAATTATCCTTTTCAGAACATACTATGGCAGAAACATTAAACCACTGTCCTCTAACAAATCTTGTTGGTGAAAGTGCTTTTGGTGATTTTGACTATGATTTGAGTAGGAGAAGAAACTCTTCAATTTTTAATAGATCCTCATTGCATGTTGTGAAAAGAAATAAAACACTTGCATTCATAAAAAGAAAAGCTCTCAACTCTTAAGAGAACTTTATTTCAGTTTGCTAGGAGAAGGGCTGTAATGTTGAAAAAAGAGAGAATAGATGATGAAGAAAATGTAAAAAATTCCATGAGAGAGAAGTTTGTATCAAATCAACAAAAGCTTATTTACAAACGTCTGTCATCGATAATGAAACACTCAGCCATTGTGGCAAATGTTGGAAAACACGGTGGGCCTTGTAAGACTGCAAGTGACGTTGATAATCTTTTGTTGAAGTTAAAACATGACAAAAATTCAAACAACAAAATTTTAGAAATTTTCAGAAATGAAATAAGGTATCATAAGGTTGTTAAAGGAAATAAGCATTTGAAATATGGGTCATTGACATTTATGACAAATTCATTAAAAAACATTAATTTTGATGTTGATGATAATACTTCTTCTGAAGTACCGGTACCACAGACTTCCAGTTCCACCAATTTAAAAAGGAAAAGAGATATGTTATCAAATGAATCCAAGTCACAAAAAAATAAAAGACCTGATTGAATTCACTTTGTAATATTATTACATTGCATGTGAGTGTTTCTTGAAACTATTGCTATTAAGTCAGTGTATGTTATGCTGATTTGCATTATATATAATTTAAATAAGATCTAGGATATGTTCATTTTTGTCACTGATTTGACATATTTTTACTGTTGACATTTTGTATAATGGTACAATTGTGTGCAGGGTACTTGTTTTTAATAATCATTTTGGTGCCAGTAATTCAGTGTTTTTTTATATGCCATTAAGTTTTGAATCACATTGAATGTTATGCTGCTTATAATTATCTTTCATTTGATGTATGATATGTTTATTTTTGTCAATGATTTGACATATTTTTACTTTTAATATTTTGTATAAAATTGTGTAGTGGGTACTTTTTAATCTCATTTTTTTGTGCCAGTGTTGTTTTATTTTGATGCCCTTAAGTCCTTAAGTTTTGAATCACAGAGCATGTTATACTGCTTAAATTTATCTTTCATTTGATGTATGATGTAAGATATGTTCATTTTTGTCATTGATTTTATATATTTTTATTGTTAATATTTTGTACCCATTAATGCTAAGTTGCTCTCTTTTTTTCATGGTATAGGGCATGGCTTTGCTTCTTATTATTCTATTTTTTATGAATAGGCATATCTGAGCTCATTTTTTTTTACAATTTTGTAACAGTTATGTGGTACAATGCGTTTTTAAATCGCATTTTGATAACCTTCATTTTCTATAAAATTGTGTCGTGGGTAATTTTGTCCTTAATTTAGTGCCTGTAGGTATTTCTTGTTGCCATTAAGACACAGTGCATGTTATGCTACTTTAAATTATCTTTCATTTGATGTATGATATATTTATGTACGTCTGTTAAATATTTTTTAACGAATTTTTAAAAATGGTGTATTTTTACACTTTTTCTGTCTGAAAATAAAAACGACTAAAAATCATTCTTGTTATTTTTTATTTTTTACTAACTAAAAATTAATAGATCTGGCTGCTTGAAAAAAATTGGGCTTACATATTGTAAACTTTGGAGCACATACACTAATTCCTGGACTTCTCTGTTGATTATTTTAGAAAATATAGGTCCTTAAACATGGCACTTTTTCACAAGGAGAAAAAATCCATTTTTGGTAGATTTTCAGCAAATTTAAAAATCGCATAAGTTTTTTGTTTATTGAGATATCTACATGAAATAAGTGGGCTATATCTTAGAATAAAAAGTTCTGTCAGATGAAACTCACCACATATGTCTGCTATGTTAAAAAAAAATTAGTTTGGACTACCTATTATAATATTAGCAAGTTAAAATGATGAAACTAGCCAACAGAATTTGGCAGAATATCTACCAGTACCACTGAAATTGATTCAGAAAGTTATATTAATTTATTAATGATCATATGGTTAAGGTTGACTCTGAATTGAATTTAACGTTTTAAAATTAGAAGGGAATTCCTTTGCATGCGTGGAGGTGGTTATGAAGTCTAATGCTGCATTTGTAGATCTATAGCAACTAGCATTTGGGACAGTCAAATGCATCATTTACAACAGATACTAATATTAATAAATTATTTTTAATGAGCCTAAGTAGTTCAAATGATGTACATCAAATAATTTGTTTTTTCTTTTCAGCTCCTTCGAGAGAAATCAGAAAACATTCATTTGTCTTGCAAAGAGATTATGGATAAAAACAATTTATGTATTCTCAATGATGAATTATTAATCAATGCTGCTATAGATGATGTGTGTGAAAGAAATCCAAAAGCAGTAAGTCACAATATCTATGTTAATGTGACCTGAGCATCTTTTTGCAAAGTACATAAAGATGAAAATCCTATTTTAAAGAAACAATTTCCTTTCAGTTTCAGTACCGGTACGTTTACTTTACCATTCCAATGAATCACAATGTTAATATATGTATCATTACTTATATATTAGTATCAGTCAGCATTTTGATACATAGGCACTGAAACTGAAAGGAAAATGAAATATTAAAATTGAGTTATAGTTATAGCTCTTAAGTTCATATATGTGGTTCTACTTCTATTTCTGTGTCTAGCCATCTTGGGATCATAAATTTATGTGGGTTAGAATATTTTTGTTTGCAGTTATTTACATAATCTTCTTTGATGGATAAATTAAGTTGACAAGTTCAGTTTTACTCGACTGAGGAAAATAGGGAAAGCTGAACTAGAAACATCCATAATACTGGTATGTGTAGTTTAAACCTGAATTCAATCAAAATACAAATAGTTTTTTTTAAAAATTATTATTTCCTAATTAACAACAGTTTTTACCATCTGCTTGTGACTGTCACTGAAGGGAAATCAGAAAAGCCTTGCTACCAATACCGGTATTCTTGTGTCAAAAGCAATAGCGATACCAGTAGATTTTTTTTTTTTTTGAGGAACCACCTTTAGTACAACCCACCTTCTTTATCACAGATACCAAAGATCAGTTGGATCAGGGTGAATTATTTTGCTCAAACTCAAAATAAGGACAGAAAGATATAAAAATTAATTTGATTCCAATCTTTCAGATTTTACTTGCACTTGTTCTTGTATGCTCCCCTGCTGTTGCAAAATCTCAAGTTAACTGTTAACATTGTCTTAGGGAGTGAAGTTCCATGATAAATAATGATTTTGCGCTTGAGAAATACTTATGATGTGTAGTGTTTAAAATTTTCTAGTTTAAAAATGTTTGTCTTGTAAGAATATTTATCTATGTTCTGAAAATGAATATGATATACCGGGTACTGGGTAGTTACATGGTAAATCAAAATCATTTTCATTTATTTTTATCAATAAAGGAATCTTACCGGTATCTGAAGAGCACTAGTACTCTTAAAATTAAAGATAGTAACTTTATAAAGGATAATATTGTGGAGATAGTGTTCAGGCAGCATGATGGAAGTACCGATACGGTACCGGTATTAAGACAAAAGATGACTAAGGATATTTCAGAGGAACCCTTTATTGTTTGTAGAAGAAGGCATTCTCTTAAAATATTTTGTTTAAAATACCGTAATAAAATAATTTTCTTCTGTTCAGGTACCAGTATATCAATATCAAGCTTCCCCATTTCTTTTTCTAACATCCCCAAATTTGATAAAAGTTAAAGGGCAGAATAGTAGGTTGTTTCATAAATATCACATTGACCCCTTTAATTATACTATAGAAGAACTTGGAGGTGACTCTGTTTACTCAATTTTCTTGTATTTAAAGTGTCATGCAACGTACATCCCACATATTTTCTATTGATATATCATACCGGTACATGACGATGCAGCAAAAATAAAAAATTTATCATGTTTTGTGATGTACCAGTACACTGTACTGGTACATTACATACAAAGTCAATGAGCTAATGCTCAATATTTATCTTATTATTTTTTTTTATGTATCAGGTGAAGGCATACAAGAAAGGAAAAACCAATCAATTAGAAATACTATCAACGAAGGTAAAAAAGAAATTGGATGGGAAAGTTGCTTCTGGTAAACTTTATCAACTTGTAAAGGAGAAACTTCAGAAATAATTCAACACCCTTGGAAAATTATCATGTTATTTTTATGTTTCAAGTTGAAATTCTATATACTATATTTACAAAATTCTTTCAGTAGGGTATCGGTATCCCTCAACCTAAAGATTTCTGTTCTTCACTTTTATTACTGGTATTGGTATCTATAGAATACCCGTAGTTTTGATATTTTTTAATTACAAGGGTCTCCTGTGAAATAATAGTTATAATTTATAATGGTTTAAGTTTAATAATTGGTAGAGACTGCAATCAGGTTAGAAAAATGGATATGAGCGAAACAAAGTGCCTCACAATCTCATAACCCAACATATTTTCTTTAAAACTGTGCGATTCTCCTCGCTGACCACGACATTGTCTCTTTGATAAAAATCTGCAAGACCTCCTTGTGCGAATTTGCATCAAAGCTGCCCCCTCCCATTGGGACCAAGCCACGTGGACTCAGCCATTGCAACAATTACCTTTTCATCATCCCGACTCAACACATTCCCTTCCTTAAGGCAGTTTTCAGATAAGGGATGGTTTCCTTTGTACCGGGTACAAGCCCCAATGTTGTCTGTGCCATTGTTTGTACCCGCTGTCAGATGTCGTATATAGACTAGACAGGACGTCAACTATCTGACAGATGAACTGAACACCTCTGTAATATTATGTAAGATAAGCAGTTTCCCATCTCAAAACACTTTATTAGAAGTGACCACAAGGGGTCTGAGGATTTTACTCTCGGCGCGATTGTGTCCTGTACAAACACACCAATTCGGGTGAATTAGGAAAACAAGCTGATCCAGATATATGGAACCTTGACACCACATGTCATGTTTTCGTTCACCTGTTAAACATTTTCTCCGCACCTTCTCGTTACAACCAATCACAGTGGACTTACTTTTCCTCTCTTCTGTCCCTTTTTGCCTGTACCAGTCTTTAATCTCTCCCCTACTTATTTTCTGTCAAATTCCTCTTGATGTTCTCTCAGATACTATGTTAAGCTAATTATTTAATTCTGTTTTTACTGTTTATTCGCTGATGAAGGCTTCTTGCCAACACAATGGTTATTTTATTGCATTTTCCAGGTTTTCCCATATCGGTACTTTGTTTCGCTCATTTCTAAAATAATGGTTGCGTAATGTACACTAGAAACCATTCTAGGTCTAGATACCCGGTACCAGTACCGTATCTTTCTACATAAACTTTATTACATAGACTCTATATTTTAAAATTGCTCAGTTACCCGCTTTTGTCCATGTAAAAATTTCTTAGATACCAAAAAAACACACACCGTACCACATTTAATTTAAATCCCTGCCATGACCTCGTTTCATATATCAATTATCAAGTATCCAGAATACAAAGTAGTAATCATATAATATATTCTCAGTTGTTTTTTTATGAAATATGAAACAATCTACCAGTACACATACTTATAGTTACCAATAATTTGAACAATGGTTTTAGTTAGGAAAAAAATGACCATGTTTAAATAATAATTTTAATTACCTATATGTAATTTCCAATTTTTCTTTGTTGCTAAATCAAAAAGAAATAAACTTATCACAAATAATAATTCATTAGATTTGTATAAACTGAAACTGATTGCAAATAATAATCTTCTAGATTTGGATGGCTGTGAGTAAAACTGTTCAGCAGGTGCATAAATAAAAATGCCAAGAAATAGCACTAGTTGGAATTCTTATAAAGTGGTTTCTTGAATGCATGTTTTGTCAAGTAACTTTTTAGTAAATGGGAAATTCATGCATTGCCACTGTTTGGCGGGTTATTTCTAGTTACTATGAAAAATAAAAATTGTTGAAACCATCAAATATGTATTCATTTATTGACTCAACATAATCATGTTAACAATTAACAATACAACGTGTCAAGATTTTAAAAAATAATTAAACAATTAAATGCACATATTGAATATAGATAGAACAACACAGAAGCAAATTATTTCCAAAATGGAAATTAACTTATTTGCTTATTCACACTTTATTTTAAACAAAATGCCATAAGCAGAAAAAGTCAAGACCAAAAAATTGTAATTTTAGTTAAAATAACATTATTGGCATGACAAAGATTTTTAAAAAAAAATGCTGATAGTTACATTAACTAACTTTTAAAATCATTGCAAAACTGAAAATGTACCAAATGACCTGCTTTAATAAATGGCAAACATTTAAAAATGCATGTCAATGTACCGGTACGTCTCCCTCTTAGATACTTGATAATGCCTTAGGAAAGTATTGTGTCCCTTAAGAACAAATAATTTCATTTATAATATTTATTTTCACCCTTCAAATTTGAATTATTCAGATACTGTAACATACATAACAAAGGTCATATATTCTAAAACAATTTGAGTGAATTAGTGCAAAATTTTCACTTGTACTTGTACACCAATTTGAAATCCATCATATAAAACATAACTTAACATGAATTTAATCATATCATTGAGCGCAAAATATTTCTATAAATTCTATTATTTGAACAAGTTTGTGAGAACAGCATTATTTTTAAAAATCTTGGAGCCTTATTAAAACAAGCAAAAGTAATCAATTGGGAGAGTGAACTAAGAGAACTCATTAAAAGAAAGCATGGCAACAAAAAGCTGTACAATATCTTACACTAAATTTATCAATTATTGGCACTGTACAAGTCTAGATCAATTTTTCAGTTCTTACAAGTTTCAATAAGGTAATAGTAAATAGATACTTGTAGTGCAGTAGAAATTGTGATTCTAGACTCATTTTTATTTCAGTCAAGTACTGCTTGGAAAATTGGGCTTGATTTGTCCAACTTCCATTACTGGTAATTGATATCAAATTGTTGTTGACACCCCAACTGTCTAAGATGATAGTGAAGTGTCTGTATTCATTCTGCAAAATAAATAAGGAACAATGAAGCCATAATTGAATAACTTCCAAGAGTATCGGTACCGGTAATTAATTAAAGGGCCTAGGATTGAAAATGACATATCTGTTCTTAAGAGCAGCCCACCGCGTTTCATTAACAGTACTAAAAAAAAAAAACACGTTTATTTATTAGATTCAGTACAGTTGATTCAAGGACAAGTTTATTTATACCCATAACCCATTAAAACCTCAAAATGTTATTACTGGTAAGTGTAAAGAAAAAATGAACACACCTCAGAAAAAATTTGCATATAATTCTGTATCAAGCTGCTATATAATTTTTCAAATCAGTTAATGTGCATTTATTAAAACGGGAATAATTTAAAAATATATAAGGTTTAAGTTTATTATGTAAATCAATAATATAATGGAGTTGTGGAAGGGCTTTGGTCATTTGTTAATGTTAACCAACCAGACAACTTTTATTCACAACTATTTTTATTAAACAACTTTTATTCAAGCATCTTCACCATGTCATTTACAAAAAACAGTACCAGTAGTTAAATACCTGATTATGCTGGATGAAGACTGACTACATTCTGTCTACAAGGTTTTGAGTTGAGACACTGCAGAGCTCTCTGAGCCTCTTCCCCTGATCCAAATCCAACAACTGCATTGCCAGTTGGCTTTCCTTCACTGGAGTAGTGAAGTCGGATTGAGTCACCAATGGGACGAAACCCTTGAAAAAAGTGTAAAATTTCTGCAATGGAAATGTCTGGTGGAAAATTTTGACACCTTACATAAAACCAGTTTTTGTTTAGCACACCCGGAGGAATAGATTTGCTGCCCCCTGGGGTAACAGTGACTCCCTGAGGCAGAGGTTTGTTCCCCGCTGGAGGAACACTGGCACTGCTTGGTGTAGCTGGACTCAAACTAGGCAACAAAGACTTGTTTCCTTGACCATTTTGTGAGGTTTCTTGTGGATCATTCTTGGGCTTCTGAATGACGGGGGAATTTTCTGGCTGAACTTGCTCCTGAGGTTTGTTCTGCTCCTGGTTAGACTGTGAGGTTTGTGGAGATGGTTGAGGTGGAAGTCCCCTTTGTCTAGCATTCTCAAGCCGTTCCAACATTTCCTTTTTACCTATAGGCTTTACAGCCACAATGTGACGCCCTAATGATGTTTTATCCTTTTTAATAGCCTTTTCAAAGTCAGATTTAAATTTGAATTCGACAAAGCCTTCACCAAGCGGCTTACCTCTGCCATCATGAGCTATGTTAATCCCTCTCATGGCTATCTGACAATCAGAAAAGAATTCTTTAATGTCCATTGGGGTTGCCAGCAATGGCAAACCCTGTATGTGAACACATACTGTTTCTAGATTTTGTTGTGTAGCTTCTTGAGGTGTTGAAGGTCTGTTAGTTTGTGCAGACATCAGGGGCTGTGGTGCTCCTGTGGGCTGTGCCGTTGTTGGCCTTGGTCCGGCCATGCCTGGCCTTTGACTTTGTAGTTGGTTCAGTGGCATTTTAAGACCTGTCAAATTGCGTAAAGCTGCTCTCTGAAACATTTCTTGCTGTTTGAGCTTAAGATTGTCAGCATCTTCCTTTTTTCCAGGAAATACTCTGATAGATGCAGTACCTAACAGTGTGCCATCCTGTGTCAATGCCTTTTTGTAATCATAATCACTCTTAAACTCTACAAATCCTTTTCCTGTGGCAAGCCCGGTTGCATCAAACTCAATGTAACTTGCTTCTCCATTGTTGTCTATTGACAAGCCTTTGAAGAACAGTGCTATATCTTGTTTGGTTATGCTTAGAGGGAGATTACTTAGCTGTACAATGTAGCGTATCTTGTCATTATCAGGTGCCTTGGCTGCTGGGGGCTCAGCTTTTCCCTTCTCTAAATTACCAGTTCCTTCTTTTCTGCCAGGAACAAATGAATCAACCGCCTTGTTGAAGTCAGCTTCGATGCATGACACAACACTCACAGACTGACCCTCCATTTTATCTCCATTCCGTTTCACAGCTCTACTAGCGTCATCAGTTCTACGGAACTGAACAAATGCTTCTCCTTTTCTCTGACCTTTGTCATCATTGATTAATTTAAGTCCATCAAAAGGAATATCAAGGGGATGAAAGAACCGTCTCAGATCTTTGTATGTGATTGACTGGGGCAAATTTTTAACATGAACAAATCTTGTTTTGGCCTCCTGTCTCCTGGGTGACCCAATTTTTCCATCATGATCTCTGGTTGAGCCAGATTTATCTCGACTTCTGCGGCCGTCCTTATCACGACTGCCCCTATCCCTTGATCTGGACCTTCTTCTGTCTCTTTCATACCTGTATCTTGACCTGTCCCTGTCATCATTTCTTCGATCATCTCTCTCTCTATCCCTTCTGTCCGATGACTTGTGCTCTCTGTCTTTATCATGGCTTCTCCTTGATCTGTGATCGTAATCTCTCTTTGATGCTTCAGATTGGATGTTGTCTCGTTTGACAGGCTCTACTTTTGAATCCTTGTCTTTGTTTATCTCAGCTGGAGGAGCATCCCCTAATAATCCTTTGCCACCCCCAGGTTTAAGGTTTAATTCTTGGGGTTTATCTGCTGCCAGTGGTCTTACGGGTGGGGCATCTGGACGTCCACCTATATTCCTGGCGTCCACATCCATGTTGAACCTGCTTTCAGGACCAACGTCTTCAAATCTCCTATCCATGTCTAGTCCCCGTCCTCTTCCAAATGGACCTGGTCTTCCTCTGATGAAGGGTTCTCCTCTACCACGTCTTTCAAACATTCCTCCCCTACCAGGTGGTCCTGGGAAGCGACCATCATGATCTCCTGCCCCAAATTCATCTTCGTTTATGTTGCCGCCCATTGGCCCTGGGCGCCCAACAGGTCCATGTCCATAGTCAAATCTATTATCATCCATTAAACTATTTAAACCAGGCCTTGTAGGTGCATCCATTCCTAGCCCACCTCTGCCTTCCATACCTCGACCCCTGGCTCCCTCAATCCCTCTTCCTCTCATTCCATCCATGCCGCGACCTCTGAAACCCTCAAAACCAGGCCCTCCAACATCCCCACGTCCTCCTTCAAATCCTGGTCCTCTATTTTCAAATCCAGGCCCTCCTCGACCTTCAAATCCTAGTCCCATTCGACCCTCAAAGCCTGGTCCCCCACGACCTTCAAAACCTGGTCGTCCCTCAAAACCCGGTCGTCCTTCAAAACCTGGACCTCCTCGACCATCAAATCCAGGTCCACCCCTGCCCTCAAAACCTGGTCTCCTCCCTTCAAATCCAACTCTCATTCCTTCAATTCCAGGCCCTTTCATGTCATCCACAGGTCTTGTTGCTCTCTGATCCATATCCATGGGTATCTCTTCAGATCCACCAAGAGGTGCCCTGTCACCACGTCTAATTCCAGGCATGTCTGGGTTTTCAAGAAGAGGAGCCCGTGGTCCCCCTGGCCTTGGAAAACTTTCTTCCCCTTCTCTGCCGATTCCAAAATGGTCCCATCTTGAAGGTCTTTCATCCATCAGTCCACGTGGACCTCGAAACTCTCTCTCTTCTCCATCTCCACCTCTAAATGGTCTCTCAGGTGGAAATCTACGATCTGGCGGGAAAAACCTTCCTTCTTCTGTTTCCTCATAATCCCTCATACCTGGACGCATATCTGTGTGACCTTCATGAATGAATCTTTCATCTGCACCTCTTCGACCTCTCTCAAATGAAGCTCTATGGCGCAACTCTTCCTCACGTTCTCTATACCTCACATCCTCAGGTGCAAAAGGGTTGTCACCAGGTCGTCTTCCCATAAACCCTTCTGGTCTAGGTCTATCTTGATGCATGCCCATTCTATCCTCCATATGAAATCTCCCATCTTCAGGAGGAAATCTATGACCATCCATGTCAGGACCAAACCGCCTCTCATTGTCTGGAAAACGATTATCAAGAGGGAAAGGTCTCTGGGGAAACTTTCTGTCACCATCTGGAAATCTTTCATCTTGGGGAAATCCTTGATCTCTCAGGGGCATTCTAAGGTCATCAGATTGTGGAAATCTACCATCATCTGGTGGAAACTGACGTTCATCCAATGGGAACCTGTCATCGGGTCTTGCTCTCACAGGAGGGAAACGCCCTGCAGGTGGCCGTGTTTCTACCCCTGCAGGTTCTGGCTCATCATCTGGTGGGTACCTTGTACTGGGCATTGAGTCATCATTTGGAGGCCTGTGAGCCTCACTGTATCTGTCACCAGGTCTGTCAGGGAACTTCTCTCCAAGAAACCTTGTTCCATGTTCTTGATCAGCAGGAAACCTGCTACCGGGTCTCATATCTCTGCCAGGAAATGGAATATCTCGATCCATTAAACGGTTTGGTCCTTGTTCCATTGGCTTATCAGTGGCCACTCCACCCGGCATTCTGTTCAAACGCTCTGCCGATGAGCCCCTCATAGAGAAGTGATCAAATGGATGCGGATCTTGACCCGCAAATGATTCCCTGTTCATTAAAAGAGAATTATCATTGTTACCAGCTGATTCAAAGGATTTCTGGTTGGATTGAAAATTGGAGTCTTGCATGTTACCTGGCCATTGTGCCATGTCTTTATTTCTGTTATCTAAACCTACAGCTGGTTTCTTGTCCTCTGCAAACTGATTGACAAATTTATCTGCAGGGGCCATTGGTTTGGTTGCATCAGAAATTGATTGGTCTCCAATAGGAATTGATCTACCCATAATGCTTTCATTCACTCCTGGGATGTTAATGTGTCCATGTTGCCCAAGGATGTTGCCAGTTCGGGCTTCATTTCCAGGCACAAATCTGCCAGGTGGTGCGTTCGTAAACCCTCGGTTTGGGTTTATTCCCATCTGGCCAGGAAAGCTACCTTGACCTCTTCCCAAGACAGCGGCATTCCCCATTGATGCATTATCCACCTGGTTTACACCAGCATTTGCTGAAAGGTTCCCTTGCATTAAAGTCTCATTGAACATATTAGACTTTTGGTTCATTTGATTGATTTGCCCCTGGCTGGACATGTCAGGGACTTGCTGTACTCCCCCTCCCAAGCCAATAGAGGCTAAAATATTTTGGGATAACTGGCTTGGCTTATCTGTAAACTGAGAATTGACATCCGAGGGCCCTTTCATGGCTGGTGGCATGCTTCCATACTGTCCACGTGCATCATTTGTGCTTTGTAATCCCATGAATCTGTTATCACTTGGAGGTGGTCTCTGGTTCTGTAAGTTAAACTGGTTTGAAATAGCGTTATTCTGTTCATCACCTCTGCCACCATACATTTGAAATCCTTGCCACTCATGTTTGCCAAACTGATTGGACGGTTCTGTATTAAATCCACTATTCTGATTTCCAGTTATGCCCATGTTGGTACTGTTTTGTTTGTCGACAGGAAAGTTTTCAGGTGGTATGTTAGGAAATTGTTGTCGCTGTGTTGGAACATTCACTTGGGGGAGAGCACCTAAACCTGGGGTAGCAACATTTGATGAGCTCCCTGACCGGGCTGCGTCAATGACACTCTGCATTTCTGACTTGCTGCTGAGGAACAGCTGAACTGGTGTTCCGTTGAGTGGACACAAGTTTTTCTTCATGGCTACTCTGGCATCATCGTCAGAGCTGAATGCAATGAACGCATCACCCCCTTCTCCTCCAATAATGTGCACCCCGCCAGCCGGAATGCTTAGCCCAGTGAAGAAATGACGAATGTTCATTGCACTTGCTGACCAGGGCAAACCCTGTAAGCGAATTATGACCGACATTTTCAATAGGCTACCTGAAAAAAGAAGAAACAGGAGTATATTTAGAGAAGTTAGCCAGCAGATAACTTTGAATCATAAGTACTTAATGCATAATAAATAACCTATTTCAACCATTTAAAAAATGAATACCGGTACCGGGTGCTTATGAAGTGGACAATGATATGTTAAAGCTTGAAAATAAAAGGCAAGACAATTAAGAATGTTTGGGCTAGATGCCTTCTTCAGCAAACAATTCAGACAATACACTACAATAAACAACTGATAAATATAAATGAGAAAATAAGAATTTTGTTTTCGAAGATCTCAACAAAGTCAGTGTACCGGTAGTTCTGTTCTGAAACGTCCACTTAATTGTACCGGTAGTTCTGTTCTGAAACGTCCACTTAATTGTACCGGTAGTTCTGTTCTGAAACGTCCACTTAATTGTAGCGGTAGTTCTGTTCTGAAATGTCCACTTAATTGTACCGGTAGTTCTGTTCTGAAACGTCCACTTAATTGTACCGGTAGTTCTGTTCTGAAATGTCCACTTAATTGTACCGGTAGTTCTGTTCTGAAACGTCCACTTAATTGTACCGGTAGTTCTGTTCTGAAACGTCCACTTAATTGTAGCGGTAGTTCTGTTCTGAAACGTCCACTTAATTGTAGCGGTATTGTCTTATATTTTCAAGCCTAAACGTATCTTGTTCCAATGTTTTTTTACTGGTAGGTACTTATGGCTTGAACCAGTCCCTCATGTAGGTATTAAAAATGAATACCGGTACTGATTTTATGACCAAATAATTGCGTAACCTTGCACGAGCACATCAACTATGTAGTTATGATATGTGGTTCCCAAACTTTTTAAATACCGGCTATCTCACTTTCGAAAGGGTAACCCACAAAAAAAAAAGTGATTAAAAAAACACCAACAGGGTTTAAGTCAGCGGTTCTCAACCTGTGGGTCGCGACCCCTTTGGGGGGGGGGGTCGAACGACCCTTTCCCAGGGGTCGCCTAAGACCATCGGAAAACACATATATTCTACAGTTATGAAGTAGCAACGAAAATAATTGTGTGGTTGGGTACTATGAAGTTATGATATGTGGGTCCCAAACTTTTTAAATACCGGCTATCGCACTTTCGAAAGGGTAACCCACAAAAAAAAAAGTGATTAAAAAAACACCAACAGGGTTTAAGTCAGCGGTTCTCAACCTGTGGGTCGCGACCCCTTTGGGGGGGGGGGGTCGAACGACCCTTTCCCAGGGGTCGCCTAAGACCATCGGAAAACACATATATTCTACAGTTATGAAGTAGCAACGAAAATAATTGTGTGGTTGGGGGTCGCCACGACGAGCTGTTTTAAGTTTAAGGGGTCGCGGCATTAGAAAGGTTGAGAACCACTGGTTTAAGTGAAAATAAATGTTAACAATTATTAAAGCCCACTTAAAAATGACGCTACAAAGCTGGAACACCCCCCCCCCCACTTATCCAAACACAGAAAATCGATGTATAATAGCAGTGCTTTTTAAACTTTTAGTGTTGGCGACACACTTTTAAAGACGTACATTATATCAAAATCATTTGGCGACCAGGGCGCTGTCATTCGATACCGGGCAGTTCATTTGTTGAACGAACAGACAGGACATCAGCTTAGTTACTTTCTCTCGATTTGCTCTTTACGTTAATATTTTTTTTGGTCTATTTTTGTCTAAAATTTTTTATCCAATCAATCCAGGAAGGGGGGCAAGTGCATGAGCCATGTGACTTCTGCAAAATAACGCTCGGTTCCATGGATGTCACTCTAAAAGTTGAAGAGAGTGAATGTTCGGAGTACCGGTAGTAGAAGTAGAAAAGAATGGTTTCTCATGCCAGTCATTTCCAAGGGTTTTGTTTTTGTTTTTCCTCATCCCGGGACAAAATTATTTTCATTAAAAAAATATTTGAAACTGAATTAAATTATGTCTTTCTATGCTGTTTGGAAATTAAAAAAACAACAACATTACTTGTGCATAAAAAAATAATATTACAAATTAATACTACTACTACTTCTACTACTACTACCGGTACTACTACTACTACTACACATAATTGTTTGACACATGAACATCTCTGGGTAGTCAAGTTACTAGAGCACAGGTTTCCTCCAGCCCATGGGAGGTGGCATCAAGGGGGGTTGCGAAGGTCGGGTACTACCCGTTACTTATGTGAGTCCGTCGGCTGTAGTTATTTTCTTAGCACTGTCTTTGGGGTTAAACAATTGGTTTCTATTTCTATGCTTTGCTTCTGCCCCTTTGTACATTAGAGTGAAAAATCCTTTTTCTGAAAGGTGTTGCATAAAAGCATAAGGCAGCAAGGTACCGGTACCGATAGTTAAATAAAGCATATTTATTATATAATATTATTCCAGTCGACGCCACATGAACTCGCACATGTAAGAAACCAGCGTACCGGTACCAGTGTGTCTGTGTGTGCTATTGTTTCTCTCCTTAGCCGTTTTCCAAATAAGAACGTGCGATTTGTTGAGTATGTGCACCCGTGTACCGTAAGTTTCGTGTCCACAAAGTTGATGGAGTGTTGACAATTCCGTTGCAGGTGCGATATTTGTCATTACTCAGTACTTCGATGCCTAGACTAGAAGAAGAACGTGTGCTGTCTATTAATTGGCATAAGTATACCGGCAACTGTTGTTTTGTTTTGTTTTTTGGGGGGGGGGGGGGAGTCAAAACACGAAGCCAGAGGAGTACCAGTTACCGAGGAAGTGGCAAGACACGGCTATACCGTGGCACAAAATCGGCGAGCCGGAAAAATACTGTTGCACTACTATCGGTGCCGTACACATTCTGCCGCGACCCCTCTCTGGCTCTATTCGCATCCGTGCGCAAACTTTCCCAAATCAACACCCACTCCCTAAACAGACGTACCGGTACCTAAAACTAACCACTAACATGAATTGTCTCATAATCTTACTCTGCTGTTCTTGTAAGTTACATTCATATGGTAACCACTGTATTGATACCGGTACCGTATGTGATTTCAATGGCATCGTTTGAATACATCGGTTAAAGAAAGAAATTTGTTTGAAGGAAAATTGGTTTTAAATAATGTGGGGGGGGGGGGGCGGGATTAATTAAATTTCTTATAAAAAAAGTTTCTAATTCTACCCCCCACCCCCCCCCCCCTAAAAAAAAAAAACAACAACCACCAAATAAAAAAACAACAAAAAAAAAAAACAAAAAAAAACAACAAACAAACCATTACAATAAAATAGAATTATCTCTTTAAGAAATTTAATTTTGAACAAACTTACATTCGAAAACATTTGATCAATTAAAAGTAAACCTGAGAACAAACTGCCATGCTTTATTTTTAATTTTTAAAAAGTTGATAAATTGCAACCAAATATATTGAGTTATCTCCCTTATTACTATATTAGCGGTGGAGAAGAAGAAAAAAAGTTGGGGGCGGAAGTGTGATTAAATTGCGATACCCGCGAAATGGGGTGACTGCCTATTAAAATTATACCGTAATTACGGTATATAACTTATGGTACCGGTACTAATATATGTTCTAGAGTTATTTCCCCATATTTTTAACTGCCAATTAAAAAAAGCCAGACTTGTTGCTTTATTAATTTATATTATGTTTTTCGCTTTCTCTTGCCAGACCGTAAGATTTGACTGTTGGATTTGGAGCTCGATATTTTGCTGATTTATATGAGTTTAAAATTTCATATTTTAAGTTTTAGGTACCGGTATTATAAATTATAATTTATTTCCCTATGCATTTAATTTGTATAAATTTGAAGGATAAAAAGGTTCATCATGTTGCTGGTTAAGTTCATGTTTAATAAATCTTTTCTTTATTGCTCTTTATGTTGAAGTTGAAGTTTTCTTTCACAGGATGGGGAAAAGTCGCCCAACGGGCTGATACATTGATTTTTAATCCCGGGTAATTTAATTTATCTCTTTGTTTTTCCTGGTCCGCATGTGTCCCCTCCCTCCAGGTTACAGAGGTCCGCAGGCGCATACGAAAATGTACAGCAGGGGGTCTCAAACGCGCAGGCCTTTTCTTGTTGACATTACACAGGAGCTTAATGTACTCAACAAGACGTTACAAGATCATGGGAAGCTTGTCACTGTCAGTGTTGCCTATGACAATGTCAGGACATTCTGACAAAATCTGGTGTTATGGTTCTCAGAGAAACCTCTGCCATTTCCCAAACATGAAAATTACTCAAGGACTCGGGCACACCATTCAGTACCGGTAGTAAGTATACTATGCCATTGTAAAGCTACCGGTACATGAAAAATTTGATCAAATTTTTTAAGACTTCAAAACACCTACAGCCACTTTTCAGCTTTTTGTTGACCCCCCCCCTCTCTTTTCGCGCTTAAAATGGAGCTCATTGATCTTCAGTGCAATTCTAAGTTCAGGGAGGTGAATGGAAAAACAGACAGGCATGGACAATTTATGAGAGCATTGACGTCCACCTTCCCTAAAATTTCCACTTTCATGTACCTTTTTGGGAGTACTTATCTGTAAGAAAATCTCCTTTTCACTATTAACTTTCACAAGTAAAAGTTCAAGGCCAAACTTACTGATGGACATCTTCAACTTAAACTTAAGGCTATACTCAGGGTCTCAGTTGCTTCCTCTCAAGCCAAATGTTGCTCAGCTGTGTAAGAAGAAGCGATACCAGGTAACAAGTTAACAAGGAGTAAAGAAAGTGAACACTAGTTCTTGAGAACCCTTACTTAAAACTTAATGTCTGTATTTCTTATTAAGAGCAAATTGTAACAGTTGTACTTAATCGAATTTTTAGCCGCTTGTTGAATACCGGGATCGGTACTTAATGCGGCCTCGTCCTACTCAGACGCTACCTCCTGCGCCCCCCCCCCCCCAATTTTAGTATGACACCACTGATGTACCGTACAGTGAAAAAATGCTAATAATTATAACTAACAACTATAGTAACAATTATAAAGAGCTAAGACTACTAAGAGTCACTAGATTTTAAACTTCTAATTCATTTTGTTATGGCTCCATCCACTGATTACGTACCGGTACACACTGTGGAGAAGAAAAAAAAAAGGGGGGGGGGTGATTTGTGGTACCCGGTATCTCTAATTAGTCTAATAAATAAACCCAACTGTCACCATAATAATGTGAAAGTGAAAGCCATATTTAAATTTATATATTTTACGGTCTTAAACTTAAATTAAATGAAATCATCGCAATGTTTTGTATTGATCCTCATACTGTTTCTTTTAACTGTGACGAAATTTGTGACTTGATCATTTTGTTGGGCCGAAGCAAACAAGCAGCACTGGCGAACAAAAAAGTGGGAGGACCCACGGCAAACATTTTTACAAGGACCCGCGACAAAAGTTTATAGGACACACGACACACATTTTTAAAGGAGTCACGACACACATTTTATCACTAACATAGTAACAACACGCTTACCGGTACGGCCAAGACAAGGCGTTACCTTATTATATTACCTCACGCCCCAACGGCACCTACAATTTCAATGTTTAATTAAGCCGCCCTCTGTCACGTAGTCTAAATGTTGGCCGAAAATGTCATTTCCCGACTTTCCCTCGCAGCCGAAATGTACCGGGTAATATTTTTATACCGGTGTGGAGTATTAGTATTAGGGTTAACCTACCTTACCAATGCATTTGGGTTTCCACGAAAATACCCCCCCCCCCCTTTTTTAGGTCCCTGTCCGGGCGAATTTTCCATTTAATATGGCTTTTTGTCCGGGTTTGTATTAGGGTTAACCTACCTTACCAATTCATTTGGGTTTCCACGAAAATACCCCCCCCCCCCCTTTTTTAGGTCCCTGTCCGGGCGAATTTTCCATTTAATATGGCTTTTTGTCCGGGTTTTTACCTCTGTCCGTCCCCGATCGATGCCTTCTTATTTAATTTTCAGTGTTATATGTAAGTCTGTTCCTTGAACTTAACACGCGTGCCATCAGTATTTACGTCTATGGTAAATGTTACTGTTACTAAGTTAACCACCGAAACTCCGGAAGCCAACTTTATAAATACGGTATAAACGTGCCGAAAATGTAAGGTTTATTTACGGGCGCAAATATTAGTTATAATAGGTACCGGGTACCGTACTCAATACCCAGGTTTTTCGTGCGGGTCGATTTGACTGGGATGCTGAAACTGAATGTTTGACACGCGCCAGCGGAACTTATTACATCTACGTCTACGTTGCCAATAACTTAAATAAAAGTATAGTATAAGCATAACCATGTGCGCTCGGAAAAAAAAACTTAATCAACCAAAAGTTGCCAATTTTTTCATAGCACAAGTTTCGAAAAGAGATGCATCTGTTTTTTTTAAAGAAATAAGCTGAAGGCTTATTAATATTACTTATTGGCATTTCACGCTGTACTGTCAATGTCAAGCACCACCACAGCTAGGCCTATACGGTACCACGCCAATCGACTGCAGTTGTCATTTACCGGGTATTATTTTCCTTTTACATAATTTTGAACTTGATACTTGATGCACTTGCTTGCACGCACACAATCAGCCAATGTAGGTTTCACTGCAACTTGTAACTGAACACTCACTCAATACAAGTTAATAATTATAATTAAAACAACGGCACCCCAGTACCGGTATTTAAAATACGGTACTTAACACTGGCGTAGCCATAGGAGCCGACTACAGTAACAGCACGATTTTTTTTTATGTTATGAAAATTTTGAGTGTCCTTTTATTCATCGAAGGACATGTACCGGTAAGACAATTAATTACCATAATCTATAAATTGCCTCCCCTTGTGTGTGTGTGATGTTGTTTTTTTTTGGGGGGGGGGGGGGTTACACAGATAGGAAACACTAGAATTCAGTGGAATACGGGTACCGTACGTTTACTTTACGTGTACGGTACCGGTACTTCATTTAATTTAATTGTATTTCACATCATAATAGTTTATGAATAAATTTTTATTTTGGGGGGTGGGGGTATTAAAGTTCTTGTACTTGTACGTAAGCATGGGAAGGGGGTCTAATAGTTTCCGCTTTTCAAAAATACAGGTACCGGGACGTATTAGTATTAGTAAAATTATTAAAACTTAATATATGGATGTTCCCTAACATACTCACATCAGTGATTATTAACGTCAACCAGGGGGGTTTGGGGGGGGGAACTCTTATTATAGTTTACATTTGTTGACTAATTATAGTATTTAATACTTAGCAACCAAACATTTGATAACTTCTTGGTGGTTTAAAATTCTACGGTATATTTTTCTCTCTCCAAATTTCGCGCTTGAGGCAGAGGAACACATGCAGTGGCCCTAAAGCAGCGTACCGGTTATAGTATAGTTAAAACTTTATACCACCACCACACAAAAAGTCAACTTGCGGACGTTTTCAAGACACTTCTAGGAGACTCAATATTTCAGAGACATAATGCTTTACATATTGTTACAGGAATGAAAATTGGAAGATTTTGTCAATTTAAATTGATTTAAAAGTCAGCGGACAGCACGTTTCCCAATTTTAACCCCGACAATATCGGCACATTAAAAATTAATATAATATAAATGCGAAGCACAAGTTAGATACCCGGTACTTCTTAAAAAGGGGAATAACTCTCGTCAGCAAGTTTTACTTCTCCCGGACATGATTCGAAAAAAAGTTATAATAATAGTAGTAGTAGTATAACCGTAGTAAGAATTTGTGTATGTTAGACTAAGACAGTGGTTCTTAACCTTTTTGGAGTTACCGAACCCCATCAGTTTCACATGCGCATTCACCGAACCTTTCTTAATAGGACAAATAAAATATTATATTTTTTGGGGACCTCTTTTAGTTTGGTATATGTACGTAATTGGACTATAAATGTATAAAGACTCCAGGGGACGAAAGTAAGCTGGATCTAAAACTTAAAAAAAAGCATACCCTCAGGGGGCTTCATTACCAGAATGAACTTATGGTTATGTACGGCGGTGGCCACGAAGTCAGAGCTGACCCTGTGCATCAATATTCCTAATTTCGGTGCTAATAAATGCACTGCTACTCAGAACCCCTGAACTACCCCCACTCCCCCACGGAAAAATTACCATAAAGAAACTGGTAAAAATGCATAGTCTACCTAGTTCATAATGCTTTTCATGACATTACTTGAACTTGAACAGTAGAAAAAGCGGTCCCCAGGGCGCAATAGGAAGACGATTTTGCCGCCCGTTTATGTGAAGCAAATGGAATTTTATAATTTAATTCACTATTACTATTAGTATTAAGGGCCTATATAAAGACATTTTTCCGTCCCTGATATTGGCCCTCTAGCACCCGTCCTTCGCACGGCCCTGAGCATACAGTCATATAGAGGGTTAGGGGCCTCAGTGCATTACTGTGCCCAGAGCCTCAGCTGCTGTAAAGAAGGTCCTGGGGAGAACAGTGGCGTAGCTAGGGGGTGCGGACCGCACCGGGGGACACAATCTCGGGCGTGACACCAAACTGAAAAATTACAAATGTGCACAGTAGGGTACAGAGAACGCAATGCTTATTCTAAACGAATTTCATAAAAGTAAGAGGATTAACCAATCATCACACGTAAACTTTCCACACATGCAGACCTGTTTACCCTCTAACTACTCTTAAAATCATACAATATCACAAAATCGTTCAATACACTACCGGTATCTTAACAGTAATAGTAAAAAAAAAATTAAACATGTATACACCTCAAAATCGTAAGAGTAAACAGGTCTGCACATGTAATGTAACTAAACGAAATTGAAATGAAAACACTGGAATATCCGTGAAAAGTCTGTCAACAACAGGTTGGAGTGCTCATCATGTTGCTGTCAAAACAGTGAAAGTGAAAGGTAAGTCTAAGGTTAATGAATGAGTGGTGGCGATTGAGGCTCTATGTGATCCTCTTGAAAATTTGTATACAAGAGTTACAGCACAAGGTCTTTTACATGCTGTCTGTTGTTTCACGTTTCTCTGTTACCGAGTACCTTTACCTTTGGGCTGATCTACTTGAGGAAGTTCATCTTACTCAGCAGCATCTGCAGACTTAAGACTTTACTCTTGACAAAGAGGCCTTAGATAGTTTCTGAACGAGAAGCAAAGTCACCCCATTTTTCCTTAGGTTGAAAAATCTCCCCCAAAAAAAACACTTAATTACGGTATCAACATAACCTGATCAAACTGTGACTTACGGTAATTCAGCTATAACAATAAAGTGCAGGTACCCACTCTGTACATCAGCAACTTTGTGATAGTTTTTAGATCAGTTAACATGTGGAAATTTATGCTTAAAAGCCAAAAGTAGGCAAAGTCACCCGTTTCACGGCATAACATGATTAAATGAAAAAAAAAACAACAACAAAGGGTTACGCCATAAGGAAGTTTGCCACTACTTTTCTGCAGCTGAAGTTCATCATCTAGATCAGTGGTTCCCAAACTTTTAAGTTTGGCGGACCGGTGAACAAGTTTCGCTTGTTTACCAGGGACCGGTGCATGATTTATTTTTATACTTTTATTTCTATTTGACAATAAATATTTATGTTATGGGGACCGGCAGCGTTAGGCATCCAGACCGGTGAAGGTCCACGGACCGCCATTTTGGGGACCACTGATCTCTGCTTCTCTTTGTTATTTGCTTTTTACTATGTGGCATGATTTAGTTGCTTTGAAACCGAACTCCCCTCACGGATCACCCAGTTTCTCACAATGAAGCACTTCTTCTGTACACATTAATCATTAATGAAAAAAAATGATACAAACAATATTTGACTGCACCAAAATGAAAGGTCAGAAAGTAAGAGGAGACAAATGACCAAGGCATGATTGCGATCTAAATGAAATCTTTTATTGGCTGCCTACTACGACTACTAGACACTGGCAATCTTCATCTCGACAACATTTCAGTAGACTTTTTATTCAGCCGTGTTGATCGAAATCATATTTTTAGGGCACATTTTCAATGATTCACCAAAGTTCTGATTCATACTTGTTTTCACAACAATGTGATACTAACTAGATCAATCCTTTCTAGCTCGTGACATCTTTGATCCAATAATAAGAGATGTATGAGAAGCATTCCTTCTGATTTGCCGAGGTACCGGTATTATTTTCCTGGAGAGAACAGCACAGTAGGTGAGCAACTGGTTGGTTTTAGAGGTCGGTGCAAATTTATTCAAAATATATGCCAAGCAAGCCCACAAATATGGAATATAAATCTTCTGGGTTTGTGATTGTGAATCAACTTTGAAGTAACCTTTGAGAGGTTGCCCGTATCTCGGCAAAGAAAATGCAATGCGAGTGCCCTGCAAGCAAAAATAAGTGTTAGAATATCCCCAGAGACTATCATTTCTCTCACAATGGACTTGCATTGTTGAAGTGGCCGCAATTTCAGAACATACTATTACCGGTATTTCATTTCCCGACAACTTGCAGGACCAATTGCCAAGAGCAGACTAACCCTAGAACTAGAACAGAGAAACGAAACGAGATGTTCCTATCCATGGGGTTCAAGCAAAAAAAGGCTCTGCCCCTCTACAAATCAGAGCTCGAATCAGAAAAAAATTATTGCTCCTAAACACAATCGTCCATTAATAGAAAGTGAAACTGAGTGCAAGAAACCAGAGATTGTGCTCTATAACTAATAGCAACATGAATATTCACCAAAAGGTGAAGGTGCTCTCTGTGAACACAAACAGAAAAAAACAACTAAAAGTAAAAGATGGCCGGTTGTTGTGTTTTTTTAATATTTTTGACTTGGCAACAACTTACAAGAGTGCCATTTAACTATAAATTAGTATAAATACCCGGTATCCGACTAACTCACTTTCTCATGAAGACAACAGACAGTCAATATTGACCTTGAACATTTCCTCACCCTTCCGCAAGTAGAGGCGATCCGTCCTGACACATCAAGATATTGTCACTTGTGAAGCAGAACTTCGCCAGTGTTTTGAAATCTTTACAAACAGCTTCCCAAACTTCAACCCAGCAAGGTTATTAGACATATTTGCAAAGACCATTCTGTTCTTTTATGTAAAAAAGATGTGCAAGTGCAAGCTGAGCCGCAAAGCAAATACCAGTACTTTCCATAACTTGTAACTGTTATGTTTTGAAATGTTTTTTTAAATTGTTGGTACCGGTAGCCAAATGCATTCAGAATATTTAATTATTGTCAAAATTTAAAATATATTTTTATTTTTATGGATTACCGGTACACAGACTCAAATAATCAACAACCAAACAAAAATATTCATCACAAGAAGTAGAAGCATTTTTCTTCTATTAAATTATGCACGGGTGTGTTACACCAGTTGCTACGGACTGTAGAAACAAGTTTAGAGCCCCAAAATAAGTCACCTTTGCATGCTTTATTTATATACCAGTAATGGCATCCAGCAAGTATTTTGTGGATTAGGTCGAGTATGAGAAAGATTATTAAAAGGAAACTCGAAGTATCACTGTCTGTCTCCAGGTGTATTATAACCAGTTGAGGTGGATAGGGTTAAATCCATGCAGTTCATTTGTGTAGTAGAAGTAGAAGCTAGATGTTATGTAGACAACGCGTTAACGTCATCTTTCCCCGTGAATGAACTTAAGACTTTAAGCCTAAGATGACACCAAGTTTCAACAGCTCGCTTGGGTGTGGCTAAGTAAAAATAGTCTCCCTTGATCATGTTTAGAATTAAATAAAATCTGTATTAGAATTACCGCAAGTAGAAAGATCGAGACTAATCAGGAGAGGAATCGAATGTGTAAGTCTGTTCTAGAAATGTCCATGGAACATGCTATATAACTTTAATATGATGTATTTTTCGGAGCTGTAAACTGTAAATTAATGCTAAATAACGTTGATTTTAACACAAAAATTGCGTTTTCTATGTGAAAAAATCACTTTACGGCTCTCAAAAATATATATTCAGAAAGGTAATCCAATTTACTATAAAACTGTTATAGTTTTGTGAACGCCCCATTTATGGGGTAAACGCGTAAAGGTTTGGAACCAAGTCAACGCCGTCTGCTAAAAAAAAGTGCAAATCGACCCCGCCACGGCCAACTCTGATCTGTGAAACCAGAAGGCGATGACTAATTTTATCTAAGATCTTCTTAAATTTAGTGCCTTTTCGTGGGTTTTAAACTGAAATAGGTAAGTTAAACATTATTGTTTAGTTTGGGAATGTTTAAATTATATAGAAAGCTTTTTATTGCATACATTTGTTAATTTAGTGTGGGCTTATCGATAACTAATGCGTGTTTCTTACGCCTAGTGAAAAATGACGATCAAGCTTTATTTTAAAATCATCTGTATTTATTTTAAGATAGCGGAGAAAGAAAAGGAAAATATAATTAGTTCAATGAAATGTTTAAATATTTAATGGTATTTATTTTGTAGCTATGCAATTTGTTTGGAAACTGCAGTAAATCATTAAACTCGGATAATTCAGCCGATTCAAGCGAAGCATTCATGTTGGGTCGAAGCATTATTGTTGCGAGGGTGAACGGGATGCTTTAATTTTAGTGGAGTTCATTTTTAAACTAGAAATTCGATTGTTAATCCATTTTATAAATAAATGTATATGGTATGAGGCATAAGAAAGTGATGCAATGTTAATTATTCTTATTTCTCTAAGTTATAAAGCTAGTTTTAAAAATTAGTTACCGATACCTAGTCTTTCACCCCCTTTCGTAAATGTCGAATTCCAAAATTAACCTTACTGAAAAAATTACTCCTTTACTTTACTAACGTTATCAATTATATACCGTGTATGCAGTATTCATATTAATTAGGGCAAATAGGAGGCAGTTAAAATCTTGTAAACTTTTGAGTTTTAATTTTAACATTTCATATTTCAGTGGTTGAAACTGAAAACAACTTAAGACAGATACCATTCCATTACAAAAGAACGAGAAGACCCAGACCACTGCCAAAACATGCCGTGTAACAACACTAACACTGGACAACAGTCAACAGTACAGGTTAGTACTACCGCTTGTAATATCATTAGTTATATTTGCATTTTGTTATTATATTGATAGCAATGACATGATCATAAATGCTAAGTTGATAACCATTACTATTAAATAATATAAATTAAATACAATTTAATTAATACGGTACAAATTAAATAAAATATTCTTCTCCCAGGTTGTTGGTGTACAAGAACAGATTACAGAAATGTCTCATTAAACCAGTGCAGGGAAATGTCTCTAAACTGACTAATAAATCCATACAGACGTGCTAATAAAGGCAGAAAATTGATTTTCATTACTAATTCATAGTTAATAATGTTTCCTACAGATTTTCCATAACTTTTATAGATATATATACCGGGTATATCTAATTACGAACATTTTTTAAGGTGCTGGAAAGTATAAATTTTCAGTGCAAAAATGCCCATTTTTAAAATATATGTGGAGAAGAATTTTGTTTCCTAAACCTAAGTCTGTTACTTTATTATTGAAAAGATTAACATGTTCTACAATACTGTGTAACATTCGTAAAGATATCTTGCTTCGTTAATTTTTTATGAATTTTCAAAAATGTTTGAAATTCTCAATTTTTGTGTACATGCCTTGCTGAAATAATTTATGTAAATTATTTTCTTGTTTTCACCTTTACCTGATGATTTCACATTGTTGTGCTTTAAATTACCTTTTACTTGACTCCTGTATATTTATAATAACTTAACTAATTGATTTTTTATGATTTTTTAAAAATGAACTAAAATCGACTTTTTGTCTCCATTTTAATATTTTGTAAAATTGGGCTTCAGCTCGTTTTTGGATGAATAAAAAATATATTTACATTTTCGTGACAACCCTAAAAAAAATTGAGCTTGTTATATGTATAACTGGTTGTGTGGGCAAGAGATTTGAAAGTTCTAACTTAGTTATTTTAGGAGATAGCGGGTGTCAAAACTACACTTTCCTGGCTTCTAAAAATTGACCCTGTTCCCGATTTTTTAAAAATTAATAACTTTTTTATTGTTGGAGATAGAGAGTTAAAATTTGTGGTTCTGTTCTGATGAAGTCAAGCTCTATTTAGGGGAATAGTTCAATTTTATTTAATTTCGTTATGAAATTTTCATTTAGAATACCTAATTAAAGAACTACTTTTCTACTTTCTAGATCAGTTGTTACTGAACGCACCTGTATAAAGGAGCTTTAGCGTAGCGAGCTGGCGCGACCCAACCAAAAAAAAAAAATTTTTCTCCCCGAAGCGTAATTTTCGCCGGCTCATTTAGAATACCTATATATATACGCTTAGAGAGACTGAGCGACAGGAAGGAGGAGAGATATTTTTGCTACGGTATCACTATTACCGGTACTTTACGAATAAATTACGATAGAGATTTGTTAAACGAGACAGAGATTTGTTTACCGGTACTAATTAACATTTGCCGTGAGTGTAGATTCCTTTTTCATCATGTACCTTTAACTTTAACAACATTGTACCGATACCGGTACAAGCCAATCATTATTTTATACTGTAATTCAATACCGGTAGCTTTAATTTTATTTTAGATTGTTGTAATGTAGGCCTAATTTATTATTAACTTAATCAACTTAATAAAATTATGTATTGTAATTAGCCCTAATTTGGGTACCGGTATCGTAGTTTTCTTTATTATAATTACCGTATTGTATTTAATTTATGATACCTATCGTCTCTTCTTGTGTACAGTTTTAGAACGAGCAATAACATTATTAACAGTACCGGTACGTAACAATGTCTTAAATTTAAATGAGAATTATGTACCGGTACTTTAACATGCCAGTTTCCGGTACCGGTAATCATGTTTGATAATAATAGTGGTAATTTATTTGGTACCGTAGGCTACCCGCACAGGTATCTTTTATACCGATGTATTTTTATTAGATTTAATGGCGCGACCCGCAAAGAGTTGACTCCCGATCATTGTGGTTCATGAAATGAAGCTAGTTCGGTTGGCGAACCCCGATCTAGGTTCTAACACTAATACTAATACGGTACGGTATCGCCTTGTCTTGGCGCCAGTGGTGCATTGGCGTAAGAAGGGGCATGTTATTTTTACGCTTTGTAATTGGTAGGTTACCGGTACCGTAACGCGAGTATTGTGGGCCGGCACAATTATTTTTATTGGACAGAAGCAAGGATTGTCAATTTATAAATATGATTATAATGGCACCATACTAAGTACCGGTATGTAGGATCATTTGGGGGGAGCATTATCGATTCGTACCGGTACGCAGAGGGAAATTCAAATATGAGCAACAGTAGTAAGGAAAACTATTTTTGCGTACCGGTACCGTTATATTATATCAGTTGCCCATACATTAGGATCCATCTATAAATAAATGATGTCATGTACTGGTACCTATAGGGGGAGGGGGCGAATATGTGATTTACAGGTATTATGGGGGTGTAGATAGAAAAAGGCCAAGATCGGGTTGTCATTAATTGATGGTCGCGGGTAGAAAAAAAGAGTGCCGTGTTACAAAATGATGAAATCAATTTACATGATCATGAACTCTCCACGGGAAGCTTGGCTTTGGCAAATGCGCTACCGGTACCGTGTAACTCACAACTGGTACCGGGTATCGATTTTCAAATGGTGAATTATATTTACCGGTACCGGTAACTATAAAGTTTAAGTACGGTACCGGTAATCCGTAAGTGGTACCGGTAGTACTGTATATAGTAAGTACGGTAGTAATTTGCGAAATGAGTAGAGGTTTCCGAGCCCCTTTGTGTTAGTTTTTAGATCAGTTTACATGTTGAAATTTATGTTTAAAGGCAAAAAGTAGGCAAAGTCACCCCGTTTGACGGTACTGTGTAGGTAATGAATACCTTTTTTTTTTTGCTTTTTCATTTCTATGTACCGGTACCCCGGTACTTTACTACCGGTATCCATCATCCAGGAAAAATGCGATGTCACAAATCTAGAGTCCGTCGAGGCTTGAAATATTCGGTACCTGTAACTTGTTTTTACCCGGCACTAAGATTGGAAATGTCTGGCAGTAGATGTAGTACGATACCGGAACTCGGTACGAATTTCTTTATGTCGACTTTCACTCTTTCAGTACCGGTACCCTGGTAAGTACGGTACTGTACGGTAAATACTTAAGTAATTGTATACCAGTACAGGGTAATTTACAGTACTTCATGCAGATACTCTTTCAAAGATACCGGTACAGATATTAAATTATTAGGTACCGGTACAGGTACCGTACCATATCGTATGTCAATGTCATTTTAGTGTTAAGTATTTTGTTTTTTTAGTTTTACTTTTAATAATAATCATCATAGTGGTACCGTACCGTCACAATTTTGGAATTCATTTTCTGTAACTCTCACTTAAAGTCTAGTTCACACTGTAGATTGTAGGACGAAAATCCCTGTACCGATACTCTCAACAGGTGTGTCAAGTACCGGTAGCCAATCTGAAGAATGTGCTTGTGTTTTATCAAGTACCGCTACCGTTATAATCGCACTGTATTATTATACTGTATATAATATTAACATATACCGGTATAGTAGGCATATTACTATTAATAAAATTAAAATGCTACCGGTTAATTTATTTCTCTTTGAGACGATTCCACCCCAGTGGCAGCCCCCTAACCCCCAAATCCTAATATTACTACCGTACTACTAATAATATTAAAAAAAAAAAAAACACGGAATAAATAATAAAGTGCCGGGTACTTAGACGCAGAGTACGGCATCACTATTGAAACAACTGCTTGCTATAGTTAAGCCAGTTTTGCTATTGGCAAATGCGGTACCGGTAGTACCGTACGGGGTAGCTCCTCCCGTACATTTCTAATACCGGTATGGTCCGGCAGATTTTGAATGCGGTACCGATATGGTACCTCAAGTTCAATGACAACAAGGCAGATCTTCAACTTCAAGTACCGGGTACTATTAAATATTCCGTTTTGTAGAATCTCCCTGTAACTGTAACCGGTAGGGCTACCAACAATTCATTTGAGTATTTGAGTGATGGTCCCGTACATGCAGTGTACAGTGATAAACAGTAGTACAACTACAACACAAGTACAATTCATCATTGGATAGATGAGGAAAGTTCTTACTACCGGTACACCTACAATTTCGGTACCGTAGTGTAGTATTACTATTACTATTAGTACTATTACCGTAGCCTAATAAAAAGGTATATTAAAATCGAGTTGTTTTTTTGTGTTTTTTTGGATGGGGGTGGGTAGGGGCATGGGGGTATTGTGGACCGTACCGGTATCCGGAAATTTGATCGAAAGAAATTGCGTCGACGGAAAATTTGATCGAATCTTTTGTTCAGTTCACACATTAAAATTTTGCGTCAAATTTCTTCTTGAACTTGAACGCATTATTTTGTTTTACTATATACCGGTAATAATTTTATATAGTACCGGCTATAGTATACCGGCACCGGGTACTGTATAGTGCGTTCAAAAAGAAATATGACAAACATTTTAACGTGAGCACTGAAAAAAAAAAGAATCGACCAAATTTCAGGAAACAGTTGTGGACACATGAAATCAATGTAGTCCACTTGTCCTAATCTATACCGGTATAGATTACTAGTGTGATATGGATAATATTCAGTCAATGTATTCAAAACAGAATGTACCGTACCGGGTAATGGTAACCATGCAAACATTTGTTTCACTACCTACCTTCTGTCCGACTTTTAATTCTTCCATGGACTTGGAAGCAATAGCTCCCCCCCCCCCTTTTAAAAAAATGATTACCGGTACGGTAAAATGATTTAGTCTTTGACCCCTCGTTTCTCTTGTTTAACATCAGGACTGTCGATTTGGTACGTTATGCACTAATGGTACCGGTACATTGCACCCGGTATTATTTGTACCGGTATAGAGTACCGGTGGACACTTTTCTTTCGACTCCGACACTGCTTGACTGTCTTCGTGAAATGACATTACCCGTAAACAAGGGGTGTGCACTCTTGCGTTGAAAAATGTACGATTCACGACACACCTTTAATTTAAACATGTCCAAGATTTTCCTCCACGCGGGTTTTTGAGTGGAAAGGCGAAGATGATTTTTCCAACCTGACTTCAGGCAAAAGGTTTGACTACTAACCACAACACGATAAAAAAATATTTAAAAAATATTAAAATGTTTTCGCTTGCGTGTGTGTGTGTGTGTCTGTAGATATCACCGTCGCTAATTGAGGCGATCGTAAGAATGCTGTCACAATCAGAACACCTTCAAACAGGCCATCGCTCACTTTATCACCTTTCTGTCAGTGTCAGATCCAGCGCTTTGTTTCAGTACCAGTAGCGCGGAATGGGGAGACCTCGGAGAACGTAGCGGCAGCAATTATCCACGGCTGGCGTAGACAAACTGAGCGGCAGCAATTATCCACGACTGGCGTAGACAAACTGTAACAAAGAGTCAAAGAGCAGGGCCCATCTCTCGCTCGTAGTAGTCGTAGGCCTAAAATCTCGTATGGCCGATCTCTCGTTTTACCAGCTGTTTGGGCCAATCTCTTGCTGGACGATGCGTTCTTGCTTTGTGTAAGTTGTTTTGAGAGTATACCGGTATATATTTTCCCGAACAGAACAAACTTTGGACATTGACGATCTGAATCCCTGGAACCGTTTGACATTATAAAATTATATAGATGACTGTAGCTAGACTCAAAGATGGAGCAACATGTGAACAGCGGTGGCTCTAATTCTGATACTAATATACCGGTCTGTTTTTACAGAGAGGGCAACCAAGTTACGGTACGGTATACCATTATCAAATGTCTTCTACTTCTAGATCAACATGTTCAATACTGTACATAGTACATCCTTACAAAAAAATCCAATGAAAAACTAAAACTAAATGCTACACACGTGCGTGGTAAGTAAGCCTTCAATTCCAATGTGTTTTTAACAAATAAATTTACTTAACTTTTACGGTACCGGTACTGTACTTATAAGGGGTAACTTTGCCTCAATGAGTGACTTTGCCTATTAAAAACTTATATTGAGAAAGTTGTTTTTCATGATTTTCTTGAGTTCTTTCCCCTAATTCTTTAACTTTATATGAAAGCAAGACATGTTGCTTTATGATTACCGTACCCGGTATGTTGTTTCGATTACATTACCATGCCAAACCTTAAGATTTGACTGACTGAGCTCTTAGTCTCTGGACACCGATATTTTGCTGATTTAGGTGAGTTTAAACGTTCATTTTAAGGTACAGGTATTATAATTAATTTCCCAATGCATTTAATTAGTAAAAATGTCAAAGATTCATTATTTTGTTAGTTAAGTTAAAGTTTAATAAATCGTTATTGCTTTTCTTTCACAGCATGGGGCAAAGTCACCCCACGGACTGATACGTTGATTTTTTAAATTGATTTCACGTTGATTTTTTTTATTGATTTCTCTATTTGTTCTTGTTTTTCCGGATCATAATGCCATGACATAACAAGACTTAACTCCTATTAATTATCACTAATAACAGAAGCTATTGAGGCTATATTGAAGACACTCAGCTCAATGATAAGGATGAATTGTAAAAGATAATCTTCTACCAGGCCTATAGAAGTCATCTAAAAGTGAACCACAACATTGATTTAATAACTCTTTGAACTTTGTAAATGTTACAGTTACTGTGGCCACAAGAAAACAACTGGAGGACAAACTCTTTGTCAGAAGAATTAAAGTAAACTTAGTAAAGCACCTAAAGAGACATCATCAGATTTTGGAATGCCTCAACTAGAAAAAGTGGACAGTTTTGGCCTAAATTTTTTATTTTGGACAAATCTTGATGACGACGAAATTGCGGTGGAACGAATCCAGGATAACAATCTCCGAGATGACTTGGTGAATGGATTTTGTATAACAAGATGAGGATGTTATGTGCCAAAGATATAAACTGAGATACGGTAACAGGAAAGACATTTTAATTACAATTACAGTAATGTGACAAATTCACAAACTAAAGATTTCATTAGATGGAGTAAATGCAAAAACCGATGACGAAGGTTTGCCTCGAAAGAATAGATCACCGAGAATAATTTTGTATGTAAACTGGTATTTTCTTCCAACCTTTCATAACAATAAAATATTATAATCAAACAGTAACTATCATACAGAAAAGAAAATGACTTAATTGCTTGGTTTTATAAATTCTACATGCATTGTGCCGTCTTTCACTTTCACAGGGCAAAGTCACCCCATTTTTCTTTATTTGAAAAATCTCAAAAAACCTTAATCATCAACTTAACCTGATCAAACTACGACTTAATTCAGCTATAACAACAAAGTGCAGGTACCGGTACTCACTCTGTACATTAGCACCTTTGTGTTAGTTTTTACATCAGTTAACATGTTTAAATGTATGCCTAAAGCCCAAAAGTAGGCAAAGTCACCTCGTTTCACGGTACCGTACCGGAGAAGGTATTTAAATGCGTGCGGGTTATTTATTACTTTGTGTACCGGTACAATACGTTAATAGTTTGGTACGGTACGATTATGGAACAAGCTGAAAAAGTAGTAGTAGTAGGCCTACTCCGGAAAGATGTCGATGGAAATGGAAGTAATATGTCAACTTTATTTCTCTGTACGGTGCTACTTTGAGTTTTGAATTTACTAGCCATCTCAAACTGGTATCAAATACCAGTGCAGTTGGTGTAAAGCCAATCAAACATAGTCTCACTACCGGTACCTTAACCAGTGAACTCTGCACCATTCACATGCACAATTCCCACACAAACACTTAAAAAACAACTAAACTTAATCTTTTCTATTTTTTTTTTAAAAAGGCGAAACAGTAACAGTACTAACAATTCATCATCCTCAATACATAAGATTAATAAGTACTTCGCATCACCGATCACACCGTTACATCTGGTACTGGAACCGTTTTTTGCTTTGTTTAATTTGGAATCAGAACGCTACAGGGCTACCCAGATGTACAAACATATTAATATGTGTACTACCGGTACTGCTAACTAACATATTTCCACTGAAGATGCGACAAGACTTACATTTTATAACGGTATATAGGAGTACCGTAAGAGTGAATGTAGTTACAAAAGAACAGTCATTAGCAATATTAGCATATCAGTCAGTTTTAATTTTTATTAGAAGAAAAATAAAAAGTCGCTAAGAGTAGTAAGACAAAGAAGGACAACGTAATAAATGTAATGTACCGGTAGTGATTTAAAAATATTCAGGTACCGGTAATTAAAATATTGAAAGTTAAAAGTAAATATGAAGTACCCGGTACCGGTAGCTCGAAGAAATACAAGTGAACATCACAATTATTATTAACCTATTATCTACTACTGCTAACTTACACTGGTACCGGTATTTGTTATGTTTCACCGTAAGGTATATCCAGAAAAAAATGGGTGTGGGATGTTTGGCAACTAAAATAATAATTCATTAAAAAAAAAAACAAAAAAAAACAACTTATTACTGGTACAGTACGGTACCTTATATACTGTACTTATAATAATAAGTTATTATACTTACGGTATATTATAAGTAGTCCTACCGGTATTTAACTTATAATATCAGTACCCCGGTACTAATATAATATATATAAGGTACCGTACCGGTAACATTTGCGTTTTGCTTGGAAAACTTGGGAATGGTTTGTAACGTGGACAGTGTAGTATTAAGTTGTAGAGGTTATTCATGTTCATTTACACATGTGACATTTTAAGAATTTCTCCTGCAGTGTTCACCTGGTTAACCGCCGGAAAAGGGTGGGTATGGATGTGAGCGAGCTCCCTGATGATAATCATACTGCGGGTCAGTCAACACTTTCAAATTATGGATAACCGCGCTTGCTTTGCGGATGAGATAACTGGTGGGTGGGTAAGCTCAGATTTACTTTTTAGTTTTAGCATCATTATGCCTAGATAAAGAGTCAAAGAGTAAAGTCACCTTTACCGGGACTTTTTTTTTTTGCAACATTAAAAAAAATATATTACCGGTAGCATAGTCGGTATTCAATTGTAATTGTACATTAAAAAAAAAAAGTTGTGCAAATAGCGAAAAATTTACCTGCATTGTATAAACATCCCCGGTACAGCACCATATTTTGTGCCTAGATAAAGAGTGAAAGAGTAAAGTCACCGTTACCGGGACTTTTTTTTTTTGCAACATTAAAAAAAATATATTACCGGTAGCATAGTCGGTATTCAATTGTAATTGTACAGTAAAAAAAAAAAGTTGTGCAAATAGCGACAAATTTACCTGCATTGTCTAAACATCCCCGGTACAGCACCATATTTTGTGGATATGTTACATAGCACCAGAAAATGTAAATCTAACAATATCCAGTAATGGTAAGGGCATACCTCTACTTTTAGGATCGTAAGATTTTGTTTCAGGTATGGTAATGGTGTGCATATTTACTGATGGCAGTAATGGGCTCTTTTATTTTTATTATTTTAAATTTTGTTCTACCAGGTACAGATTAAATTTTGGATAAAATTATGTATGTTTCTTAATTGCAGCAGCGTCATTTGCAGCAACCTGGGCTTTAATTGTTAATAATACTTGTAATTTTTTGTGTGTAGTGTCGTACATGGAATTCTTAAAAATTTTGTAATACTCCCTTGAGATGAAATTTGAAGATCTCATTAATTTTAATTGTTTTCATAGAAGTCCTCTATTCATTCACCATACACATACAAGCAGACTCAAATATTTTACCATACTATACTCGCTTTAATTAAGTTAATTAATAATTCCATCTCTTGTCATACATGCCAGGTCCAAGAATGTTAAATTTAATTAGTCTAGAAACACTGCTGATCATCCACTGCATCCTAGCATAATCTCCAAATCCTCTTGACCAAGTCTTGCCATTGGATCAAAATAGGAATGGCGAGAGGGTAAGGCTGATGAATTGCGCAACTTTCCCTCACTTAAAAAAAAAATACAGCACAAATCAAGTCTAATACTCAAGACGAATACAGCCTTGGGTCATCTTGACATGCAATGGACAATAATAATATGATTAAGGATGGATATTATCTTGCCTTCCCACAATGTAGATGCCTTCCCACAATGTAGATGCCTTCCCACAATGTAGATAAAGCGGATATTAACATACCTATAAATAATAGGGTGAAAAGACTATTTTTTTATTTAAAAAAAAAATATTTCCAATTTAGAGAAAAAAATGTTTTAATAAAAACTTAATGTACTGGCACCGGTACACAACAATAAATAGCCTTGGCCACCATTAAAACATGAACACCAAGTCTTACAAGAATAGGTAGTAGAAATGTACACTGAAAATACCAGTTGTTATTTAACCATTACTGTACCTATTACATTATCCTTTCACAGCATTCTTATCCAATTATATCATCATAGCCATTATTAATACCGGTATTAACCATTAACTTCCCATTGGCTTGACCACAAAACATTCATATTATCCCAATGTAAGGGGAACAACTCTAAATTACAAATTGAGTTCTGTTACAAAGATATACGCATCTCGCTAATTTAAAACCCAATTGTGAAAAAAAATTAATTTTTACTGGCATGTTATGGAGTAACACGACCCTTCTCGACAAAATAATTATGAAAAGCGTTTATTTTTATTACCTTTCTCACCAACTGCTGAATCCTATAGGAATATTTCACAAGCTCAGGCAAACATGCCACTTCAGGCACGGTAGATAGACTGATTAAAAAACTTGAACCCTCTGTACCAGTAATGTGGACCTGTAAATTTATAATAAATCACGGACATTCGTAGCAATATCTAATAGTCTATCTTTCTTTTTTTAAATAGCTAATTAACCATTATTAAAATTGAACGGTTTCTGTTAAGAGTCTATTTTAAAAAAGTAATTTTACTAAATTTTAGGTTTAACACTATTAATATCTACACCTGGGTACTATATCTTTTTCACTTCCATTTTTAAAAATGTATTTATAAACCAGTAGTTCCTAGTAGTAGTAATGGCACTTTTTAACTCTTTGATAACATGTCATTTAAGAATTAAAAAAAAACTCCCTATACCGGTACATGCATTTCTTGCATTACCCGTATTTATTTTTGTCACCCTGCTTAGGACAAACGCCTCAATTTGATATGCCCACTACAATATGAATATTAATATATTTTCTTTTCCATCTAGTAATAATCAAGAAAGGATGCATTTCGCCAATATAATACAGCCTGGGCTTTGCGATACAGGAAAATGAAATCTTAAGATTTAAATCAGATTATGACATGGTATTACTAATTATTAGGAATATTTGGTTCAAGTTCAGATATATTTCTTTTGAATTATCCATCATCTTAGATTTTATATAAAGACTATTGGTACAGAAAAACAGCCACATATTCGTTTAAGTTAAAGCTTTAATGTTCATGAAAAATGGGGGATATTGAATCCCTTCACCAACTTCAATAACCGGGTACATGCAATTAAAATGGTAACGTAAGGTGTTTCTTTTCTTTATCTCTTAAAGATGACCAAGCCACCCCCCCCCCTAAAAACAATTAAATTAAATAAAATAAACCATATACTTTAAACCAGCCTACAAACTGAAAATTTGATAGAATTAGAATGTATTTGTCTCTTTAAAACCCACAAACTGTCAAAGTCAAATGTGCTGTGGTGTCAATTTTTTTAAATACCGGTAACTTTAATATGTATCACTAAAATATCACCACAAAAAACTCATCGAAAATGAATCCAGAGACCCGTGTAAGTTTAGATATTGTGAGAGTTAATTGGACAAGATACCTTATGAATGTTGGAATTCTGTGAGCTATGATAAAGGAATGTACCGGTAAGCTTGATCTTTCAACAGTGCAAACAATTTTGCTTCTGTTTATCTTTCTTCAACTCACACCCATGCAGACTGTTGGATCCTTTTTTTAATTTTAACAAGTTTTTTCAGACACACAAATATAAACCTGGTTTCACATTCATAATATTACTTCTCGTAAAGGCCGATTATAACGACCCTAAACAGCCTTAAATAGCAGATGACCAGCATTTTTTTTTTGACAGTTCGTGGTTATTTGATAGTAAAATTTTAGTCAATCAGTATTTCTAGGCCAAAAAAAATAAATCATAATATTGCTTCTGTGGACATGTTCCTAACACTGCTCATTCTTCATTAACTCATTTTTAAACTTGAAACCTTAACATTTAATTTTGCCTTATACCGGTACTATATTGTGTAAAATACTTTTTTAAATTTACTAAAATCTAACATTCTAACAGTGCATTATTTCACAAGACAATACCATAATTTTAGTATTTGATTGACAAAATTGTCTATGGAGATAATCTTATTTTGGACATCAATTACAACAAACTAAACTTCAGTTTAAAATTCCCAAAGTAATGCAACTACACATCTCAAAGACAGATTATCACACCTTGTTTAAAACTATTTAAGATGTAAGTCTAGGAAACTGACAAAGTTTAACACATTTAAAATGCTTCTTAGTTTCCACATCATTACAAGACCTAAAAAAAAATTGTAAAAAATTTAACTAATTTTGATTGGGGGGTACTTTCTTTTTATTTTAAAGTGCTTTTTAAGTACGGTACCGTATTATAAGAGACTGAATTTTGGAGTTGACAGCCAAATCGAGCTCTTCTTAAAAGCCCTTTATTTATTTGGGGTTCACTATGGTAACTTGGAATTTGATCACGGTGAGTGCTGTTGATTTTTTAAATTTATTAAATGGAGAGGCTCTGGTCACCAAAAAGCTATGTAAGTTTTTAATTCATCAGTGCCAATTATTAGCACTATGCATCCTGTTGCACAGTATAGAACTGGTTTGTGAGGGTGCTTTGGTTCGTGCATGTTTGGTCATGAGTGACTTGAGTTTGGGGATGAATAGTACCGTATTTTCACGTATATAAGATGCGCCTTATACAAAGTTTTACCTACCCGCACACAGGGTGCAACTTATGTAAAATATTTTTTTACACAAATCGTCATTGCGGTCCTGCCTTAGACAATTTCTTTGATCTACCGGTAAACTAAAGATGGTAATGGAGCCAACGGGTGATGAAACAGTGGATAGGTATTTTCACTTACCACAAAGGAAATGAAACCACTCGATATAAATTGCTCAGTGCTGCAGATGGCTAGGCAGCGTGCGTCTTATGTATATTTTTTTTTTTTTTTGTGGAAAATAATTTAAAATATGTTTAAATCATATGATCAATATGTTTTTTTTTTAATAAAGTTTAATTAGTATGCCAAAAAAGCTTTAAAATACTCAACACATTACAGTACTGGTATGCAAATCTTTCCCTTTTAATTTCTTGCCTTCACAAACACTTGCCTTGGAAAGATCCTGAACATCAAATGGCAAAACATAAACAACTTAAGACTAACTGGAAAGGACACACCAAGGAGCCTATTGCTGAAGACATCATAAGGAAAAGATGGAGGTGGGTAAGTAACCCCCTAGATAACATCACCAGATAATCCATAACATGGAATCCACACAGAAAATCTTACTCAAAAGGGAAGGCCAAAGAATACACAGATATGCGATCTAGAGGCAGACACACAGAGTGTGGGAAACACCTGGAAGCAACTGGAAAGCACAGGAATGAGATGAATGGAAAACTCTTGTAGACTTCCCCCAGCCAGGGCAAAAGGCATATGTAAATAGTACCCGGTAAGTTTATTTTCTTAAATAATAATGTAATATTTTTGTTAAACTTTATCCATTTGTGGATGTCTCTGTCTTAAGGTTTAAAATTATAATACATAATAATTTCAAAATGACAGTCTTGTTAAGTTGAGTATCTGAATTACTAGCCTTTTTTTTTAAAAATACAGAGTCATTCACCAGGAATGAGTTACAGATAACGTGAGAATCAAGGATTGAAATGTTATAGCTGTTTCACAAAAAGTATGAGGAGACTAATGTAAAGTAAATTAATCACGTTTCCCATAATTTCACCTAGATTTAACGTATCATGACCCGTCAAATTTAAGCTTAGTCGTTATTCAGTGGAAAAAGTGCTACGAGTTTACATTTAAATTTTATTTAGTTCCATTTTCCCCCCTCCGTTTGATGTTTTTTTGGATGACTATATTATAGTTTTTACAAGTACTTCATAAGTATTAAGCTTAAGAATCTTAAATCTGTAGTTGACTTCATTAGCTATAGATCCATAAATTCTTGCCTTACTTCTGCACTCAAAGAAAACTTCTACTTCCAATGAGTTTTTTAAAACAAATAAATCAGGTTACATGTATTTAACTACCAGTATTCTTCATGTATTCAATTACCGGTATTCAAAGAAATTTATGTACCAGTATAGCCTTAACAATAAACCTTGTTCAAACTATGAAAAACTAGAATTAAATATTTAAGTTCTGTAAACTATCAAAATTTGAGGCTGTTTGTAAGCAGCAGCATTCGGCTAATTAAGACAATCAGCGCCATGATGTATGTCTGCGTAACATATTCTCTCTTTTAATATTCTTGTGTTGTTACTAGAGTTAACTGTTATTTAATATGACGATGGAATGTTTTAAATAAAAACTTCATTGGTTGGATAATTTTATTTAAATTTTATAGCATTTTAGAAAATGGGTATTGGTATATTATTGTATTGATTTTCTGACAACTTTTGGATTTTATTTTTTGTAGAATCTGCAACAAAGAGTGAAAAGTGCAATCTATGAAATGGTCAGTTGGGTTTTCATTATTTTAATATTATTTTTCTTCATTTTTACATTTTTTATTATATCACAATGTGTAAATGTAGCCGCATGTTTTATTTAAGGGAATGGAGCATGTACTGGCTGAAAAAAAAAGGTGGGGGGGATAACTGAAGGTTGTTGAGACTCATTGCCGCATATCTAGAGGGATACAATTAGAAACACTGGCCACGAAATGTATGTACTGGCTAAAATTAAAGTTTGTTAATATTTTATTTTCTCTCTTTAACCAGCACATTCTCTCCTCCCCATTTTTTCAAACGAGTTTTTTAAACGGCTGCCACCTTGGTTACCATGTGAAATGTCATGGTGCGAATGGTCTAAGTTACCCAAAATTCAATTATTTTTATGGATAATTTAGTTTTAAAAAAGAGATATTAAACAGCTATAAATTGCATATGCATTTAGACTATATACTCAAGTACTCTCGAAGTCAGCGGGCCTTATAAAACTTCATATTGTGCTACATAAATTTCTGTCAATTGTTATTTGTTGCAGACATGCATGTTTTCTGCAAATAGAACAGCATTAATCTTTTAAATTTTTTTCAATGGATATGAAAGAAATATTTTTTTATATTCAAAGCACCAGTAATTTCATAATGGAAATACCTGAAAAGTTTTATTCAAAATGGGAGTCAGCAACTCCATATTTTATATATTAATAAATTATTAACTGTCATTTTAATTCTTTAGTGTTATAATAAGTATGCTTTATACTTTTGATCAGAATAAATAATTGAAAATGATAATCGCTTGGTAAAAATCAACAACTGATAAAGAAAAACATGATAGAGTAACTTAATGGTTTAACATCCTTAATATATTATACATAGGCTATGCTCATTCCAATTTTTGGTAAAATGCCGCAAATTACAAATAACCTTTCCTTGGCCTTAGAGACACACCCCAAGTTAAAAACCGCTGGGTTAAATAATTTAAGTATTTGAGGGAAGTGATCAACAAAATATTTTTATAACATCTTAATTTAGAAATAAGTTTGGTCATTATAACAATAATATAAGTAGGGAGTGACAAAGTTTTAAAAAGGGGTCTGCTAGTTTTTCTCAGAAGATTTTTTTTTTTTTAAATTGAATACAAAAACCAGAAACAAAACTTATAAAATGCAAGCTTAGGTAGGCCTAAAAATTATAAGACACAATGGTGAAAATGCTTCGTTATGTAGTTATTGGTTATTTCTGATACAACTTTAACTCATTCCCAATGGCAGCGACTAAATGCATCCTTGGGAGAGTCTGTCTCATGCATCCCAGAACACCTCTCTCATTTTTATTTAAAAATAGCTATAAAATCTCATGTCATGTCCCTCGAGGTCTTGCAGTGATGGTGTGATGCCACAAGTTTTTAACTTGCTTCACTTTCAATCTGTGTGCTTTTTTACAGTGTATCTATATCTAGCAAGTGTTCATCTGAGGTGCCAAAAATCCAATCTTTGGCCATTGCTCATTTGTTTATAAATGTTATATAAATTTTTAAAATTAAACTTCGTTTAATTTCTGGATGCATTTATCCTTCATTCATTAATATTCATTTATATTCAGCCTCAAAAAATATTATAGGCCTACAAATTTAAATGAATGGCAAATGGGAGTTACTTACCCCCTTTGTTCAGGAATATAAATCAAGTACGAGTAGACTGCCGTCAGGAATGAGTTAAGTCAAGCAGTAGGCAAAAAGGTGCCAAGTTAATCTCATTTGTGTTTGCCAATAATATATGACAATTATTTGGACTTTATGGTACTGAGAATTCTTTCGGGTTTGAGTAGACAGAAACACAGTCTCCCTGTATTGGATAGGGTTTAGTACGACTGACGATGTCTTCCACAGTATTTAGGTGAAGGAGGATCCCCTATAGCTCAGTTTTCCCAAGATTTGGATTTTTAGTTCTGTACTTATTTTAAAACAAAAAAAAGCATTTGTAGCCGCACTCTTTTTAACTGTGAATTTCTGAATATTTTTTTTACCCAATTAGTTTATTTTCATAATCATGAATACAAAAATTCGGTAAAATTCATATTAACTTCAGATTAAGTTTAGGATATGAATAATAAACGAAGAAAAGGAAAGTTATTGTCCAGATCGTTCAGTTCAAAATATTAACCTTACTTTGATTGTTGGGATTCCTCTAAGAATAACTGAAGTTTATGTGCTTAGGGAGAGACTTTTCTTGTCCAAAAAAAGAACAATGTACTAACAGTTCCAGATATGATGATTTGAATACAGGTAATCCACATTCACAATCCTTAGACGCCTTAGTAATTAGTAGCTTCATGCCCGAGGCTTAATGTTTCTTTCTCATTGTCAAGCCTATTTTTGAAAGCGTGTCCATCAAAAGCAAGGTGTACATTTGTGTAATGTTGCTGAGTGCACTGCAAGTTAATTGAAAATTGGTTTTGGGCCCTTATTATAATAATTACTATTCCTTAAATTAAATTTTGGCCTGATAAAACTTTGACCAAATATAGCATACCTCTGCTTATATCAAGTAAAAAGCAATATAATAGCTTTTAAACTATAAGTACAGCTTTTAAACTATACGTACGGCTTATACTAATATTTACTCACAAATGACTAAGTTTTTTATCGGTGGAAAAGCATTCCATTACCATCACTGAAGTGTTACCCGCAACTACCACGCACTGAATTGCCGAACCCCCTCCGCCATTTTGAACTTGAATATATGCGTGAAAATTCTTCAAACAGATTCAAACTATTGAGCAGTCTGACGCGTAAAAATCATTTCATTATTAATTCACGAGTTCCAATTACATACTTATAATTAACATTAATCAATACCTTATCATCAGAAATCTTCCATTAAATCTTAAATATCTGTAAACAATTTGCCAAGTCGCCTTTCCTCATTATAATTTCGTATTCACACCGTAGTGTTTTCATTGCCAGGTAAGTGTAAAAATAAGACTATACTTTAAAAAGTTAAGGTGGACTTATTTATTTACATATTTGTTTTTATATAAACATATATATATATATATATATGTATATATGAATGAATTCATAATATTTAGATTTTGTTAATTTCTTAATTGTCTCATGGCAAAACTCGACATTGAAACGGTTTTTGTTTTCAGACCAACGTCAACCTGGCCATTATAGTTTTTTTTTTGGGGGGGGCGAAGTTGGGGGATTAAATTATCTCAATTTGTAATAGCTTCACTCCTGTAATTTAATTAATTATTATAAAATCATCATAGATTCTCCCCTTTATAATATTTTAAGGACTTCCCGCATGCGAAGAAATTTTTTACATAAATTTTAACAGAACATATTATCAATCAGCCCTTAACTGTTTATAGGCAACCAATATGGCGTCACATTCAAGTTGTTGCACATTCCTATTGCCAGTATTGCTGAGTGCGTTATTTCAAATAACGTTGTGTCAAATAAACTCATACTTTACATATAAAGAGTTATCGTCTTGCAAAGATGGAACGAATGAAAATGACGCTTATGAATTTTTCAACCCCAACACATTTCTATGTGTGAAGTGTGCGCAAAACTCGTTGATTCAAAAACGCAGCGCCAATGGTACAGTACAGTGACGGTACACTTTGTCTAAGTTTAAGAGTTTAAGTTAAAACTCCAAGTAGTTACAGATATAAACTCTAACTTTTTTGAGCATCCACTAATTAATTTGGTAATCTACCACTTGAGCGTCGGCCAAGAAAAAATCCAGTTGTTCCGGTTGGAAGGGCTATTTAAACAACTATTCACTATTCTTTTATTATTTTTAATAACATTGGTTGTACTTATTCATTCCCATAATAATAGACAATTTTTTTAAAATCGAAAAGCTATAACAATTTTTTTGAAATAGAAATAGAAGATAATCATGATAATGTGTGAAAATGGAATTATGCATAGTTCTCCCCCAAGTTGACAATGAAGTTTTAAAAAATATAATTTCCACGAAAATGGTTGTGGTACATGAATCCACGTAAATATGAAGGGGAAAGATCACCGGCGCTTCTTGTGCCAAACTGTCTTTTTAGTTTACGCTTTCTGAGCATTCACGTTTTCCACATTCTGCGTGTGGACATCCGCGTCATCTGGATCAAAAAAAAATAATTGTAGTCTCTTTTTCTTCCTGGCATATCGGTAGCTTGGCAGTAATAATTATTATATAACTTTATAGCCTCTATACGGAAGCAAAAATATTAACAGACTCCAATGTAAGAATAGTTGTTTAAATAGCCCTTCCAACCGGAACAACTGGATTTTTTCTTGGCGGACGCTCAAGTGGTAGATTACCTTAATTTTGTTGTAATTTTGAAATAATCAAGCAGTACAGTGTACCAATGCTTACTTTTTCTAATGAATGTAATGTAAATGTAGGGACTTCGGAAACACCAGAAAAACTGGTATCATAATTTCTTTGTCAAATTTGGCGACCTCCATATTTTAATTTACCGATTATATCATTGTTTGGTAATCTTACAGTTCAGGTGCTTATATTATTCCTGGGTAAATTGGAAGATAGGATGCCATGATTTTCAACATGGCCGCCATCTTGGTTGACAAGACGAGTTAATTCTGTCACTAATTCTAAGTAAATGTATCCCTAAACCTAACCTGAACCCTAAAATTTATCCCTAAACTTAACCTGAACCCTAAATGTATCCCTAAACCTAACCTGAACCCCAAATGTTACCCTAAACCTAACCTGAACCCTAATTCACGGCAACTTTAATTAACACATCGTGGCCTCCTATCTTCCTTTTAGCCTATTTCTGATCAAATTTCGTATTATTGCATGGTATTTAAACATATGTTTATTCTTCATTAAATTAAATCCAGGCAGTGATAGTTAACTAAAAACTAATACTGAATTATACAGCGCTTATTTTAGTTTTATTTATTTCTAAAGCGTCTTTGAAAATCCCCCTACCTTCTATAGCTTTGTTTGTTTCATATTTTTATCACCCTGTTGCCAGATTTTTGATCACCTATAAGTTAGTGCTAAATGAAATTTTCATATTTAAAAAAAATGAAGTGGTGGGGGGGTGTTGAACTTAGTTAGATGTTCTGTTATTTATAGGGGCCCAAAATTTTTTTTTTTCCTTATATGGGGTGTATAAATATAAATAATTCCAAACAAAGGCTCCTGCACGGGCATGGGTGAATGGAACGAGATCAAACTTAGTACACATACACTTGATTATCCATATTCAAAAACAGGTACTGAACTCATAACTTTAATTTTTCCTAAAACTAGCCAATATACACGCTAATTTTATATTTATTTATTTTGTGAACATGCTTTTAGTTTCAAAAGTTAAGCATCAATAAATAATTTTGGTATAATTTATTATAAATCTAATTTCTTGTTTTGTTTTTGGTGAATATGCTTTCAGTTGAAAAATTGCAATCTGGCATGTAGGATGAATTTTAAAAAAAAAACAAGAAAATGGAGAGATTGTTTACGCTATCGGCTTTGTACCAAGGGGGGCTGTAAAAATCAATAACAAGAAAAGTTAGTGCAGTACAATTTAGTGTTTGTTTTAACTATCTGGACTAAATTTTATAAAGAATACACGTAAGTTTACAAGCGATAATACGAAATTTGATCAGAAATAATATATGCACCTGAACAGCAAGATTACCAAAGAATCTAATAAATATTATATATTGTTACACTGGACCTTGTGTTCTATTTGAGAGATTCATACACCCTATACAACACAAGAGGGCCGTAACATTTCAAGTATAGTAAAGGTCAGAACATAGCTAATTTGAGTTATAAACCTTAGTTACAAATATGTTTGTGTAATTCTTAGCAAGAACTGTAGTCAGTATGTGTTCATTCAATTTCTATTAAATATATTTAATATCACTAACAATGAAGTGTGTCAGTCATTTTACCCATTAATTACTACGACATGACTTAATTTAATGTTTTAACACTTTCTTAAACCAAATCGGATGTGATCTTCTTTGTTTTATAAATAAAATACGTTAAGAGCCAAAAATGTTTGAAAATTGTTTATAATGTTTTTTATTTAGATTGATTATTCTGCTTCATCTGGAAGCAAAATGGGTGAACCTAATTTTAATTTTTAAAACGAGAAATAGAAATAGACATGCACCAGGGGAGGTTTTAAAGTGCCTGACCAAAGCCCCATAATTATAAATCCCCCATAGTAATGCTGACTGAGAAACCAATCTCATTGTTTAAACAATTACAGATTGCAGATATTTTGGCCTAATAGGGAAACAATTACCATGTAAAATAAATGACACTTACTATTTGGGTTTTCAGACTAATCCAGAAGTTTTCAAGAAGGAAAAGTTTGCAGGCATAAATTATCCTTCTAATTTTTTTCCATACAGTTTTCAAGGCTTACTGGGTTTTTATTTGTCATTTTTAGTTCAGTTTTTAAATTCATCAGGTTGGCATGTATATGTTATGCAGAAGAAAAATGTAAAAAAAATAAATTAAAATGTTTTTGTAAACATTACTGATGATACGAATAATACAGTACTGAATACAGAAACATTTGGTTACCGGAAATTTGATCAAAAGAAATTTCGATGACGGAAATTTGATCGAACGGAAATTTGGTTGAATCTTTTTTTTTTCAGTTCACACGTTAAAATTTTCGTTAAATTTTTTTTTTTGAACGCACTATACTATATAGTAAAACAAAATAATGCATTCAAAAAGAAATTTAAAGCAAAATTTTAATGTAAAAACTGAAAAAAAGATTCGACCAAATTTTCGTTTTATCAAATTACCGCGATCAATTTACCTTCGACGAAATTTCTTTCAATCAAATTTCAGGATACGAAACATTTTCTTTCATATTGACATGACATAAAATAACTGTTTCAAAGGGCAAGGCTTAAAAAATTGAAGACTAGGACTTTATTTTATACAATTATGTAGTTGAAATTTGAAATATTCTAAACAAAGAAAGTAGGAGTGGTGTTGATTTAGCAGATTTTGTGTGTGGGTGTGCCAAGGGGGATGGGAGGGAGGGGGTTGGTAAAAATTTAAGTGAATAAAATAACACAGCCCTGTTTTAGTATTGATGCTGATGATGATTATATTGTTGCTTTTTTTTTCATAATGAACTCGCTAGACATGGCAAATGTACTATTAACGTATTCGCATGTATTTAATTTTTAGCAATGGTTTTGAAATGTTTAATTGTGGAGCTGACTTCCTTTCTGTCATTTCTTATAAGAATTCTTAAAATCATCGGAGACCAGACCTGGTTTAAGTACCAGAGTCAAAGTCAAGACAGACCCTTTTACTATACTATGGATTATATTTATAATTCTGACAATCAGAAAATACTTATACAATTTACAGCTCAGAAACAACATTCAGGCTCATCCATTCCTGTGTCCAGCTGTGTTGCACTAGTCTTAACAATAAATAAATTTTGAGAATTAATCATTATTGATAGTTTTATTACTGTACATCTTTTTAGGTCTCTCGTGCGAATGCATGCCTGGTTATAGATATACAAAGAATTTTGGAGGAAATGAGGTGAACTGTACACTTTGCCCTGATGTGAGTTGATGATATTTTGTTTTGTATTTAAAAATGTATGATTGACTATTTTCTGTTATTTTATTTTTTTAGCTAATAATCAATATAGCATTTTGAAGTAATCACTTTGTTGGAATTTCACCAGGCTGTGTCTGATGATGGATGGGAATGTGTTACCTGCCCGGGTCGTATCAATGAGATGAAAAAATGTGACCCGTGTCTAGGAAGTAATGACATCAGTGGTAAATACAAAACTAAAAAAAATTTCATTTCTTAAGCATGGATATTGTTACTATTAGTGTGCAGTGAAGTTGCTCAAAGCGGACTGAGATCGATGACAACATTCATTATTGGCCTAAGAATGAATATATTTACCATATAGTGCTCAATATGTGTAATATTGTTCAATGTATTATAGCTTAGTAACATCACATACTGATCACATATAAAGCAGTTGAGCTCAGATCAACTAATACGGTGACCGGACAACTGAACGCACGACAGGTGAACCTACGACAACTGAACCCAAGACAACCGAACCCATGACAAGTGAACCACGGACAAGTGAACCCACGGACAAGTGAACCCACAGACAAGTGACCACACTGACAACTGAACCCATAGACAACCGAACGCACGACAGGTGACCACAAAAAATATAAAAAAATTAAATAGGATAATGTAAAAAAGCCGAAATGTCTAGAAAACGTACAATGTATAGATTTTCTACTGCTGAAGTATACAAATACAACAAAACCTGAAACTTTAGTCTGAGAAAGCCCGGCAACAAAGTTTTTATCCAAGAAAAATTACGAACAAGAGCCCTCCTCCCTAAAGTTTTGGGCCAAAAGCGCAACCTTTATAAAAGTGAGTATTTTCAAAATCATTATTCCTGTAAATTATTCTAGTTACATTTTTGCTTTTTAGTTTATATCTTTAGGCCATAGCCTCACCATCACTTTAAATTGGATTAATAAATAAATGAAAAGTGTAAGTGGTCACTCATCATTGAGCATTCTCATTCTCATTATAAATTTTATAATGAATCCTGTGTTTATGTTGAGTCATAAGCACTCTTCAAAACGATTATAGTACCTACATAATCTATAAAATAAACGAAGAAAAAATATTATAATTTCATCTTTTACAAAATTAATAATTGTTATAAGTTATTTTATTTTTACTATCATTGATCTCATAAATAAATGTAGTTATATTTTCAAATTGTATTTTTAAGAAAGGCATATGCTGATACTGATAGTTATAATAGCCCAGTGGTCGACAAATCGCAGCTCAAGAGCCGCATGCTGTCTTTAGTGACCGGAGGGCGGCTTGGCCAGTCGTCCACAAAATCGGTTTTGACCCAGAAAAACATGTTTTTTTTACAGGTTCTTGAAACAAAATCTGGCTCTCAAAATTTTTTTAACCGTCCTGCTGCTGCTAATTTATTCTTTTGACTATTGAGTTTGCCGACCACTGGTTTAACCTGTAGCACTTTGGTAGTATGGCCTGTAATAAATATTAAGAAATAAATTATGATCATATTTACTAATAAGAAAACAACTTAAATGCCAAGATTTTACCTGCCTAAAGCCAAAAGACTGATATCCTGGTACTTGACTCTTAAAATGTTGTTATAAATGTTTATAGGTTGACAAACATTATATAATAGAAATGATTTTAAGTTCCATTCTATTCAGAAAATGTATCTACTACCTCTACTAGCAGTGATGAAATTCAAAGCATTCCAGACTTTTTTTTACTCTTAGGGCAGATATTTGTGTCCTAACAGATTGATTAAAAATGCTTTTGAGTACTTTATTTTTTGGATAAGTCTAATATCAAAGATGCATATATCCTTAAAAATCAGTTTGACTATATTTCATGACTTAAGATTATTTTATTTTTTCCTTTCATTAAAATAATATTTTGTTATATTTTTGTTCTTTTTAAGCTTTTCCTAATGGCTATGGAATTTTCAAAGACTCAAAGAGGAAATTTGGTAATGGTATACAAAGGATTTGAATATATTAAACATAGAGAAAGCAAAGACAGTGATGTGATGACTTGGAGATGCAGACAGTATCATGCCCGGACTAGTCATTGCACGGTGTTTATAAAAACACATAAAAATAATGTTATTGCAGAGCCAACAACACACACCCATGACTCGTGTCCACAAAAAGCCAAGGCTAACATTGCTGTAAGCAAAATGAAAGAAAGTATTAAGGCTATTGGTGCAACACCTAAAAATGTTATAGGTAATGTGCTAATAAATTTTAGCAACGATGTCCTGCAGCATATTCCCAAGCAATCATCCCTATCAAGAACTTTAATTCGACACAGAGAAGAGGTGCATTTTCCTATACCAACTACTTCCAGTTTTGACATCCCACAAAAATATCTTCATTTAACGCTATATGACTCAGGAAGCAATGATCCAAACAGAATTCTAGCAATTGGGAATAAAGATTTATTACTTGAATTGGATAAGAATGAAATGTATGGCGATGGAACATTTGACAAGGTGCCAAAATTGTTTTACCAACTTTACACATGGCATGCGAAAGTTGGTAATTCTTACCCTCCATGCATATATTTTCTTTTGCAAAGAAAAAACCTTCAAACATATACCAACATGTGTGAAATTTTGAAACAACTTTTGCCAAACTTATCCCCTCAAAAAGTTTTGGTAGATTTTGAAAAAGCCTGTATGAGAGCAGTTCTTACAGCTTTCCCAAGCGCAGAGGTTAAGGGTTGTTATTTTCACTTATGCCAGAATTTGATAAGAAAAATTAGTTGTGTTGGCCTAAAATCTGATTTTGAGGCAGACATTGAACTTAAATTGAAACTAAAATCTCTGGCAGCCTTAGCATTTGTACCCATAAATGATGTGAGAGCTGTGTTTGATACTCTTGCTGCAACATTCCCAGATGATGGAAGGTATAATGAAGTTCTGACCTATTTTTTTTCAACTTACATTGAAGGTGCAATAGGTAGAGAGCCACAATTTCCAATAAAAATTTGGAATCAATATGATGCTGCTATGGAAAGGTCACCAAAAACTACTAATTGTTGTGAAGGATTTCACAATGGCTTAAATGCATTATTTCATTGCAGCCATCCAAGTATCTGGAGTTTATTTGAGGGCCTTCAGAAGGATATATCTTGTCATAGGCTCACTTTGGCAAAAGCACAAATGGATCAACCAGAAAAAAAAAAGAAGAAATATACACTTCTAGATGATCAGGTGGCATTAGCAGTTCAGGGATATGAAAATAAACATGATAAGATAGCTTACTTGCGCAGAATGGCAAATCTGCAATGAATTAAAATTCATTATTCAGAGTTATTTTTCATGAATTCAGATATTATATTTGATAATAAAGATATTCTATATAATGCTATGCATTCTTCCTTTTTTTTTTTCAATTTTCTTTTTAATTTGTTGTATATTTTATAATAAATTTTTTTAAAATTATAAAATAATTGTTGAGCACTTTTTATCCAATAGACTTCATTAGAGTACTAAATTAGACAAGTCATTTTGACAAAAATTTCACAAAGTAGTAAGTATGAAAAACAAAAATAAATAAAATTTTAATTAAACAAAATTCTTCATTATCTCACATAAACCATAGTCAAACATTCCATGAAAAATAAAAATGTATCTTGTGTAACATAAATTTGCCAAAATTTCACCAACTTATAAGAATATGTCTTAAACTTATACAATAGACTTGGATATTGACTTAATAGTTTTGTGGTAAAAATGTAATTGAATTTATTTTGTTTAAAATATTTTTAATACAAACCAGAATTAAGTTTTTTTACTTATAAGAATATGTCTTAAACTTATACAATAGACTTGGATATTGACTTAATAGTTTTGTGGTAAAAATGTAATTGAATTTATTTTGTTTAAAATATTTTTAATACAAACCAGAATTAAGTTTTTTAAATATTGTAACATACTAATACTAGCCTACTAATCCTTGAGTTTACACTAGCTAAATAGTAAAATTAAAATGATTCAGTAATTACTTGTTGAATTAGATCTTTGACAATACTGTCACTGTGCATGGCTCTCTGATCTATCTACTTAACTATATGCCTTTATTATACTATACTAACACTATGCAAACTGAACAAATATTTCTAAGAACTAGTACTAGTATGCATTTTGGTATAATACCTGAATGTATAATATAAATAATATATAAATTAGAACTTGTTCTGGACTTCAGTTTCAACATAAGAATAGTTAATATGTAACTTAATAATCACAATATAATATAAATACTCAAAAAATAAACATGTGAAATTAAAATTTATTTGATTTATAAATAAAATTAACACTACAACATAGATCACCATTACAAACACAAGATGATTTATTCTTGTTAATATGCCTAAACAATATTTAAAAAACCCATTATATTATACATATTATAGAAACTATATTATAACTTATTAAAATAGTGTCATCCTATTCTTAGTGGGCCTTTGATACCAAGAGGTTACATTAAAGTGGTGTTAGGGTAATAACTAAAAATGGTAGCATGTTCCAAGACACTTTACTTTAATCAACCTATACTATAACTTTATAACACAGTAAAAGGGGGGAGTCTAGGCTTTATTGGTTTTTATTTAGGATAAAAAATGACTTTTATAAGGGTTCTTGGTTTCGTTATCTAAACTGTACGTTGTCTATTTTTTCTATACAATAAATTAATAATAATGGGAGTTAAAAAATTATAGGAAAAAGTACCGGGTAATAAATAAAAAAGTCCGAAAATACATTAATTTATATTCATTATAACTTAATATAACTACTAAACACGTTTGTTAGACGCTATTTATTTCGCATAGTTGAGCAATGCATCAATTCAATTATAAATTAATAAAAATCAACACTCTTAAAATATTCCGAATAGTATGGTATGCCTCTGGAAAGTATGTCTTGAGGCAGGTAAAAATGTAAAAAGACCACTTTATTTTTTGTATAGTAATAGTAGCGGAGAACCGAATTTCAAAATATGGAAAGAAAACTTAAAATTAAGCTTAGGGCTAGGGCCTACTTGTTTACGACGATAGTGTCGATGTTAGCATTGGGCAGTACGCTCATATTAAAGGCAAAGGCGACATAAGGAATACATTTCATTATCAGAGTCGCACTGAGACTGAGAGGGTCCGTAAGTTGACATTTCTTGACAATAACAAATAACTCGTTCTAATTCTAATTGCAAAACCAAAATAATTTGCCAACTATATTATTACTCGTTTTTTAATAATTTTTTTAAAGCCGCAATGCTTTGCAGAGTAGAATTATTTTTTAACGTAAATTTATTAACCAATGAAACTAATTATAAAAATGTATATCATATTATTCATATGTATTTAATCAGTAGAAAATTTTAGGTAGGCTACATTTTCTAGGCGTTTCGGAATTTTAAAATTTAATACTAATTCTCTTCAATTTTATTATTTTTGTGGTCACATGTCGTGCGTTCAGTTGTCTATGGGTTCAGTTGTCAGTGTGGTCACTTGTCTGTGGGTTCACTTGTCCGTGGGTTCACTTGTCCGTGGGTTCACTTGTCATGGGTTCGGTTGTCTTAGGTTCAGTTGTCGTAGGTTCACTTGTCGTGCGTTCAGTTGTCTGGGAACCACTAATACATAGTACTTAGCAATGAAATACTAATACATAATATTTAGAAATGGAATTTAACAAAATAAATACGGAAACACAAACATAGATAGACAGCAAACACACAGATAAAAAAAAAATTTTAAAAAGAAAAATAATAATAGATTAATAGGCTGATTTTTACGGATATACCTGGCTGACTTAACGAATCTTGCTGCTATGATTTGTCTCTCATTTATTATATGTTCTTTTGATTGAACAGTTAAAAATTTTGAGCTACAAAGATATCTCAAAGTTTTAAACACTGGGAAACTATAGTGACAGTCTAACATTTAAACATTCAACAAGGTTTCTTTCATTTATAGGAGCAATTAACACTCCACTACCATTCTTAAGAAGCAAACTGAAATTACATTTGCATATGATAGAACGCAAAGAATTATCTATATGAATATAGTAATGACAGACAAGCCAGACTTTAACTGGTCCCCTAATAAGGTAGAGTAGATAACATTTGAGCCCTTCCAATTCTATGCTAGAGTGAAGTCATAGGGTCACACAATTCGATAGAGTATAGTTGAGGATGGTGACGAATTGAGACTCATATAGGGAGGAATACTAAAGCTGTTTATTCATATTTTTTTAAATTTAAGGTTTTGTTTCCCATGCAAATTAAACTATACAAAAAGATAATCAAAATATTTGGGGACTATCCCATTAAATCTCGTTCAATGATGGCACACCAATGATTTTAACAAAAAATTAAAATGAGGGCCATGAATAAATTTTGGCCTCCCCTTAATAAATTTGTGATACCCCCACCACAGCAATGACTATTACATTTTTTAAATATTTTTTTTGGCCAATTGTGCTATTTGTTCCTTTCAGTTTCAGAATTAGATTTTGTTTTGTTTCAAAAGTTGACTATCCTCCTTTATCAAATTGGAGGGGATACTACATAAGCCCCCAGGGAGTTATAAATGATTTTTAAAAAAAAGCAAATTAAAACTAAGCAAATTATATCTCTACTGACATAAGCTGTGGATCATCTGATATCATGATTCATTTACTTTTCAGTACTTCGTGAACTCAATGGAGGCTATGTCAGCAGTACATCACCTGCTGTTACATGTCAGACTTGTAATGCAGTAACTCAACCAACTGATGAGAAAAACAGGTGATGATGTAATTAAAGTCTATATATTCTAATGATATGAGAACTAGAATTGTAAATTTCATTGATAAAGATGAATTATACAAAGATGAATTATACAACCAAAAATGTATGCCCGTTGTGGATGTTTTAAAAATGGGTCTAAAAGAGAAAAAAGCAACACCACTTTCATTTTTGGTTAAACATTGGTGAGGGATAACCAAAGCTTTTTATTTAACAACTTACATGCCTAAAAAAGATTTTGATAGACGAACTTTACTAAAGCTAGTTTAAATGTTTTATAAATAATTATGTTTTATACCAGATGAAAGTTACTGTAACATTTGTAATACATTTTTAACTTTTTAACATTCAATATAGATTTAGATTTTTTTTTTCTAACTTTAACACTTAAGTTTAAAAAAAATATAATTATAAGTTTTAAGGAGATGAAGAAAAGAACTTTGGATCCTACTTTTAAGTAGGGTCTGTGTAAATTAATGCAGACCTGTTTACTCTTACGATATTTGCGTACAATGTACGATTTTGAGGTGTATACATTATTTATACTTTGTGTTTATTTTTTACTATTAAGATAATGTATTGAACGATTTTGTTGTGATATTGTACGATTTTAAGAGTTTGGGGGTAAACAGGTCTGTTAATGACAATTTATTACATTTGTTATCTTCTTTATTCATATTTGTTGGCATGTTGGAGAAGCAGAAATGTTCTATTTGTAATGTCATGCTGGGTTGAGTGGGCTACAGCTTAGGGATTACTTTCGCATTTCATTCCACCTGGGCCCCATACATTCAAAGGTTTTGATGACCATATTAGTTCTTAGTTTTTGAAGACCCTATTCTTCCATAGCTTTCGATGACCTTATTCTTCCATAGCTTTTGATGAACTTACACAAGGGTTGGGGGTATATTTTGCCTTATTAGAATTTATCTATAAATATTTGTACAAATATCTGTGAGGAGTAAACAATACATTTTTTTGTTTGGGAATTAAATCAGTGGGTGTAAGGGAAGTAAATCAATGTGTGTAAGGGAAGTAAATCAATGTGTGTAAGGGAAGTAAATCATTGGGTGTAAGGTCAAAGTTGAACAATAAGGCTACACCATATTCAAGGAAGTTCTATATTTACTTGTAGTTTTATTAAATTTGGTCAGCCCTTTGCATGTATAAATTATTATTGTGCTATATATATATAAGTAATGTTTTTTTTTGTTCACTGCTAATTTTTAAGGTGTGAGAGATGCAGTATCACCTTAAGTTTATCAGCTAGTTCCACATGCACTTGTGATGCATCAACAGAAAAAAAGGTTACCACAGGATTTTCAAATTTAAAAAAAAAAATATATATTGTATCAATGACCTGCCAAGTTATAGCAGACTTATTAAAATCTCATTTGTTCCAGTGCCAAACATTTTCTCTCTGTATATTTAAAAAAAAAAAAAAAAAAAAATTAACCTCATTTTATTTGTGCAAATAAAATTAAAATTTAAAGTAAAAAAAATTAGAAAAGTGCTATGCACAACCAGCTATGCTGACATAGTGAATGTATGCCTATAAAGTATGTGAACAGTTTTATTATTATAACTTAATTCAACTTTTTCTTACCCGCTAAAATCTTTGTCACAGCTGAATGGTGTTTGCGTCCTGTTAGCCAACACAATAGTGAATCCCAGTGCCTCCTTGTTCTTGATACCATTAGAGGTAGGAGAAGTGCTCTGAATGGATTTTGAATTGATTTTAATAATTTTCTAGGAATCCCATTACATACTTGCTGTATTTGTTAAGCGGACGGTGGTAAAATTTTCAAAATTAAAATCCATTCACTATACCCTGTAGGTTATTTGAGTCAGAGGCATAGCTAATGTGTTTGATGCCCGGGGACAAGGGTTAATTTTCATGCCAGCCCAGCCCCCCTCTCATCCCCACAACTCTGACACCCATTATTTTCGTCAATAAAATACCATGAAAGCACATTGTGGGGCCCCACCGGTCTGGCACTCCCTCTGCCCCCCACCCCCAGCTATGCCTCTGCTAGGAACAAAAAAATTCAGCAATTAGAAAAAATGTATATCAACCTTTGTCATTAATTAATCTGTAAATTTACTTACAAATGAATCATTTTAAAATAATTTTGCAATCGTGCCTTTATAGAATTCCAATGCATTGTATAAAATTTTGTCAATTACACAAACATGTAAAAAAAATATTATATTACTTTTTGGGGTTGTCTTTCAGAATGACGAAACAGGTGTTACATCTTCATATCTTCAAGACAATTTGGAAGCTGCTTACACCTTTTGTAGGGTATGCACTGTGAATAATTAACATACATTTTTATAAGATCAGCTCTTCTGTCTGCTTCAAAATCTGATTTGCACATGTGGTGAAACTTGTTGATAGTAGAGCCTTATATATTTTCTGTGGCAATTTATTTAATTAATTAATACACCATGTGACTTGAATTCTTTTTTCTGCCATTTTCTGTCATTTTTTTAAAAGTTAAACGAGAACACTTTTAATGGGAACCAACATTTTTTATGTCCTAATTTGAAAATCCCTTGAAATAATGTTAAAAAACTGAAACCTTTTGTAAATTTCCCTCGTTTAGTATTACAAGAACATAACTGCATGCCAGTCTCTGGCTAACATGTGTGTGCTCATCATGTATAGAGGTGGTCGTGTTCAAACTGTAACCACGCAACCTCAGGCCTGCTTTTACTTTCTTCAACTTGAGTAAGTTATTTTCATTCCTTGATTTGCTGTTTTTAAAAAATATATTTTTAAATGATGCCAGCCACTGCACAAGGTATTACTTAAACTCATCTACAGACAGATAATTGCAGGTTCCCCACTCAATCACGAAAACAGGAAATAGTCGCGAATTCATTAAATAATTTTCCCGGTCTTGAAAACAGGAAAAATGAGCTTTCTAGTAAAGGAAATTTGCGGTTAGTTTGGAATTTTTTAAATTGAAAAAAAATAATAATAAATTTGGATTCCATGAAAATTAATGTAAATTGCAGATCTTATTATTCTTATGTTATCAAAAGGACTTTGCCAGATCGCTAGTGGTTTCCCCTTAACTGTGCATGCATTTTGAGCTTTACAAGTTTCCAAAATGAAATTTCGTGCCGTACGACTTTAATAGACCAGAAATATTTCTTTTCTGTTCATTCCGCCGATCAAGAGATTTTTGGGTAAGTAAAGTGTTAAATATGGTAAGTAATTGTTTGAATCTCATTGTTAATTTTGAGGTAACCATTATGAGTAGAAAACTACTTGTCCTAGCACTGTCTAAAATGCCTACTGTTTTACTGTAGGTGTAATTTAAAAATGCTACTGCTATGCCTGATTCGAATTAGCAATTCAATAATAATAGTAATGAAAGAAGCTTTCGATATTAGTGGTAGCCCTACCCCATGACCAAAGTAGAGGAATTTGATTTTTAAATGTAGGCCTTTATATATAACAAAAAGATTGGCATGTATTTTTAATGATTTTTAAGGCTAGGCAGCCTTTAAGTGTAAGTGAAGTTCACTTTACATTTAATTATGTAGCAGGCCTTCTAAATTTAAATAGACTAATACAATTAAGTTATTTTGTGATATTATTTTTTGCATAGCATAGTTTACTGGTTTACGGCTGACTTAGGAACTTCATTTAAAAGTTATTAAAACTTGATTTTGATACACCCATGCAATGAGCCTAACATAGCTGTATATAGTTATTCTTTATTTATAGTTATGTACTTCTGTACCTTGGGTATACTTGAGGGTATTATTACTATTATTCATAAGCACAGTGGCATAGGAAGGATTAATGGGGGGGTGGGGGGATGCGACAGGGGGGACTTTGGTGGTTTGGTCAATGATCCGTTCCCCTGTGGAAAATCCTGACTGTGCCATTTCATATGCATGTGCCTATCTTAGTATCTCCTCTGACTCTGTATTACCGTAGTCTAGTACCGGTAAAATATATATTACATGATGTATGCCTCATTATAAATTATAAACCTAATATGATAATATATAATTTTTTTTTCACTAGTCAGGATCTAGACTCAATAAAATAATGCCACAATGCCCAACAGTTCCTTTAAAGACTGATGTTCAGGACAGCAATCATGATTGAACAAGTCATCACTGATTCACTATGCTGGAAATATTGATATCAAGTATTCAAGGGAAAATGTTTAAAAATGTCATGCATCTGATGAGACTTCATCTATCTAGTTCAACTTCAGCTTTACCTACTATCTTAGGTGTCCACTTCTGCAACTTCACAGTCAAGTTCCCTATTTATGTGTCCAAATATGAAACCCTAATTGGAGAGATTTTGTAGACACTTAAGTGTTAACTCAAACTATCCATTTTCATCACAAGAAGAAAACACTAACTCCATATAAGAAAAGATACTTTCCACTTGTGGCAGCTTCTAAAATGCCCTGGAGAACAAATTGCAAAAGTTGCCCTTGCACTTTAAAAGTAAACATCAACAATTTTTCAAGTGGAAGTAATAATAATTTAATAAATATTTACATGTATACACCTTTATTGTTTAATTTTGTTCATCTGTGTTGCATTTCAATGTTATTTTTACTTGTACAATTTCATGCTTGCTTTTATATTATCAACAAAAATGCAGCTTTGCAATATTCAGAAATCTTTTTGTTATTAGTTGGGAAAATTTGGGAAAAAGTAGGGAATTGTGTTTTTAAAAAAGAGTGGGAACCCAGTAATTGTACTTAATCATTTAGTGGTAAAATTGGGTATCTACTGGTTAGATAATTTCATTAGATCACATGCAAAAATATTTTATGAAGTGTAGTTAAATTCTGCTCTTCCTTCTCAATTTCATAAAATTATCAAAGATTCATCGTGAAGTACTGTTTTGTCTGAGATTTCTCATGTCACATCACATAATTCTCACATTTCCATCTATTTTAGGAACAGCCCTTTCTATGATTACAAACCTCAAATTTATGTTGAGCAAGATGCAGATAATGAAATCTACTCTGAGCAACTTAGGATCCAGTGGACTGTTGACCCCATCATGAAGTTCCCTTTCCTCGTCGGCCAGTTTTCACTAGAAGGAACGTTTGAAGGTTTCCAGGAAATGACGGGCAGTTTCCTGCAGCTGTGCCAGGCTGAGGAGAAAGTGCTGAATTCCGCTTTTGTGTTCGGTACATATTATAAACATACGGTAGGTTGTTTTGTTTTTTTACTATGCATTTGCATAAGCGCTCTTTGAACCAAAGTTACAGTGCCCAAAGCTTTAGGACTTAAATTAAAGCGCAAAAGAACTTGCATGCAATTTTTTGCTCTACTCAAAATTTTCTTCTATTTTGAAATAAGGCTGAAATTGGTGTATTTATTTACAGTATCACAAAAATACTTACCTCATTTGCGCTTGATTTTTATTGAGTGTAATTCCCATCAGCTGTGTTTATTACTTTTTTTTATATATGTCTTTTCTAAAAGAAAGTTTTATTTTTTATAAATTAAAAAAATTAGATAACAGCCTGTTTGTATTTTTTTACTTTAAAAGTGAAATAGTGTGAATTTAAAATCAAAACTAAATGCTACCATAGATTTTTGAAGGTGGGTTATGAATGTTTGAGATAGTGCTAAATATCCCCCAGGCCTCTGTGAAAGCCAAAATCACAAATTATAATTCTCTAGCTATGCTCTATGGCTGTAATGCTGTGTTCAATACTGCCCCAAATAAAATTCCCAGAAAACCTTATAAAGTGTGTCACTTGAATGCAAGTTTTGTCAAGTAGCTTTAGTAGATTTATGAAGTACACGGCATGCCACCGCCATTGTTTGGCACAATGGCGGGTCATTTCTAGTTATACAAGAAAATCAGCAAGTAATGCAGATAGACAATCTTAAAATCATTCAGGTGCTTCACATGTTTTGAGAAAAAATGGTTTTTAATATGAATAAATTAACACTTCATGTTTAGATATTACATTCACAAAACTGTCCATGTTTTGAATGTCTTTATGTATATGTTTTGACTGGACATCTTTAAACTTGCTTAAAGTTTTAAGCGTACACACCGCCAATGCTGGAACAATCCATGGTGTAACTGGGGTATTACTTTTTATGATGACAGCACTACTGTGATTAATCTCTTATGTCCTTATTTTCTCCTGGGCAAAATATGAAAAACGTGTAACAAAATGAGTTCCATCAGTTCCAGACTGATGACCCTGTCATTATCTTATTTCATTCATTCCATGTCAGTTAAATAATAGGAGCTGTGCTAGCTACTGTTGCTCAGTGTTGTCACTGTGACATTCATTCAATTCTTTTCCAGTCAAGTGCCATAAACAAACAAAGCACAGACTAAACGTCAGTTATCTTTTCAGTGTTCTATCTCAGCCCTGACGCTGTGGGACCAAGTCAAATATCCACTCAAGTTTTATGAAATCTGTATCCTTTAAAACAAAGTTAGGCTTACAAATTAAACGCCAGCATCATTATTGCAATATGTTAAATTACAATTATTATTTGATAAAATTAAAGCTTAAGGGTTTTACATGTTATTTAATTGAATTTAAATATATCTTGTTGATCGTTTTCTAGTTTTCTATCTTTCCATATGTAAGCTACACTTAATGAAAATGAAGTACTTAATAACTATTTGTGTCACGATTCCATCTACATTTCAAATTTCTCCTTGGTACCTAAACCAATGCCATATAAAATCCGTAACAGAACACAATAGATTTGAAATATACTGATACAACTCAAAACCCAGCCGTAGAAAATCTTTACAGGATCCCTCTGAAAGTACTCAACTTCAGAGACAGCCGCAATGAAAAGGCAAATCAAGGCAAGTAACTGTCATTCTAGTACATTGAACAAAAGAGTTGAGTCATCTTCTCATTTGTAAATTAAGTTGTTGTCCCCGCCCCCCTCCCCCTATTAAAAAACAACAACTTTTGACAAGATTTCTATATTCAGGAAAGATTGTCTCCCTCTAACCCGTAACTCAGTTCAGAACTCAGAAATGACACATGCCACAGGTTGACATTCCTTTTAAAATCTATTTAAATTGTATTGTTTTACTTGACTGTGATTCTTGAATCTTTCCATGCCAAGGGGTCTCCACGTTTGTGCCAGACTGGTTTTTGGCAAATGGAAATATTTTAGGGTGCTCTTATCAATTAATGAATATTGAATGCCCCCTTTTTTTAGCAAGATAGCTGTATTTCATATCAAATTAAAGGAAATTGAACAGAGAATAATAATATGTAAAAGATAAAACAATAAGACAATAAAAATTTGAATTTTATTGGTAATGTTATGAGATCAAAATTATTATTTTTTTTTTAAAATGCTCACCAAACCTGAACTTATCAGACTACTTTATGGTCTGTGTACCTGGTATCCTATTCTTCTTCAATCATCAGAAAGTATATCCATTTTTTATAAGAATGCATTTTACATTTTGAAAATATTCCATTTAATGACAGGTACACACATTTCTTTGCATATGTATCTATTCAAAAATGTCAAACACATTATTTACCAAATATTTTACTTTGGTACAGATTGTCTTCTGTGTGGTCCTTTCTGAAGCACTCCATTACAAACAGATGGGGCCTTCCTGTGCATCAGATGCACACATAGCAGCCGCGTTTGGTTATTTTGTGCACTGAACAATATGCACACTGTCAATCATGCCAGTAATAGTCAAACAGATGGTTATTTTCACTGAGACGCTCATCTGCCCTGTTGATGGACGTTTTGCCTGGTTTTGATGGGGTGGGCACTAGGGGAATGATTGTTTCAGAGTTCTGGGTTTTAGAAACTATTCCTCCTGCATCTTTTCTGCTTAATTTCCAACTTCTCTTTTTAGGTACAGGAGTGGTATTATCTAAATCCTCAATTTCACCTTAGTTAAAAAAAAAAGTGGTTTTGAAAAAATTAATAACTTTTGAACCACTTGAGCTAGAAAGTTGATTTTGGTGTTTTAAATAATCCATTCCCTTGGCTCTATAAAGCTGTGGTATGTTTGTATATTTTTTTAAAAATTTGAAATTTTTAACAAAGTGCCGTCTGTCATCATTATTGCAATCACTATTCTATTTCCATTTGGCATTTAGAGAACTATCAGAAAGCTGAAAATCATCACTGGAAACAGATTCAAATGATTTATGGTTATTGTCCACTGTTTTACCATCAATAATTAGCAATAAAGGCTCTTTTGTTTGCAAACTTGACGACCTACATGGTCTAGCAACAGCTGATGTGCTTGGAGTAGGCGTGGCATTGTTTTGTTTACAAACTTGACTACCTACGTGGTCTAGCAACAGCTGATGTGCTTGGAGTAGGTGTGGCATTGTTTTGTTTACAACAGTTTTAACACAAATTGAAGAAAAAGGTTGCTACTTCTAACAGGAAGGAAGTAAGAAGAGTTATCGTTCATTTGAGAACATAAAAAGTATGGTTGATAGCCGTAGACAACAAAATAAACTACAGAAACTATGTCGACGACCAGTTTAATCGAAGATATATCATCGATTGGCACGTAAAGAGTTAAGTTCCCAATAATTTGCAGGTAGTGCGTTTGTTGTACAAGAGTTGCTCCCCTTAACTTCAACAGACGAAGTATGCTGTTATTTTAATCTCCTTTCTACTTTTACATATGTGCTAGTAGGAAATTATTTTCAATTTATTTACCAAAATCTCTTTGTGTTCTTTTTTTTCCTTTCAGGTCCAATACGTGACTGGCAGTTAACTCGACGGTTTTTCCTCGTGGATAGTGTAACCACTCAGAGAAGTGAAGATCTAACTGGTATGTATGGAATAATGTTCCCTCTAACAAGTAATATATTTTACAACTGTCTTACACAAAGAGTTTCATTTAGCAGAAGCTTCAAGGGCACCCCCTGTCAAAAAACCCCTATGTCATTCAGGGCATGCCAGGAAAAGAGTCTATAAATATTTTGCTTTTTTTAATCTTCAAATTTGAAATACCAATACCATTTTACTTGTGTAGGGGTGAAAGACTTGGTCAAACACTTCATAGATTAGGCTGTGTAAAATTTTGTATAAAATCATTTTAATGTGAACTTCACATGTGCCCATCAATTATATATCAGCATATCTTTACACATGTGATCACTTTTTTGTCACTCTATTCTATACAGTTAGCGTCTGTGCTCAGAAAGGTGCTACTTATGTGAGATTTGCTAAAGATATTCACCTTCATGTCGAGCTGCAGTCAGACTCAGCGGATGGCTACACCTACATACCTTACTTTGATATTACCTATGATGATGTACCCAGGCAAACAGCTTGTGATGGGAAAACTGTTGATGTAAGTATTATTTCAATGAGAACCATTGTCTGTGTTCAGGGTACCTGGTCATTTGTGAATAGGAAAAATTCTTTTTAGGATATTGCCGTATTCCTCAATCAGGCAAATATGATAATCCATACACTTAGTGTATTACAAACCTCGCCCACCCTTTTTAAAACTTTTAAAATTATTTTTCTTGTTCATACCTTCATAGAGTCATGGTAAAAATTAAAGTAAAACTAAAATCTTTTATAAATGTATAGAATTTAAAAAAAAACAGAAACAAAGGTCTTTAAAATAATGTAGTCTAAAATGAACACTGAGATTTGTTCACGTGTCTGGTGAGGCAAGACAAGGAGCAGATAATCACAAATGATAATTCTCTAGGGATGCCTGTGTGGCTGTGGTTAGCACTAATTGGTATCCTCATACAGAGTGCTCCTTGAATGCATTTTTTTTTTTGAAGTAACCTTAGTGGATGGAAAGTTCATGAATTGCCGGTGCCCTCTAAATTATTATATTGATAGCCAGTTTGTCTGTCCGCAGGTCAGTTTCCAGGTTAGCTACACCATGAGTCAAAGCACCTACACCAGAAACTTCCAGATTGCGACAGGAACTTTAAGCGCACTGGGACTTTTGTATGCTGGATTCCGTACATATGTGTGGAGCAGACGTGCGGGGCGTATCAGCATAGATTTTCCAACTCTGGCCAATTTTATCTTTTTCCTGTGTGGGTCACTGTCCAACTGTTTCTTCGTCATCATTTACGGCGTTGCCTTTTACTTCTTCATCTTTTACAAGGTCAGAGTTCATCTTTATAACATGAAGTGATGTACAGAATGAAGTCATGACTTGTTGAGGGCTAGGGGCCTAGTTAATATTTAGCAAGTTAAGTGATATATTATGGTTTGATATCATAATTTTTAGGGTCTGTGACCAAGTTAACATTAAAATTGATCATATATGGTTGTGATCTCTTCACTCTTATTATCAGAGATCAAAGTCCTTTATTTTTATAACTGGCTTGGTTTTTCATGAACATCAAAATAAGTTCATAATTTTAGATTAAAAAAATTTGAGTGAGTTGGTTTTCTTGAGTATCAAAGTAAGTTCATATTTTCATTTATAAATTTGATGATCACTGTAATTTTAAAGGCATGAGTCTTTTGTTTGAAAAAAAGCAAATCATTTTCTGTTTCATACAAATAGCACTCAAGCCTACATTCAGTACACCCTTCTCCCACATAAGTAAAAAATAATTAAAATATAACTCCAATTTTGTTCATCACAGCAGAGGGTTTCATGATAGCCTTGTCTAAATTGCCCAGGTTTTAAAATTCTTTAAAGGTTGAGAGTTTTTTTTAGTGATTAAAATTTTAAGAGATGAAATGTCTTATGGATTAAGTGAATTATTATTGAATTATTTTACTTACTGGCATTTGTGAATTATTTTTCAAAATAAGTTGCAAATCAAAACTTTATGAGTAGATATGTTTTTTTAAATTAATGTTCTTGAAAACTGTTTTACAAATTCTTCAAAAGTTTTTTAAATAACTTTTCTCAAAATATGTATTTACACTCTCAGCGGCAAAATGTGATTTATATTGTCCACCCCGAGGGCCAGGCTTATGAGGATTGGATAGCGCTGTTTGGCGCAGCATTCGCCCTGAAAGCCCTGGCCCTGATCCACATGATCATCATGCAGTGCTCCGTGGATATCTTCATGGTGGACTGGGAGAGACCTAAAGGCACGGGTGGCAGCAGTGGAGATGCTGGCAAGAAACAACCCAGCACCGTGTCCATCTGGAGGACCTACTTTGTGGCCAATGAGTGGAATGAAATCCAGGTACTGCTACTCTTTTTTTTTTTTTTTTTTTTTTGCTTACAGTTTTAAAGTATCTTCATTGGTGGTTAGCTAAAGATCAATCAGTTTTAGAGAGGGTCAATACAACTGGGCAGTTTCTTTTGGCATTGCTTGTTGAAAAAGGCCCCATGTAATGTCTGAGTAAATCTTTATAGATTTTATTTTTGTTAACCAAGCTGAACTTTTAATTAAAATCTAACTGAGTGATGATTCTCAAACTGAGGTGCATATATACCTATAGGGCACATAAAATATTTCCAAGTGTTACACTGGGTTGTAACAAAGAAATTCAAGTAGAACCCGTCCAAAGGGTGGCACATGAATTGTAAGCAGGTCTTTGAGGGCTACACTATTCCTTATATTTCCCCTTTATCTAAATTATAATTTTTTTTCTATCATGACAGACCAAGCGTAAAATAAATCAGGTCTTCCAAATCTTTTCCGTTGTGTTCTTCCTCGTCGTTGTTGGCTTTGAGGACACTGCCACCAAGGACCCCGATGGAAGTGTTAACAAGGGTGCTGATGTTTACATGAGTGAACAAAGTGCAATGTACCGAATGGCTTTAGCTGCCACAATCTACTTAGTTATTGGTGAGCATGACTTTAGCTATCACAATCTACTTAGTTATTGGTAAGCATGGCTTTAGCTATCACAATCTACTTAGTTATTGGTGAGCATGGCTTTAGCTATCACAATCTACTTATTTATTGGCGAGCATGACTTTAGCTATCACAATCTACTTAGTTATTGGCGAGCATGACTTTAGCTGCCACAATCTACTTAGTTATTGGTGAGCATGGCTTTAGCTGCCACATGGGGAAAACGTGAGGGGCATTTCATAAAGAATATCATCAGCTATGAATGTATACATGAGCTGGTTCAGTGTTTCCCCAACAGGAGCTCTTGAGAAATAACTAAAGGTTCTTATTAAAAAATAATAATGAACATTTTCATAATATAAGCTCTCTCTGAGACATTAATATTGGTCTAACTTTCCTGCAAGGGAAAAGCCGTAAGTAAATGCTGAAAGAGTGTAATGTGTTATGTCTAATGAATGCAGTTATATTTAGCTTTCCTCCTAATGCTCTGTTTTCATAGAGTCTCATATATACATTTTTCTAGAATGATTCCAGCGTGTAATGCCATTCTTTGTTTCAATCTGTTTGACAGGAATCGTTCAAATCATATTCTTCCTCTTCATCTACGAGAGATTCATAACAGATGATATTCGGGAATTTGTTGACATCTGTTCAATGAGCAACATCAGTGTCTTTGTTATGGCCCACGGAGAATTCGGCTACTACATACACGGACGGTCTGTCCATGGATGCTCTGATGTAGCTATGGATGAAATGTCAGATATGATCAAAAGGGAAGAGGTTAGTAAAAAATCAAAAGTGGCATCAAAAGCAAAACTTATTTAATTAATCTGTGAATCTATCACTGGGAATATGTTGATTTTTATTGACTCTAAATATATAAAAGGCCCTCTTAAATATGAAGCTTTTAGTATATTTCTTATGTGACATTGAAATAAGCAATGCAAATGCATGCAGGAACAAAATTGTGTTTATGTTAGTAAATTCTTCATTTGTTAACATAACAGCTAATCCTCTGAGGACTAAAACTCTAAAATATTCTGTGAAATTTTCATGAAAAACTCAAATCATTAGTGACATCAATTGGTTTCTATTTTTTATTTTTTTGGTCAAATTAATAAGACACAAACAATTAGTGTAAATAAAACAACATATGTTCAGCTTTAATGATGATTTTACACAATACAAATGTAAACGTTTAGGCAAACGCCTTAATCAAAACATTTAATTAAGTATAAATTAAATACTGTATAAACTAAATCCAAAATTTTACATAGCTGCCATGTATTTTTCCTGTTTGGTTTTTAAATTTTACTTCCACTCACTTCCTTTCAATTTTTCTTAACTTTGTTTTGTCTGGGTTTTGCACCCACTCTTATTCTTTTCTATTTTTTTAGGTAGGCTATATATATATTATATAACTCAATAGCTATTGCCTGCCTCAGTACAATAGTTTTTTGTTAGTTCGTTCGACGGAAATTGATCATGTCCATTTTAAACATCGAATTGGTGGTGGTGCTGAATCTGTCTATGGGTGTGCAGATGGCTGATGAGGCATATACTGGGATGAAATGATCTTGTGCAGAAGATGCAGGGGATGGATGAGACAACTCCAGGTACAGAGTAAACTTGGGCTTTTCTGGATTGTCTTTTGTGTTCTGCAGCATCTGTTCTGTTTGCCTCATATTGCATGGAGCCCTTGTTTTTAGGACTGAGGAGTCTGGATCCAGCATGTCCAGGTTAATGTGAGACACTTTCAATGCACTTTTAGTGCGTTATTATAAAAAAACTTTCCTTTCTGTTCCCCAACAGATCATTTACCAAGCTTGAGTTCACCATAAAATATTTTTATGGGCTGGTAGTTGTCTCACATTCTCATAGCATGTCCTGCTTGTGCGATGTCTTGGATCTTGTCCTGCCATCTAATGTTAAAGATTTTTTTTGGAGGCTTATCGTGTCACAGTGGTTTCATTTCCTAACATGTGGTTGATAGACGGTTGCACAGCTGCCTTGTAAACTTTAATTGACAACATTGTTATAGCCTGTGTATTGACCCATTTATTCAGCCCGCAATTTTTTGAGCCGTGTCATGCATCCCTTGTCTCCCTTGTTGTTATTATGTCATCACCAATTAACTTGGTGCGATGTGCTGCCGCTGTTTCCCCATCTCCCATGATTGGAAAATTTTGTTTACAGAGGGTTCTACATTGATGTGGAACCTGCTCTCTGATGATTGAATATCTGGACTTTCTGCTCTGTAAAGTTCTGATTCAGTGACTATAAATATGGTAGACGTACCAGAGACCTAAGGAGACTTGAAAGTTTTTCTCTACGTGTGTGGATTACTATTTTTAGCTTTCTCTTATTATTTATATTCACGAGCTGTAAGTTAAATCAGCTTTATATTTCTATATATTTGATTTTTTACTTTTATATCAGAATTGTTGGTATAAATAAATTGATTATTGTTAATAGCACCAGCTTTGGTTAGAGGATTTCTTTGTCATATTGGTTTTTCAGACCTTTGCTACGTATTGTTCATCTGGTGATCCAATTTTTAAAAACAACATAATAAACCTTGTAACTTTTAACGGTGGGTTAACCACAAGCTTAACACACAGAGCTGAATGGTGGGTTAACCACAAGCTTAACACACAGAGCTGAATGGTGGGTTAACCACAAGCTTAACACACAGAGCTGTATGGTGGGTTAACCACAAGCTTAACTCACAGAGCTGAATGGTGGGTTAACCACAAGCTTAACACACAGAGCTGAATGGTGGGTTAACCACAAGCTTAACACACAGAGCTGAATGGTGGGTTAACCACAAGCTTAACTCACATAGCTCAATGGTGGGTTAACCACAAGCTTAACTCACAGAGCTGAATGGTGGGTTAACAACAAGCTTAACTCACCGAGCTAAATCAGCCTGTTGTATCATCTCCCAGAAAGCTTCAGTATGACCTTACAAAACTTGCATCAAAGAAATGTTTTTCAAAGCACTGTTCACCTTACACACAGAGTTGGAGATAAGTTTTTTTTTTTTTCTCTTAATGTCTCAACCCAATTATTGGCCTGGATGGAATATACAAAGTGTAAAGGATTATTAACAAACAAATCTCAAATCTCTATAAGAGTTATGTCATATTTTAAACACACAAAATTTCGCTGGGTGTATAAATAATATGAGCTTTTGAGGACTTAATCTCGCATGTCTCTGTTCTTGGTTTTACCTTTTTATTTATATGACATTGCTTTGGTCATTTTTAAGGCTTAATATTCAAGGCCAGATCTCAATGTAGTTTAAAACATTCATCAATTATCTTTTCGGCTTTTGTATTTGTTCTCTTTCTTTTTAAATAGATTCAATAAAATTTACTAATAGTTTTTGTTGTTTTTTTAAATTGTCAAGCTAAACTCAATGATCATGTCTGCTCAAACCTCAGTATCCTGACACAGAAAATCCAGTAACTCACTAATTATACCTTCAGGGAGCCACTCAGGCAGCAGGAATCCTGGCAGCTCTACCAATTATAAATGTTTATTGTGCACTCAAGTCCCTGTATTTTTAGCAATAAGCCCTTTTCCATTACAGGCGGATCTGGTGGGACAGAGAGGCTTAGTGTCAGGCACAGAGGCTCAAACATTCATGATGGCAATACCCAAGAGACTCAGGGAAAAATACACAGCTGTGTATATGCCTGTGCAATTGGAGGTAAAGGGTTTGGCGGTTTGCCTTTGAAGCGACTTAACATTAATACAGGATTAAATGAACAAGGCTTTAACAATTCAATTTAATGGTGTTCTTGTTCTTATAAAACATATTTTTTAATTTTTTAAATGAGAAGTTTCGATAAATGTAAAAAAAGTACTATCACAAAAAAACACCAAAAAACAATGTCTCGTCTTGATATGTGATAATTTTTATTTTCTACCTGTTTGACAATAACTCCACAGATAATAATTTAATTAAATCAAGCTGTCAGAGCTTTTGAATGTTTTTTTGTTGGGCTAAGTTTTAGACACACACAATAATATTTCTTTAAAAGTCAAGTTTGTAAAGAGGAAATCCTGGTAACTTCTAAATGCTTTGATAAGAACAGAGTTATCTTTCAGTGGGGTAAAAATATAAAAGGGGGCATTTTGTTAACGTTAAACCTTAAGTATATTATAAGATACAAACTTTTTGTGTGTTCCATTTAAATGAAGTAAGGCCTGCAAAACTCAAAATGTAATACTTTATAAAAACGTGTGCAGGCCAAAAGAAAATAGGAAAGGACGTGTGCAGGCCAAAAGAAAATAGGAAAGGACGTGTGCAGGCCAAAAGAAAATAGGAAAGGACGTGTGCAGGCCAAAAGAAAATAGGAAAGGACGTGTGCAGGCCAAAAGAAAATAGGAAAGGACGTGTGCAGGCCAAAAGAAAATAGGAAAGGACGTGTGCAGGCCAAAAGAAAATAGGAAAGGACGTGTGCAGGCCAAAAGAAAATAGGAAAGGACGTGTGCAGGCCAAAAGAAAATAGGAAAGGACGTGTGCAGGCCAAAAGAAAATAGGAAAGGACGTGTGCAGGCCAAAAGAAAATAGGAAAGGACGTGTGCAGGCCAAAAGAAAATAGGAAAGGACGTGTGCAGGCCAAAAGAAAATAGGAAAGGACGTGTGCAGGCCCAAAGAAAATAAGAAAGGACGTGTGCAGGCCAAAAGAAAATAGGACGGGGGAAAGCTATTAAGAAAATAATTAGAATAAAGAATATTTCGCTACTTCGCGGGCCGCAAAGTGGGTACTGGTGGGCCGCATGCTGCCCGCAGGCCGTATTTTGTGCAGGCCTGAAGTAAGGTATTATTATTTGTTTTACTTAAATAGAGCTTCACATAAATTGTATGTGTCTTTTAATCTATTTTTCAGTGTGCATCACTTAAATAACCTTTAATATTTAACTTTATTCATTTTAGAATGCCACAAGCCGAATGGGCAAGTCACAAACTGGCAAAGAAAAGAGCATAGAGGCCTACATGACACTGAACAGATTCTTCTGTGCCTTCATTGATCATGTAATCTAACCTTCTAAATTAACATCTTCAACCCCCCACTGGACCTCTGAGTCTATTTTAAACTTGTCCATCAAATTGCCACCTGTTAGTCAAACTTGGGCTTCTCCGATCAATTTATGTGCTCTTTCCTTTTTTTTTCATTGGTTTACTAATTTTGATATGTGAAATGACCATTTTTTTTATTTACTAAATTTGCAACCCACTCACTACCTTAAGTCCAGTTTGGGAAGCTCAAATGACATTTCAACAATTTACAGAGATGTTATACTTACAGCAAGAATATGAATTAATAAACTTTTAAGTCCACAAATGGATATAACTAATTATAGAAACATAGTCCCAGAATGCACTGCTGGAATACCTAGATGAGCGCTAGAACTTATTTAAATTAAATATTTCATATTTTTAAAAATCAATAGTGATTTTGATTTTTCCCCCAATGATTTTTTTCCTCTTACTAAATCTCAACTTAAGTTACAAACATAATTTTCTCATAAACCATTCATAATTTTCTTATGTGGTCAGTTTACAATTAAATATCTTTTCACAGTCTTTGCGTGACATTGACTATGTGGTGAAAGATAAAAACCTGCTGGAGAAGCTATTGGACACAGAGTTTCTTGAACTCACTGACAAAGGAATTTTCTACTCTGGTGAGCTTAACTTAATCCAGGTTAAACCCTCTATGAGGCAGAGCGGCAAAAAATGTCTTTACTACTTAAAGGGCAAAACATCAAAAATCCTCCGTGACAACTAAGTGTTGTAAACACACGATCTCCGAGTCTTCCGATTGTTTACATCGGGATCTGCCTATAGCTTGATAGGAGGGAGCCAGTTACAAGTATTTCATCAAATTTTTTTGTAGTTTTCGTGGTTTTAATGCTTGGTTTTTCAAAATGAATTGTGACGATACTTCAAGTGATAGCAGAAATTTCGCTGGATTCAATTTAAGTGACATTGAAGTGCACAAATTGAGTATAAATCGGAACTAGATATTAATATTATTAGTAATATTAGTGAAATCATCGTAGTAAGCAGTGTTGAATTGAACACACTTCAATTTCGTGGTAGTGTTTATAATAGTAAATAGAAGACTCACAATCAAAAAGAATATGTTGTTTTTTGCAAAAATATTTGTGTTCATATGAGAATTAATGGCAACATGTGGGTAAAATAATAAATGTTCATACATTTTCCTTTATTTTGTTTTTTATTTCACAAAAAATTTGTTCACTAACACCTTAGATTTGATATTTTTACTAACATCACCCTCAATCTTACTAAAAACCAGAAAAATGTTGCCTGTTCAGAACTAGCAAGAGGAAGAACCTCTGCCACGTAAAGGGTTAAATTATAAAATAATATTATTGTGTCAGTTGAATAGTTCTTAAATTCTTTTTACAGCGTGTTTATTGATTGCAATACATTCAACATATTTAAATATTGTAACAAATTAGAAATTCTCCATCAGTTACAGTGTTATCTGGCTAACTTGATCATGGTGGGATCTCTTTGGATAACACAATGTTAGTGTTAGGTAGATTACACAATATTAATGATTGCTTTTTAAAAACTCACGTTATTTCTAGTGTTACAGTCTGAAAAATCTAGAGAATAAAGTAGTTTCAGTTTCATGAGATTTTATTAAATCGCTGAGTTTTTACACATCAAATTTAGTTTTTTTCCCAAGTGAATTTGAAGCCCTAGGTTTTTATTTTTGTTTTGTTTTGTTTTATTTCATCCAGATAATGGCCACTCTTTTGACAATGTGCTGTTCTATGGCAATGAGTTGATGCTTCTCATCTTTGATGTGCTGCTTTTTTGTATCGTGGACCTTATTTTTATGGACTTTGTTTTAGCTGGGATTATCACATATTTGATTATAGAGGTGAGACAATTTCAATAATGCCACAAGTCTGAAATTGATGGTTGAAAAAAAAAAAAAGAAGAAAAAAAAGTAGCTTTTCAAACAAATGTGTTGTCACAGGGGGGACCTGAAACTATTTGGAATGTTTAAAATTCCATCTCATGCATAAAGAGTGAAAATTAAGTTTTAAATCCAAGCTTTTACCATTACCTCCACAGTTGATCTGCTTGATTCGTGACACTGCTGGAAAGAAGAACCTGGCAAGGAAGACTCTTGTGGATGAAAGATTCTTGATATAATACTCATTTATTTGCCTAGCAAACATTGCCAAAACTGCTATCAAGATTTTATTGGTATAGGACTGAGTCAAATATTTAATGTGTGTATTTAACATGATCGCTAGCGACATGGTGACATCATTGATTTAAGTTATCTGTTGAAAATAAAATGATCCATACGTCACCCGTAAGGTGCTTAAGATGTCATTATATATATATATATATAACATTCAGAACGTCATAATTCCAGTTCTGCAGATTTCTTGTATATATCATTTTATCTTTATGGCATCAAACAGTTTTTATTTTAATGATCTGATTCGTTATCATTAATAGTTACAATGAACATTTTTTTTATCCTCAACAACACACCAATATTACACATGCCTTTCCATTTTACATCACGCAATTTATAGATCTGTTTAAATTTTTACCTGTTTACTTATTTTTGTGAGTTTAATATTAATATTTCAATTGAACTGTCATTATTATATCTTTACATTTGAAATTGAACCTCCGTCCAGTTGCATCTAAACAGTCCACAATTTAATTTTACAAACTCTTACATGTCAGAGCCTCAGTGTTCCTCAACATATTCTGCAACATTTCTTTGGATGTTTACTTTTCTTTTGACATTCCTCATGAATTGTTTGTTCACCATATAGGTGAATGAGGAAATTATAAGGTATGTGATCTCCTCAGGTAACTGTTGCATGCTTATTAAAACGTTCACTGTATGAGGGTTGTATAAACATTACATTATTTGTATGCCAAATTGGAAAATATTGTTGCATGTTCTATTTCTGAAGTTGCCGCTAATTGTGATACATGATTTTCAATGATAAAAATCATGAATCATTGCCTTAAGTGCTTGTCACGTGTGAGCACACACTACAATCAAATTATAGTGTCAGAATAATTGGTTTTCACCCACAAGAAGCACAAGTTGTCCTCAGCTTTGTATCATGAGGATGTAAAATCATCAGAAACATCAAACAACACTTGAGCTCCTGGGTAAGCTTAACGTAAATCAATTCATCAGGTCTAAACTTTTTCATTTATCGCACTTTTAAATTAGATGCTTAAAATATATTTTTATAGTTAACAAAGTAGCAATATTGTAGAAATGTGACATTACAAAACTAGGTACATATATCTTTTACTTTTTATTTAACATTTTGTTCAACATGTTATTAATTAAATTAATATAACATTAATTGTATAATTGATTTATTATGTTTATACATTTTATAGAACCAATATTTAAAACAAATTTATTTAACCAATTTAAGGTCACTTTTTTTGTTCCCTTCTTTTTTTGTTTTAGTGTCATTTCCAGGTAATACCATCTATGATCAGAAGAATGTTTTTGTATTATCAATGTCAGAATATTCTGTTTAATCTTTTAAAATTTATTTTAAAAACATCTTCATCAATTTGTGTTGTGGCTGAGCTTTGATTAAGACAGCACAAGAATTTTTTTTATATAATTCTATAAATAGCTTCAAAATGTCATGTGACACAAACAAATTATTCCATTGCCAGAAATATGGTTTCCACATGTTACTCTAAAGGTGGGAATTTTTTCTATAAGTTAGTTTAATTTATTTTGGCATATCAGTAGCTTAAAAAGTGAGTTATATATTACTTTTGTTGTTAAATTTGTTAGGTTTTTTAAAAAAACTAATCTTATAATAATGGTAAAATCTTTTGTTGTTTTTTTCTGGGGGTAAAAACTGGCAACAGTAAAACTAATTGACACTAAATGTATAGAATAAGAGAAATTAATGCAATGCTTTTACAGTGACAAAACTTACATGTTTAAAATCTCTATTTTCTTTGTATAATATTGTCAAATAACTAGTACTAGTAGGTTGTCCCAACGATCAAATTCCATTGAACTGAGAAATCTTAAAGTGGTGGCCTTATCATAAATTAAGATTTTCATTCATGTTAATTTAATATGTAATAAAGTTTTGTGACATAAATTTAAGAGGCCTTTGTTACTTTTATTTTTATACTAACATTGTTGCATAATGGCTGTGTTGCTTATGGTTGAAATGGCTAGAAAGATTTTGACATTGTATGCTTGTAATTAGTTTTTGTAGTGTTGCCTTTGTTTTAAATGTGGTAAATTAAGATTTGTTTTTTGTTGACTTTGTACTGCGCTTAGAGCCTTTGGGGATGAAGCGTGTTTTTGAAATAAACTTTATTATTATTATTATTATTTTAAAATTAGAAAGATGGGACTATGGAGATATTAAAAACATATTATGCTTCAAAGGAACTCTATCATATACACTACATCTTTTTTGTATTGTTGCTATTCGTCCTTGCATGCTAAGATGACCAAGGCTATATTACACGATGCCTACTGACTACACGGAAAGGTGGTCTGCCAGTCCTATTTGTACCTGGAAAGCTTTTTGGTTCTGGTTCTGGTAATGTTTCGTTGCTGCATCCATGTACTGGCATCTTTGCAACGGTTGGGGATATGATGTTGCTATTCTAACAGCTCCTAGCTGATGCCAGGGCAGCCTTGAAGCTTTCGACCGATGTCGAGTTCACAGTGGCATCGTTCAGGTAGTTCCATGCTATTAGTATTACAGACCTGTTTACTCTTACGATTTTGGCGTACAATGTACGATTTTGAGGTGTATAGATTGTATATACTGTATGTTTTTTTTTACTATGAATATAACGTATTAAATGACTTTGTGATGATATTGTACGATTTTAAGAGTTTGAGGGTAAACAGGTCTGGTATTAGTATTGGTATCAGTATTAGTGTAGTCACTAGAGTCAGAGTAGCCTAGCACTGACTTACATGCTGTTTTTTTATGTTTTTTTTGGTCAACTTACCTTTTGATGGGGGGGGGGGCCTCTAAACTTGAATTGATTAAATAAACAAAATCAACAACTCTTTTATTTGAATCCATTTAAGTTTTTTTATTATTTGCAAACAATGTGCGAGGGGGAACAAAAAGTTCATGAATTGGATTTCTTTCTACATGACAAATAGTTAATACAATTCTAAATAATAGTAACAACAATGTAAACCAGAAAGAGTTGTGATTATTATGGTCTAGACATTTTATTAAACAGAAATCTGGTTAATTAGTTAGCAATATTTTTTTTTAGTAGGTATTAGTACATTTTTTAATGTGATGCATATAAATAAATGCACAAATAAAGTCATTATATTTTCATCTCTTATGATTATGGGTAATATAATCAAGTAGTGCGTATTCTTCCAATTTCACAACAAAACGTGTTGACAACTTTTGGCTTGGGTGTTTTTACAAATCATTACTTCTACGGTGTGGTGGTGAGTTGGTCATTTGTTATTGAACACAGATGATTTGGTAATTTTTTTAAATTGAACACCGATGAGTTTGTATAGTTGTTATTGAACACAGATGAGGTGTTGTTGTTTTTTTAAATTTAACACAGATGAGTTGGAATTTTTTTAAAAATTGAACACCGTGTACAATGATGTGTTAATCATTCCAGGTAGCGGATGAAGAGAAAAATGACAGGGAGACACAATTAATGGTTACTTCATTATCTCAACTGTCACACTGACATATAGGGCCGTACTAAGGAGAGGCCAGAAAATTGCGTCCTCAAAATATATATATATATATTTATATATATATATATATATATATATATATCGCCTCCCACCCTTTTTTCGCACGGCACTTTGGCATGATTCTTCTTGTCTTCATAACGTCACAGGGTGTAAGGGGGGGGGGGGGGACGGTGATTATTGTACTGTAGCTGCACCAGAGTGCTTCTGCCTGGACATTCCCCTTCTTTCTGATGGGGAGCATGTCCCCCAGGTACGTCATGTGATGGACGAGTGATGATGAAATGATGATTCAGTGACATAATAGCATTTAGTGCGCTGAATAAACGTGATTAATTTACGTGCACCGTAAAGATTGTGACAATTCACACACTACGTCCATAGATTTTGACAATTTATATTGTATGTCCATATAAAATCGATTAATTAGACACCAACAATTCGTATCAATATAACAATATAATTTAAGCTTTAATAATAAGTATACACAAGTAAACGTTTCGGCACATGCCTTCATCAGTACAACAACAAAATATTTAAATAAGTATCAATTAAATTTACATAATATATATAGTCTATACATATATCCTACCTAAAAATACTTAAAAAATAGGAGTGGGCGCAAAAAACCAGACAAAAACAAAGTAAAGGAGTGTGGAAAGGAAGTGATTTTGTCATTTTTAGTAAATTTAATTTATAATTAATTAAATGTTTTGTTGTTGTACTGATGAAGGCCTGTGCCGAAACGTTTACTTGGGTATTATGTATAATTATTAATTAAAGCTTAAATTATATTGTTATATTGACACACATTGTTGGTGTCTAATTAATCGATTTTAAAGCTTTATCGCAGTCCAACTCTTTTTATAATTAGTCCATATACAACCTTGGCAGCTGATGTCAGATGTATCATGTTCACGGACACAATTTATTGCCAATTAAATCATGTTCACGGACACAATTTATTGCCAATTAAATCATGTTCACGGACACAATTTATTGCCAATAATATCAATTTAAACCATATCCATGGCCACATCACCATACAAATTATTTGATGATCATACTAATTGTAAAACGCAGGGGATCAAGAGTTCAACATAATAGTTTTATCATCGTGCAACGTGCATTTGTTAGTAGGCTACAAACAAGAAATAAAATAATCATTGATTGGTTTCTATATCGATTATTAAATATTTGAAGACATGCAGTACTACTTGATCTATTGAACACATACATCTGTGTTATATCATGAGATACGATTTCTAGTGTCTCTGGTTTTTTTATTTTTTATTGTACTTTAGCAGTTTAAATAGTTTACATATTTTTTTAATAATTGTAAAGCGCTTAGAGCTGTAAGGTAAGCGCTATACAAAATTGCCTAAATAAATAAATTTGTATTGTCACCTTGTTAACGGGACGAGTGATCGATAATGAACATGCGTAAATAGAATAAATGCCTATAAATATGTATCAATTTATTTCATGATTGTTACGCTTGATTCAGTAAGTGTATATATGTGTGTCATTCTTTTTACACAAGCCCCCCACCCCAACCCCCCCCCCCAAAAAAAAAACAAAAAAACAACAAAAAAAAACGTGAATTTGTTGGTGCAGTGCGTCTATCGCAGCAAGCCATTCACCTGCCTGTGTAGCTGTTAAGCTTCTGTGGGCTTATCCTGTTGGTGTTGGCTTATCCTGTTGGTTTGGGCTTATCCTGTGACCGTTTATAAATACAGGCTAGTCAGTGAAGTTTGGGTGAATTGAGTTTAGCATGTTAAAATGATAATGGTAATTACATAACCTTTGTTATAATGAGCTCGGCGAAACTCTTGACCCACCCGGTCTGCACTAACCCTAGCTACGCCACTGCGTGGACTGAAAGAAAAGGTAAGATTGTAGTCAGCTGCTTTCATTGTGTTGAGGTTGACAGTCTGTACGTTGAGATTCTATAGGTATGACTGTATGGAAGTTGAATTCTGTAGGTTTTACTGTCTGAAGGTTTTACCATCTGTGGGGTTCAAAGTCTTTAGGGTGAGATTACATAGGTTTTACTGTTTTTAGATTGAGATTCTGTAGGTTTAATTTTTTTTAGGCTCTACAATCTGTAAATAGAGATTCTATAGGTTTTAATTTTTTCTTTAGGTTTTACAATCTGTAGTTTGAGATTATGTAGGTTTTATTTACTGCAGTTTGATACCCTGTTCGTTTATATTGAGAGGGTTAATCTTTAGTTTGACGTTCTGCAGTCTTATATAGTCTGTGGGCTCATAGCGTGAAGATTTACGATATGTAGGTTTATACCTTATAAGTTTTAAGAGACGATAATATATATTTTTTCGTAGCCAACTCCTGTTCAGAACATTGAAGTCATTTAGTAACTTGAAGAGCAGAGATATTTGCAATGATGAGATCAATATCTTATATTAATAAAATTAAAAAAAAAAAAAAAAAAAAAAAAAAAAAAAAAAAACTGTCATTGGATAATCTAGTAGAGCCGAGGCGCCCCAACGGTTCTCATTAATTGCATTCGCTTTGCACAAAGGTAGTACACATCTTTCTCTACCGCCGCCTCATCTACGTAAATGTATGCCATGCGCTCTAAAAATGTCGCGCATTTTTAAAAAATGACAGTATCCGGTTGCATGCAGTTTAAAAATATGCTATATAACAAACTTAAAACATTTCTAATCTGCGTAACATCTAAACACCTTTAGGCGTTTTGGGGATATTTTTATGGTCCGTTGAAGATCTATGCCTACCTGTTCTAAGTTTGAGCACAACCGCTACCACGGCCACCGTGCTAACCACACCGAACGCACAACAGCCAGCGATGGCCCAGGTGGAGGCCGACGCCCATCCCGATACCTCAGGGCCTCTCGTCCTCGCGTGCTCCCAGCAATCCAAGTTCAGCGTCGATAACTTCCGGCCCCTGAGCACGTCGGGGGTGGCGCACTCCAAGTCCCGGATGTACGCGTAAGGGGCGAGCGCGCCCGCGAAGAAACCGTTGGCGCCGACGTAGTCGAGCAGCGGCTTCATGTCACAGCTGCAGTGGATGGGATTGTTCCTGATGTCGACGAACACGTCTTCCACCCTAGACCAGGCGACCACATCCTCAAGGGACACATTGGCGATCAGGTTATGACTTAAATCGACGATCACGTGCCCGGAGGTCGCCGTCTGCGCTCCAAGATCGATGCTCTTTATTTTGTTCTCGGACAGGTCGAGGTACTCGAGTTTGGGGAAATGGATCCTGTGTTCTTTGAGCTCCCGCGGTAATGCTCCGAGACCCGACCTCGTGTAGTTCATGACCCTCAGCTCTGGGTATTTGGCGTTTTGGAGCATGAACTTGAAGTGGTTCGCGATCATGATCTTCGGGTAGCTCTCGTCGATGACCCTCAGCTTCAGGTAGTTGCATTTAAAATCTAAGCCCTCGAGCTTCTTGACCAGCTCCAAGAACTCCTCTGTCAAATTCTCCGGCGTTCTGGTCACGGGTGGGCTCACATACCTCTCGCTCCCGTACGTCGACAGCTTGTCGCCACCACCTGAAAGTGCCTCCAGCAGCACCGAGTTTTCCAGCGAGTTCCCCGAATCCGGGGACGGCTTACTCTTCGCCAACATCGCATCCAGGTCAAAATCTACCGCGGCGGAACCCTGCAGTCCTTGGTCGTTGGGCGCCGAGACCGAGTCCATCCCGTAGCTGACGTTGCTGGCCACCATGTACTCTAAGGTGCTGTCCTGACCGCAGTCGTAGTCCGCGGTCAAGTTCGCAAGGCTGGCGGGCTTCGTCATTTTGTTGAAACTTTCGTCGTCGCTGAACCAAACCGAATCTCGTATCTCCAGCACGCGAAGTTGGTCCGGGATATCGGAGATGGTCTGATTTTGAAATTCAAGGTACTTGTCCCTCAGGATACAGTTGTGGATAGACAGACCGACGACGCCTCGGGCCCTCATTGGCCATGGTAAAGAAATGGAAGATCCATTCGTGCACTCCACGCGCGCGAAAACGGAAATACCCGGAATATCGTGCAGCCAGTCGCGCAGTGTTGAATAGTGCCAAGCGATGCCTTCATGGTTTCGCACTTGGCAATGTAAATAGTAAACATCTCCCCTGATACCATCTACATACTGGCCGAGGATGTTGGCGCCATCGGACAGTGTGCACATCTTCTCCCAGCAGCGCGGAATGGGATTGCTTGCATGAGCTACTGTCTCCACGGTGCAGTGGCTAAGGATGAGTGATAGCACGATTGAACAGGTGTGAAATGTACTCATCCTATTGGAAGCATCAACCATTGTTAATGTTTTAAAAAAAAAAAAATATGATGTATTGAGAACTAATAATATATCCAGTTCAATTGGAGCAGTCTGTAAGGTTCACAGAGAGCGCTTATCACGTCTTTAAAAAAAAAAAAAGTTAAACTTAAATCAAAATAATTCAGGATAAATCCAAAACTTGCTACACCTGTAAAAAAAAATAGGGGAAATAAATAAAAAAAAATCTAAGGATGAGTGATAGCACGATTGAACAGGTGTGAAATGTACTCATCCTATTGGAAGCATCAACCATTGTTAATGTTTTAAAAAAAAAAAAAATATGATGTATTGAGAACTAATAATATATCCAGTTCAATTGGAGCAGTCTGTAAGGTTCACAGAGAGCGCTTATCACGTCTTTAAAAAAAAAAAAAAGTTAAACTTAAATCCAAATAATTCAGGCTAAATCCACAACTTGCTGCATCTGTTAAAAAAAATTGGGGAGATAAATAAAAAAAAATATAGAGCATATAATTATCTAAAATATAGCACAGCATGAATGAATGTAAAGAACACTCATCCAGTCCATTGATGTTAATGTAAACAACAGTCATCCAGTCCATTGATTTAAATGTAAACAACACTCATCCAATCCATTGATGTTAATGTAAACAACAGTCATCCAATCCATTGATTTAAATGTAAACAACACTCATCCAATCCATTGATGTTAATGTAAACAACAGTCATCCAGTCCATTGATTTAAATGTAAACAAAACACTCATCCAGTCCATTGATGTAAATGTAAACAAAACACTCATCCAGTCCATTGATGTAAATGTAAACAAAACACTCATCCAATCCATTGATGTAAATGTAAACAAAACACTCATCCAGTCCATTGATGTAAATGTAAACAAAACACTCATCCAGTCCATTGATGTAAATGTAAACAAAACACTCATCCAGTCAATTGATGTAAATGTAAACAAAACACTCATCCAATCCATTGATGTAAATGTAAACAAAACACTCATCCAGTCCATTGATGTAAATGTAAACAAAACACTCATCCAGTCAATTGATGTAAATGTAAACAAAACACTCATCCAGTCCATTGATGTAAATGTAAACAAAACACTCATCCAGTCCATTGATGTAAATAAAAACAAAACACTCATCCACTCCATTGATGTAAATGTAAACAAAACACTCATCCAGTCAATTGATGTAAATGTAAACAAAACACTCATCCAGTCAATTGATGTAAATGTAAACAAAACACTCATCCACTCCATTGATGTAAATGTAAACAAAACACTCATCCATTCAATTGATGTAAATGTAAACAAAACACTCATCCAGTCAATTGATGTAAATTTAAACAAAACACTCATCCACTCCATTGATTTAAATATAAACAACACTCATCCAATCCATTGATGTAAATGTAAACAAAACACTCATCCAATCCATTGATGTAAATGTAAACAACACTCATCCAGTCCATTGATTTAAATGTAAACAACACTCATCCAATCCATTAGTCCATTGATGTAAATGTAAACAACACTCATCCAGTCCATTGATGTAAATGTAAACAACACTCATCCAGTCCATTGATGTAAATGTAAACAACACTCATCCAGTCCATTGATGTAAATGTAAACAACACTCATCCAGTCCATTAATGTAAATCTAAACAAAACACTAATCCAATCCATTGATGTTAATGTAAACAAAACACTCATCCAGTCCATTGATGTAAATAAAAACAAAACACTCATCCACTCCATTGATGTAAATGTAAACAAAACACTCATCCAGTCAATTGATGTAAATGTAAACAAAACACTCATCCAGTCAATTGATGTAAATTTAAACAAAACACTCATCCACTCCATTGATGTAAATGTAAACAAAACACTCATCCAGTCAATTGATGTAAATGTAAACAAAACACTCATCCAGTCAATTGATGTAAATTTAAACAAAACACTCATCCACTCCATTGATTTAAATGTAAACAACACTCATCCAATCCATTGATGTAAATGTAAACAAAACACTCATCCAATCCATTGATGTAAATGTAAACAACACTCATCCAGTCCATTGATTTAAATGTAAACAACACTCATCCAATCCATTGATGTAAATGTAAACAACACTCATCCAGTCCATTGATGTAAATGTAAACAACACTCATCCAGTCCATTGATGTAAATGTAAACAACACTCATCCAGTCCATTGATGTAAATGTAAACAACACTCATCCAGTCCATTGATGTAAATGTAAACAAAACACTCATCCAATCCATTGATGTAAATGTAAACAAAACACTCATCCAATCCATTGATGTAAATGTAAACAAAACACTCATCCAATCCATTGATGTAAATGTAAACAAAACACTCATCCAGTCAATTGATGTAAATGTAAACAAAACACTCATCCAATCCATTGATGTAAATGTAAACAACACTCATCCAATCCATTGATGTAAATGTAAACAACACTCATCCAGTCCATTGATGTAAATGTAAACAACACTCATCCAGTCCATTGATGTGAATGTAAACAACACTCATCCAGTCCATTGATGTAAATGTAAACAACTTTCATCCAGTCCATTGATGTAAATGTAAACAACACTCATCCAGTCCATTGATGTAAATGTAAACAACACTCATCCAATCCATTGATGTAAATGTAAACAAAACACTCATCCAATCCATTGATGTAAATGTAAACAAAACACTCATCCAATCCATTGATGTAAATGTAAACAAAACACTCATCCAATCCATTGATGCGGTTCTTATTTCAACACGAACTTTATACTATGCATTTATTCAGGTAGCGAAAGTGTAATGACTACTAGGATTGGGGGCTAGAGCTGCCCCGAGCACCAAGTTGGAGAACCTTTTGGAGGCGACATTGGAAAAAAATAAATAATCGCCCCTCGCCCCGAGAGACATTTATTCTTATATTATGGCCCCTGAAAATGGCGGACGCAACACGAGCAGGTGGAGGGCGCCAGTTCAAGGAGAAGGGTGGAACAATTTTTTCAGAGGAGATCATGGCTGGAACGAACTTGTCAGCCATGCAGCAAGGCAGCTATCCCCAAGAAGAGGGAATCAATAACCAAAGCATCAGCCAACGAAGACGGAAGCTGGAACTGCGCAGGATGAAAGCAGCCCGTCCACACCCTCCCGAAAAAAATGGTCATTTCCTTGCCCGGAGTCACCCCCGTCATCATTCCGCCGCGCGGCAACACAGTCGGGGGTGCAGCAACAAGAAAATAGCAAGACCGATGTTGTTTTTCCGTCTGGGGCCAAAGCCTTTATTGCCACTTTGGAGATGTACACAACACGTTGTGTTTAGTTTTAGGAACAGATTTGGAAACACCATAGGCCCCGAGCGTTAGCGTCGAATGCCCCATCACCAACGGATCAAGTTGATTGTCCACAGTCTACTGAATATGGTTCCGAGGCTTACGTCTAGATGTATAATCAGTGGTGCAAATTTTAGGCATTTTTTCCACCCTCCAATATCCTGATGGATAGACATATGTACAATTTTTCGACATCGATAATTCCTGAATTCGTCAACCAAAGCTACGCCAAAATATTCATGAAGATAGAACACATTATAACTGCAAGACTGCACTGTACACGAAATGTATCCAGTCGAAGAATAGTGGATGGGTGATATCCAAAAGAACGGATTATCGTACCAGGTACACGATAAAAAAATCGATCATGTAGAGAAACTCCTCGAATAATAAAGAAATGAAAAGTTAATTGCTTAATGTTTACACTGCCAACTACCTGACGGTAACATATCCAAAAAAAATGGTTTTTAAATCAATTTGACACGGTTCAACAATGCCAATCGTCCAACAAGCGCTCACACAAAATAACTTAAGAAACCGAGACGTGAATGTGCTGCCAATGCTCTGAGGCTGAGTTCCGAAGATGCCAAGAAATTCGTTGCTGTGCGACCACGGTACTTTGAAAGGAATGCAGTTCTGAGCAGAATGCCTGAAAAGAGATTGTTTGGCTCCAGACGCACAAAATGTGACAACAGGATAACTTTGTATAGGAATTATTTACGTCCCAACAGCTGCAGCCCGTCTAGTTATGATAAAAAGATAACTCCGTGTAGCGGCTTTTATCGAAGTAGGTGTGCAAATAACTGCAGTCCATCAATTTGTGATAGAAAGATAACTCCATGTCGTAGCTACTTAAAAAGTAGGTGTGCAAATAGCTGCAGTCCATCAATTTGTGACAGAAAGATAACTCCATGTCGTAGCTACTTAAAAAGTAGGTGTGCAAATAGCTGCAGTCCATCAATTTGTGACAGAAAGATAACTCCATGTAGTAGCTACTTAAAAAGTAGGTGTGCAAATAGCTGCAGTCCATCAATTTGTGACAGAAAGATAACTCCATGTCGTAGCTACTTAAAAAGTAGGTGTGCAAATAGCTGCAGTCCATCAATTTGTGACAGAAAGATAACTCCATGTAGCAGCTACTTAAAAAGTAGGTGTGCAAATAGCTGTAGTCCATCAATTTGTGACAGAAAGATAACCCCATGTAGCAGCTACTTAAAAAGTAGGTGTGCATATAGCTGCAGTCCATCAATTTATGACAGAAAGGTATCTCCATGTAGCAACTATTTAAGAAGTAGGTGTGAAAATAGCTGCAGTCCATCAAGATGTGACAAGAAGATAGTTCCATCTAGCAAATACTTAAGAAATAGATGTGCAAGAAGCTGTAGTCCTACCAGGTGGGATCGAAAAATAACTTCACCTTGCAACTATTTAAGAACTAATTGTCCAAATATCTGCAGTCCATCAAGCGAGGACAGCAGTTTAACTTTATCTAGCAACTACTTAAGAGCTAAGTGTCCAAATAGCTGTACCCAATCAAGATGCAACTACTTAACAACCAAGTATCCAAATATTTGTAGGCCATCGAAATGTGATACAAAATTAACATCACCTTGCAACTATTTAAGAACTAAGTGTGCTAATAGTTGGAGGCCTTTAAGTGTTGACAGCGGGATAAATTCATCTTGCAGCT